TAGGCATGTTGTGTAAATCAAATGATACAAACCCCCCCAAAATCTGTTTTAATTCCAGGTTGTAAGGCAACAAAATAAGAAAAATGCCAAGGGGGGTGAATACTTTCGCAAGCCACTGTATATATACAAACTTCTGACTTTACATGTCAGCATTCCAAAGAAAAGGCCTCTTATCAGGCAGAACCTCTTCTAACAGTACAAGGCACAGGTGGGGTCTCCTTGGCTCAAATGCAGCCTCCCCAATGAGTTACCAAATGTGAAATGATGAGAACATCCCTAAACAGGCACTTATAAACATTTGGCCACAACTATTCTGGTGCGCAGGCCAGGTACATCTATGCGCGTTCATAGTGACAACCACGGAGACTGCGAAGCTTTCAGGACTAAACAGCACACAAATAGGCCTATATGTTACCGAAATAAAAATCATCATAGGAACTTCGTGAGTGTTGTGAACGCTCATGTGCACTACAAACATCGCTACCACTCAGGGGGTAAGAAAAGGCAACATTAATCAGAAATGTCTTAAATGTTGCAATAAACGGTACGGGAAAGGAATGGTGAAACGCTAGAAGCTATTGTAGTATAATATGGCTTTAACAAATATCCTTTTTAACTTGTGACAGCAACAACAAACATTTCAACAAGGGAACAAAGCGCTCTTCACTGACGGGAGTTTGATGAGCGCAAGTGGAGAGACTTGCCTATGGTGTGTCTTCATCACAGGGGTGCTTTGACCATTTTGTTTGCCCCTTAGCCTATTCCTTCTATTTCTATGATCAGAGAGCACTAAAAAGACCTGGAAGGAGTCGAGTCAGGATGGCCTCACAGATATTCATGTGGAATGAGATTTTGAGAAGTTGGAGGAAGGAAAGGAAAGGTAACTGAACCATAGCGAGGTGACACGAGACAGAAAGCACCTACAGTACAAAGTGAATCCAACTTCTACCCCCTCCCTCTCCTCTGACATCACTCTGCCCTGAGAGCAACAGCACTAGAGCACTAAAAAGATCTGGGCCCATATTCACAAAGCTTCTCATAGTAGGAGGGTTGTTTTGCCTTTTAGATAATGAAGAATAAGATTACATGGAAATGGGGACCTGATCCTAGATCAACAAACAGGCCCCCGAGGGAGTTGAGCTGGAACTAATGGAGTAAACTGTGTGCAGCGTTTATTGGACAACTTAAATCATTTTATGTATCTGCTCTGACCACGCCAACCTCTGCCAACCCATTCGACAGTTATAAAGAGGCAGTGTGTGTGTGTGGTGTTGGGGGTCATCTTTTGTTTGTTTGCTTGCCACAAACTCCCGCTGGGAGAATCGTACATATGTCTCTGTCACCGCCAAGGCCAGGACCAGGCTCCATACAGCTACAGAGAGGAGAGGAGGGACTGTGGGACCATAGTCCAAGTGAAGGCAGTTCCACCTGGCTCTCTCTCCCTCAGGCTATAGCTAGTCCCCATTATGGGTTAGTCTTTATGGGCCCAGACCGATAGGTTTTAGTGCTTTTCTGAGCAGAGCAGTTATTTTGAAAAGCCCAGGTCAAGTTGAAGAGCATGACTGAACAGATACAGAGTGTCTCTACGCACATGGAACGTCAATGACTCTGGAAGGTTCTTCATGTGACCCACCTGACTGAACAAGGATTCTTCCATTCCATTCTTCCATTCCATTATTTTAAGGCAGTCATTCAACTGACCACCTTGATACTGTTCAAGAGTACTCAAGACTTCAACTTTAATGGTCTAGGCTGGAGGCTGAACACAAACAGTGTTCTCCTCGCTGTGACTTTGGGATATGAAGTTGGCTGAGTCTATGGAACGAGCATACATAGTTTGTTGTACGGCCTCTGTACAATAAGTCATTTTGTTTGATCCTTAATGTGGTTCACATTGTCAAGGGTTGTTTATGTATGAGGGACTGTGGCGGCTGTATTTATCTATATGTGAATGTGTTAGTGTGTGTATGTGCATGCATGAGTGTGTGTGTTGGTATGAAGTAAAAGGGGGGTGTAGGGGGTAGTGGGGATTGCATGCTGCTCTCTCTGGTGCAGCTGCAGTGAGCCCCTAGCCTTTCCTCTGGATAGAAGTGGTTTCCTCCTCAATACAATGGGGACTCTGTTGGTTGGGTTGTTTAAACAGGGGCCCTCATCCCATGGTGCCTTTTGTGCTGCACTCTTTTACTCTTTTACGTTCCGACCCTCACAGGGACAGGCGGCTGTAAATCCAGTTGAAGGACTAATGGGTTATGGCTTTAACACTACGTTTGCGTCCCCAATGGCACACTATTCCCCATGTAGCGCACTACTCTTGACCATGGCCCATAGGGCTCTGGTCAAAAGTGGGGCACTATAGGGAATAGTGTGTCATTGGGGACGTAGCCCATCACTCAGAAACTAGCTTGGTGATGTAGTCATTTTACCACTCAGAAGACCATCGGCTTCGCTAATGTTATAATCATGCCTACTGTTTGGACCTTCCCCTCTATCTCCCCCCATCTCTCACTAGGGTTGTGAGTCACTTCGGTTTTTCACTGTATTTTGAGAGAGAGTGTTGAGGGTTTCCCGGCATCCAACAGTGAATGATACTCAAAGTGGGTGGTGTAAGGAAACATGGTAAATGTCTTCTTGTTGACAGACGTGACCAGATTGATGTTTTGTCCCAAATGGCACCATATTCCCTAGAATAATGCACTACTTTTGACCATGGCCTGTAGGGCTATAGTGCGCTATATAGGGAATAGAGTGCCATTTGGTGGGGACACAGTGTGTATGTATACACAGCAGAACTCTAGCTAACACTCTGACTGACTTGGTAGGGTGTCAAAAGGGCCGGCCGGCCACGACCTGACTTACTGAGGCATTCATCTACCTGCATTCCTGGCATAGCATGCGTATATCCTTTGGTCTGGGGCTTCCCTCTGGACAGCCTGAGGGAAACAAACAGGACGTCTGTTGGCCACGCTGGAATGAATGAACACCTGATTCATGATTCATGATCAATTGTAGTGGCCATTCTGTTTATGTTTCACTTCATAACCTTTTTCATTCCTCTGTTTCCTGTGTCAAAACATTGGTCAGTTAGCTAGTAGCCGTGTTTTGTCAGGTGTGGTATTCTAGGACATTGTTGTGTGATAAGGTCATTGATTTGTTTTGAACATTCACAACAATCGCCTCCTGCCAGAAGAACTCTGAGGTGAAGAGTGAGCGGGCAAAACTGGTTGAAATGACATCAATACAACCAGTTGGATGTTATCTGGTTGGAATCACGTAATTTCAACATGTTTTGCCCGCTTGGAAATGCCACCACTAGGCTTTAGATTCACTTGGGAGGTTTGCACATCTGGCTCCTTCACAGAGCCCCTGAGCCCCTGACATGGCTGTTTATTTCCCACCCTGGCCTGCTCATAACAAGCCTGGTCCGGCTTCAAAGAACCTTATGATAATTGTCTGGAAACTCATCTCAGCAGGACTCAACAGGCTATGAACGACATAGACCATTCTTCTCATGCCCCCGATCCAGACCCATTGGAGGAAAAATACATCAATACACTTACACATAGTTTGAGGGGCAGCCAAGGCTCAATTACTTGTTGTTTTGCTTTGAAATAGTTGTTGGCCATCACATCAAGTTTTTACGGCTTGTTTGATGAATTAACAAACAGTTTTGAGGGGCAGCCATACCTAAATTATATATATATATATATTTTTTTAATGGTTGTCAGACATCACACCAAGTCTTTATGTCTACATAACGTGTGTTTCAGACTGACAGTGGATGTCTAGACTTTGCCTCTTTGGGTCTCCATTGGCAAGCAGCGACTGGTGGAGAACTTATTCAAGTCTGAGAGCCAGAAGGCCCAGGGGAAATGAGGGGGTTTTCAGACCAGGTTTCCAGACCTGGGTTCAAATACTATTTAAAATAATTTCAAATACTTTTTCTGTGCTGGATTGAGCTTGTCTGTTGCAGTGGAACCAATAGAAAAGACATGAACTTGCAAACCCTGCCCATCTGGCACTCCAAGCAGAGTACATCAAATGCTAAAAGTATTTGAAAGATTTTCAATATTATTTGAACCCAGGTCTTCAGAGGGGAAATTGAGGGGCTGAGCAACAGTCAGCCCTGGCTCCTGCGCTGCATGGCAGACAGCAGAGAGAGCCGAGCAGAGCCGGCTGTAGGACAGACTCACAGCCACACCACAGCTGGAAAGCCTGTTGCTGCTAACTGCCGCATCAAGATGGTGTCATGGGGATTTTACACGCTTGTGTTTTAACGCTTTTCAGGCCATCAATTCAGCTATAATGTTGCTTAGTAGCATGGATTCATTGTCTGCAGAGCAGCAGATCAGTGTCATATCATTAATTTTCCTTGATACCAACTGTTTATACATTAAATGTTATATGCAACATATTAAATACATATTTCACATGACTTTTTTATTTTTACTTTGTGTTTTAATTACTGCAGTGGGCTAAATCAGGGTCACACAGTGTTTCTTGGTAGTCTTAAACAAATCTACTTTGAAACAAAAGTATACACCTCACACACATGGTTATGGGCTTAAAAAAGAAGACACCTGTATATAGAGTTGAAATGTATTTAAATTTGAGTTTGCATCCCAATATTACACTTTATATACATCACAGAAGACTGAAATTTAACAAAACCATTTGACATAGAAACACAGGATTTTCGGCAGGTACATTTAAAAAATGTTTATTAATTATGAAATTATGAAACATATTAATAACATTCCACCCATGAAGCCACTAGAGGGCGATTTGGTCATTTGACTGCAGGAAAGGGGTTCGTACAGATCAGTACTATCATTAGTTGTCATTACTGTAAGTTGTTTGGGACAATGGGATTGGAATGTTTTTATTGTCCTGGTAGTTCAGAGAATGTGGTTCTCTCATTGGATTTAGCTAGCATGTTAATGAACACCTCAGTTAGCTCAGGCTTGTTATACCTTCATGTGGCTGCCGAGCTTGTTTTAGATGGTTCTGTCAACAAGAACCAACCGGGGGGAGAGATAGGGTCCTATGTCATCCTGCTGATACTCCTCCCCAAAGAAGAAACAGGAGGGGAGAAAAAGCTAGTAAGAGTGGGTGGAATAAGTAGGCTGGTGTCCCAAGGCCAAATTGCTCCCCTGTTTTGATCTCGTAAACATTGCTGTGGACAAGATACTATAGAAAAAGAAAGGAAGAGAGAAAAAGACAGGGAAGAGAGTTATGAATCGGCAGCGAGCAGAGAGAGAGCAGAGAGACGAGAGAGAGAGAGAGAGAGGAGAGAGAGAGAGAGAGAGAGAGAGAGAGAGAGAGAAGAGGAGGAAGAGAGAAGAGAGCGAGAGAGAGAGCGAGAGCGAGGAGAGAGAGAGAGGAGAGAGAGAGCGAGAGGAGAGAGCAGAGCGAGAGAGAGGAGAGAGAGAAAGAGAGAGATGAGAGAGAAAAGAAGGAGAGAGGAGGAGAGAAAAGGAAGGAGGAGAGAGGAGAGAGAGAGAGAGGAGAGAGAGAGAGAGGAGAGAGGAGAGGAAAAAGAAAGGAGAGAGAGAGAGAAAAATGAAGGAGAGAGAGGAGAGAGAGAAAACAGGAAGGCAGGAGGAGAGCGAGAAAAGGAAGGAGAGAGAGCAGAGAGAAAGGAGAGCGAGAGAAAAGGAGAGAGGAGAGAGAGAGAGAGAGAGACAAAGGAGGGAGAGAGAGAGAAATGAAAGGAGAGAGAGAGAGGGAAAAGGAACGGAGGAGGGAGAGAGAGAGAGAGAGAAAATACAGAGAGGGGAGCGCAAAAGAAGAGAGAGAGCCGACAAAAGAAGGAGAGAGATGAGAGAGAAGAGAGAGCGAGAGAGGAGAGGCGAGAGAGAGAGAGAGAGAGAGCGATAGAGGAGAGAGAGATAGACCGCAAGGGAGAGAGCGAGAGAGAGAGCGCGTGAAAGCAAGGAGAGTATCTCTCTCTCTACATTATGTCGCTATCTATCTCTCTTTATGCTCGATACATTATCTTTTTTCTTATCTCTCCTCCCCGGAATTCTCTCCTCCCTGATTCCCTTATCTCTTCTCTCTCTCTCTCTCTCTCTCTGAGAGCTGGTAGTGGGCTAGCTGGTTAGTCTCTTTGTGCTGATTGCTCTGGCTCTGCTGGTCTTTGTTGTGACTGCCTGCTTCAGGGTTACCTCGTGAAGAGCGCCAGGCGGATCAGATGTCGGCGCAGAGAAAGGGGGCAGTGTTTCTCACACTCCTCTCTGGCTCTGCCTCTCTCTTCGTTCAATTCAACAGGTCTTTTACCTGAGAACATGAAAACAGTGACACCATTTTTTTCACACACACACACCACAGGAGGTTGGTGGCACCTTAATTTGGGAGGACGGGCTCATGGTAAAGGCTGGAGCGGAATTAGTGGAATGGTATCAAATACATCAAACACATGGTTTCCATGTTGTTGATGCCATTCCATTCACTCCGTTCCAGCTGTTATTAAGAGCCGTCTTCCCCTCAGCAGCCTCTACTGACACACACACACACACACACACACACACACACACACACAGCCCCCATCAGCAAACACGTAATAACATCTACCAAACAAAAAAACTTCTCAAGGCTGTATTATTTACTGAAGAGCCAAGGAAGTCCCCCTGGTCCCATGACGATGATGGTGACAGCTGAGGTTCCTGTCCTGTCCTCTTTCATTGTGCCTCACAAGTCCCAGGGTGTGTGTGTGTGTGAGTGTGTGTCTGTCCTCTTTCATTGTACTTCGCTCACAGGGAGGAGGACAAGGCAGACAATAGTGTTGGCAGTGATGTTAATGGAGTAAAAGACTACAGTGTAGCTAGCAGCAGTGCATATGCAGATGTCGTCAGGGATGTAATCTTACCAGAGATGGAGCCTAACAGTACATTGTCACTGATTCACTTACATTACATTGCATTACATTGTCCCACCCATGTTTACAGTCACTGCGATGTAATATTCCTTGGCACATACAGCCTTATCTCATGTATGGGAGTCTGTAGGACAGGGAGAGAGGAACAGGGGTTGGAGGACAGGGAGAGAGAGGGGTAGGGTGAGAGGGAGAGGGGAAAGAAGGGAGAGGAGGTGAAAGGGAGAGGGTATTAGGAGAAAGGGGAGAGGAAGGGAGGAGTCGGAGGGAGAGAAGGGGAGAGGGGGAAAGGAGAGACAGGGAGAGAGGGGGAAGAAGGGAGAGGGCAGAAGGGAGAGGGTTAGGAGGCTGCCCTGGGGAGGGCACAGACTATATTCTCAGATTCTTCTCCCACTTGTTATTTAAGGGGGGAGTCATTTATCTTGAGCCAAATACAGACTACTATACTGACTAAAACTGATTGACCGCCCAAACGCAATACATAGGGTTTGCTTTTCTCATCCACTGTGCCTAAGATGTGCTCAGTAAAAATGGCTTAAGAAAACACAGTCCAGATCTAGGCCATATTCATGTTGTTTTCTTTGCCTCCTCAGTCTTGGATTCTTCTTGGATCTAGTTTCTGTTAGGGATCAACAGCAGAGGTTTTCCATCTTTACCAGACAATACCCTTTCATTAAAGTGTAGCAGGAGTAAGCCTAGAGTTTTTCTCTCTAGGGGTCAATTTTGAAGTGTTCTCAGACGCAGTCTAGGGTAGTCGTTTTCACAGTGAGATTGCTTTCAAAGGGAAAGTCATCAGTTGGCACTTGGCAGGGAGGGAGGCCCTTCTTCTGCCAGGCATGTTTATGCGTGATTGTCACATAAAAACACCTCAGGACCACAAGGCTCAGGTCTCATCTGCTGTAGTCCTACCAGATGAGGAGGCGGTCAGACAGTCAGACGGTTGGGGGTGGCGGTGGAGTGTCTGTGCTGTGTTATTCTCCATCAATCCACTGGATATGAGCTGCCTCCACCCCTCTCCCTCGCCTCCATTTAGAGAGAGTGATGGTAGACTCTTCAAAAAAAGGGTTCCAAAAGGGTTCTTCGGCTGTCCCCATAGGAGAACCATTTTTGGTTCCAGGCAGAACCCTATTTGGTTCCAGGTAGAACACAGGATTTTGAATTCAACAGATTTTTGGTTACCAATTTGTTTGTCAAAATCAATTTGCAAGCCAGAAACCCTGCTGGGAATAGGTGCCATTTGAGATGTAGCCTATGAGTAATGGTCTAATTTTGTTCAGTGTAGTATATCTGTCCTTTGTTATCTCTGTAGGTGTTGAATCTGTGGTAAAGAAGCTTGAGAAACATCCTGTTGGTCCTCCATGTTTTTCTCAGTAGTTTATTTGTGAGCTTCTGGCTGCTTTAAGGCCCTGCGATAGACATCTTGTCCTACGGGCTGCTCTGGCTCAGACAAGGCTACTAGTCTGACTGCTTTGCAGGTCATAAACTGAACTAGAGGATAAGTGGAAATCAGTGAGGCAGACTCAGCAAGAGAACTGTCTGGAGTAATAGGGCAGATGAAGTTCCCTGTTGATTATGACGTCCGTGCTGAGTCTCTGTGGTACTTGGCTGGTGTTGAGCTGGGACTGTGTCCTCTCTCCCAGAGCCCTACCTGCCTGCCTCTCATGGCCCTCCTAGTCAGAACACTGCTGGTGATAATACAACTGGTATAACTGGTCAGGTTGGCCACTGACTGTATGAGAATAAAAGCCTGGTCCCAGATCTGTTTGTGCTGGCCTGCCAACTCCTATGGTCATTGGCAAGACATCACAAACAAGTCTGGGACCAGGCTATGAGAATAAGGGTTGGATGTGTAGTGAATTAGGGCGGTGTTGTTACCAGGCTCAGGCCCTGTGTGTGGCTCGTGGGATCAACGGGGGTACATATTGGTCCTACCCACTGGCTATTGTCCTGCAATATGCTGTTGGAAAAAAATAGCTCAAATGTCAAAGGATGGGAATGGCATTGACTTCACAGAATCAACACAAAGCTGTGTATTCACTCCTTTGTCAGGCCGATCAATCTCAGGTCAAACAAGAAAAAACTTTGCTGGGGTTGCTAGTGGGCAGCGTGCAACTATGACAAGCACGCATTTTATGAGTTTTCTTTCTGCATCACTGTATTTTTCCTCCTTCCAAAACTATCAGGAGAGGTGCTAACTCTGTTGGAATAGTATTATTTTGCGAGTCTAAAAAAGTCCTACTTTCTTAATACTTTTCTTATCTTCTTCTTGTAAACACAGGATGTAGAAAGTAAAATGAAGTTAGCTAAATTGGGTTATGTTGCTCCAATTACCCAGATCTAGCTCGAGGGGAAACATCCCTTCTGTATCAGTGTGTGTGTTGCAGTCAGGGGGCCTGGAGAAACAGTAGAGACACTTCTAGTCTTACTCTTGTCCGTCATGCTTTCAAAGCAACATTATAAACTGGGTGGTTCAAGCGCTGAATGCTAATTGGCTGAAAGCTGTGGTATATTAGACTGTATACCACAGGTATGACAAAAACTTACTTTTTACTGTTCTAATTACGTTGGTAACCAGTTTATTATAGCAATAAGGCACCTCTGGGATTTGTGGTATATGGCTAATATACCATGGCTAAGGGCTGTATCCAGCCATTAAGAACAGCCCTGAGCAGTGGCATATTGGCCATATCCCACCCCCTCTGGCATTATTGCTTAATTATACAGCTGCACACACACATATATACAGTACCAGTCAAAAGTTTGGACACATCTACTCATTCAAGGGTTTTCCTTATTTTTACTATTTTCTACATTGTAGAATAATAGTGAAGACATTAAAACTATGAAATAACACATATGGAATCATGTAGTAACCAAAAAAGTGTTAAACAAATCAAAATATATTTTAGATTTTAGATTCTTGAAAGTAGCCACCCTTTGCCTTGATGACAGCTTTGCACACTCTTGGCATTCTCTCATCCAGCTTCATGATGTAGTCACCTGGAATGCATTTCAATTAACAGGTGTGCCTTGTTAAAAGTTAATTTGTGGAATTTCTTTCCTTCTTAATGTGTTTGAGCCAATCAGTTGTGTTGTGACAAGGTAGGGGTGGTATACAGAAGATAACCCTATTTGGTAAAATACCAAGTCCATATTATGGCAAGAACAGCTCAAATAAGCAAAGAGAAACAGTCCATCATTACTTTAAGACATGAAGGTCAGTCAATCCGGAAAATGTTCTTCAAGTGCAGTCGCAAAACCATCAAGCGCTATGATAGTAGAAAATAGTAAAAATAAAGAAAACCCCTGGAATGAGTAGGTGTGGTAGTGTATATGTACCTGTATGTACAGTACACACACACCTGTGTGTTTTCTACTCAGGCTTTAACCGTTAGGGGAGAAACAAACCTGAACATAAACCTGAACATCGAGCTGTTTGGTGGGTTTTCATGTTAGAGATCATGGCTCCGTCATCAGCAACAGGAACAAAGAGTAGATAAATAGCTTAATATCGTCTGTTTGTTTTTCTTTGTAAAGTTAATGTTTGGATAATTAAAACACATTCATATGACACAATGAACAAACGTTATGCCCCGCCCCCTTGCTTTAAATATTCTACTGTATATGTTCTTTACCAGAAGGCTGACAGAGTTGTTCATGTTGTTATTTAGGGCACAAGTTTTGCTCTTTAGGATTTAAACTAATAACTACAATACAGGAAGCTCTCTGGTCTGGTTTTAGGGCTAGTGCAGAGTAGGCCGTGTGTGTGCTACATAATTTAATTAGGAGAGTAGTGAACCCTGCCTGTATTGTGCCCTGAGGTTCTTCCATAATCTGCACGGCTAGTGGTTCTAGGCTGACGCTGTGGTCGCCACAGGAGTTGGCAAGACAGCATAAACAGATCTGAGACTAGGCTTGGCTGCGGCAGATCCTGGATCGGATTTGAGGTTGTTTGTTCGCTCTTACCGTCATCGCATGTAGGTAAATCATCACTGTGTTGTTTGTATTGGAGACAGACTTATTTCACATTGTAAACTGTACTGGGAACTGTGGTAGTGACACCCACTCAGCAAACATTAGTAGTTCTCTAGTCCTTACAGGATTAACCATGAAGAAAACAGACTATTTACATTGACAGAGAGTCTGTCTGGATCCTCCAATGAGGCCCATAAATACTGAACTATTTAGACCACTCATAGTGTATCATTTCCCCCCAAGAAGCTGACAGACATTGTAAACAACGTTACTGTACTGAACTGGTGGTAAACCACAAGTGTCATCAGCTTTATTTGTTACTGTCTGAGATTCTGAAATATTTCAAGTTTTAAAGTATTGTTGGATATCAAACTTTGTGGTCAGTTGCCATCCTGTTTCTGACATTTGGAATAAATGAGATGGAGCTCACACATCGACAGCCCTCCGAGTGGATGACCTTTCCAAGGAAGAGAGAGAGAGCGAGAGGAGAAAGAAAGAGAGAGACATAAACCCATATTTATGTTTATTTATTTTCCCATTTGTACTTTAACTATTTGCACATTGTTACAACACTATATATATATATATATATATACATAATATGACATTTGAAATGTCTTTATTCTTTTGAAACTGAGTGTAATGTTTACTGTTAATATTTATTGTTTATTTCACTTTTGTTTACTATCTACTTCACTTGCTTTGGCAATGTTAACATACATTTCACATGCCAATAAAGCCCTTACATTGAAATTGAATTGAATTGAATTGAGGGAGAGAGAGAGAGAGAGAGAGAGAGAGAGAGAGACAGCAGCAAGATTTGTGACCTGTTACCACAAGAAAAGGGCAACCAGTGAAGAACAAACACCATTGTAAATAAAACCCATATTTATGTTTATTTATTTTCCCATTTGTACTTTAACTATTTGCACATTGTTACAACACTGTATATATACATAATATGACATTTTAAATTTCTTTATTCTTTTGGAACTTCTGAGTGTAATGTTTACTGTTAATATAAAGTTTATTTCACTTTTGTTTACTATCTACTATCTACTAACATACATTTCCCATGCCAATAAATCCCTTACATTGAATTGAATTGAGAGAGAGAGAGAGAGAGAGAGAGAGAGAGGAGAAATAAAGAGAGAGCGAGAGAGAGAGACAGAGAGAGAGCCCATGCCAATAAAGCCCTTAAATTGAATTGAATTGAATTGAGAAAGAGAGAGAGAGAGAGAGAGAGAGAGAGAGAAAGAGAGCGAGAGAGAAGAGAGAGAGAGAGAGAGAGAGAGAGAGAGAGCCCATGCCAATAAAGCCCTTAAATTGAATTGAATTGAATTGAGAAAGAGAGAAAGAGAGCGAGAATTTAGAGCAAATTTGTAACCATTAAGAACAGGACACATTCCTTGGGTAATTTTGGACATCTGGAATGCTCGTGTTTTTTCTGAGCTGTGTAGATTTTGGAAGGCAGAGGTTGCGTCCTATATAGTGGACTACTTTTGACCAGAGCCTATGGGTAGGACACTAAATAGGGAATAGGGTGCCATTTGGAAGGCAATGTTTTGTCAAAGAAGCCTAATATAACAGATTCTGACTGATCTCTCCACTACAGTCCTTCAGGTCCGAGAACCCTACAGTAGTTCATTTCAGATACTTTTTTTGTGAGTCAAATTATTTTCTTCATTTTTAGAGGCTTTCAGATATATTTTTTTTCCTCAGGCAGGCAGCTTTGCATTCTTTTATGTTTAATTTATTTTCAGAGAGTTCTTTCTAGACGTTCAAAGGAACAGTGATTATAGTTGCTCGTTGATGTTTCTGTCAATGTGGTTTTAAACAAAGTTGGCAAATGTAGAGTAAAGTTGAGATGCTATGTTATTTCTGCTTTAGATATTGTGTGTTTAGGAGCAGCATCTTATCGAAGTCTGACTCCCACCAGACATCTGAGTCTGAGTCAATGACACACTCAGCAGTAGCCTGGAAATCCAGTCTGTACACTGTTCCATTTCATGTTCTTTTCACTTCTTTCATGTGATTCAGTCAGGATTTCCAGGCTACTTCAGCAATACTGCACAGAAAAGAAGCAATGTGCCACAGTCCTCACCCATCCCCTCAGACAGTCAGTCCAACATGATTCATGCTGCTGATGGAAATATCCAATCAGCCCACTGCATTGTGGAAAATAAATAAAAATACACTTTATATGTGATATTCCACTGCTATGAATCATTGTAAGGATAGGAATAGCATAGGAAAGTCCATGGGGCATGATGATACACCACATGCTGTCGCTATTGATACAATGGTTTATTGGTTCGTTGGTAAATTTAATCTTGTACACATTCGCAGCTAAAAGCTGAATTGCAGTATACTTACTACTAATGGTTGAAGGGTTCAGAGGATCATGAATAGACTGGGTTGTGATCTCTTCAAGCTCAGTTAGCGTAGCTATTTCTCAATTAGTCTTTCTGCAATTCCTCACATCCTATCTCCTAGCCTCCTTCTCAACCATATTGGAGGTCTCTCACCTCAGACTTTCTTTAAAGAAGGAGGCTAGGAGAAAGGATGCAAGAAGGAAAGATGAACATGGAAAGATGAATTGAGAAAGAGCCTGTGTGTGTTAGGAGGTGAGGCCAGGGGTAAGTTGTAGCTGAGGGTCACAGGTCAAGTTGACAGGCAGTTTGTGGTGTGTGTGTGTGTGTGTCTGTGTGCGTGTATTGGTGCGTATGTGTGGTTTGGCTGTGGGGCTCTGTCTATGTGGGATGTAAAATGGGGGGCCTTGAGTTTGAGCCAGACTGACAAAACAGAGCAAAACCTTCATGGTCTCTTCAAAGAGAAATGCTGAGGCGATCAGTTACACATGACAGGGTGGCGAGGAGAGGACCTAGCTGTAGCTAACAGCCTCGTATTGTTGCACTTCCTGGTGTTTAAGAGATTTCAGAGTTGACCACTGACCTCTGTTTATGGTCTCATGACTCATGGTAGGAAGTCTTTACCCAGAGGCAGAGGCCCATGTCATAGAACGAATACACACACACACACACACACACACACACACACACACACACACACACACACACACACACACACACACACACGCCTGTGTTATACTGTATAGTGTGTGTTAACATTCAAGATGGTGGAGTAGAGACATAGTTGTCAAACAACAAATTAGAGCAATCATGCTAAATGTCTTAATTTGAGCCTCGGCAGTAAAACTTTTGGCTGTTGCCTGTGGGCTGTTCTCCTCTCTCATGTTGTGTGGTGTTAAGTGTTTTTATGGCTGGATAAGTGATAGTAATAAGATAGTAAGTAGCAAGTAATAATAGTCATTTCCTTTCTGTTTTAGAGAGAGGCTGTAGCTACTAGCTAGCCTGTGGTCAAAAAGTGCAGTGTAGTCACTACTGAAAGTTTCAGAAGCTTATTGCGAGCAACTTGCGACCAACCGCAGAGGAGGACTGCTTCCCAAATGGCACCCTATTCCCGATATAGTGCGCTACTTTTGGGGCTCTGGTCAAAAGTAGTGCGCTAAATAGGGAATAGAGTGCCATTTGGGATGCAGTTTAGGGTTTTGGATGAGCTCATGCAACAGGATGCCTCAAGTCAACACAGGAAGTGAGGTCATAGGTCTGCGTTGATCCTCCCCCAAAAAACACTAAATTGGCCTCTAAAAACACAATATACTGATGCATGGTCATCAGCCCTGGAACTGCCATGAAATGATAAATTATGATGAAATGATTAATGAATGATTCAACAAAGATGTGTGCACCAGTGGCGGTCAGCGCCGTTTAAGTTGAGGAGGACAATTTTTTTCATGAGCATGGCCTTATTTCTATTACAGCATATTGGATGACTCTCATTCATATTCCATTCACCCAGTTCAATATAACAGCGATAGGTTTAGGCTACTACATGATACTCTAATTTTCCCTATACCCATCATGAGGTTGCTACAACCTAGCCTATGAATGAAAGTTTACAATGTAGGTGCACACAGGTCAAGAGACAAATTTGAGGTGACAGACAGTGAGTGACTCATGGACAGACAGTGACATTAAATACCGCCTTGCACCCTCTTGCCTGCATCTAGCTGATAGAGGGTGTAATCATTAGTCCAACAGTTGCAAACGAGAGTTTCTATTGCACAAATTCAGGTATGTTTTTGTTCCGTTTGCTTCCGTTTAAGAAACGTTTTTCAACAGAATTTGCGGAATGAATACACCCCTGATCACGCGTAAACACAGTTCACTTTCATAGCAGTATGTGACCAGGCAAAAAAACCTTTCCAAGCCAAACCGCTACACACAGCCTACATCGTTGTCACCATATTAGCTAAAGTAACGTCATAGTCAGCATAGCTAATAGCACTAATGAGTTAGTAAACCTGCTACAATCATGCAGTAACGTTGCAGTGTACTGTCAGTAAGCAGTTACACCGGCAGGCCCCGGAGGCAATAAATTAGTAATACCAAAAGCTTACCTTGACTTGGAAGAGTTCCAGTGTTGTGTTGGAAAGTCATAGCCAGCTAGCTAACATAGCATCCCTCTGTTTGAGCAGGGTGTTTCAGTAGGCTAGAGTAGCTATTGCTAGCTAAGTAAGTGAAACTGAAATTGAAAAAAAAAGGACTAAATCTCACTCTCTCTCTCTATTTCTCTCTTGCTTCTCCTTCATTTTGGAAGAAATTAATTTGTTCAAAACTGATCGTCTATTGTCTTTCTCTCTATTTAAGTCAACTACTCACCACATTTTATACACTGCAGTGCTAGCTAGCTGTAGCTTATGCTTTCAGTACTAGATTAATTATCTCGTCCTTTGATTGGGTGAACAACATGTCAGTTCATGCTGCAAGAGCTCTGATAGGCTGGAGGACATCCTCCGGAAGTTGTCATAATTACTGTGTAATTCTATGGAAGGGGGTGAGAACCATGAGCCTCCTAGGTTTTGTATTGAAGTCAATGTACCCAGAGGAGGACGGAAGTTAGCTGTCCTCTGGCTACACCATGGTGCTACCCTACACAGTGCTGTTGAGGCTATTGTAGACTTTCTTTGCAAAATAGTGTGTTTTAATCAATTATTTGTTATAGTTTTATCTAAAAAGGATAACTTCTTAAATGTTATAAAACATTTTTTTAAATGAAATTCACTGAGGAGGATGGTCCTCCCCTTCCTCTTCTGAGGAGCCTCTACTGGTGTGCACTGATATTTGCATTGGGGTGTGTCTGATGAAATCTTGTCTGTCTTGTGTTTCAGAATTCCATGAACCTTCCTCCCGACAAAGCCAGACTCCTCAGACAGTATGATAATGACAAGAAATGGGACCTCATCTGTGACCAGGTAAACTCCTTTAAACACTACAACACATGTAATAATAATAATAATAATATGCCATTTAGCAGACGCTTTTATCCAAAGCGACTTACAGTCGTGCGTGCATACATTTTTTGTGTATGGGTGGTCCCGGGGATCGAACCCACTACCTTGGCGTTACAAGCGCCGTGCTCTACCAGCTGAGCTACAAGTAAACAATCCCACACATACACTTCTACAAACCCACACATCTAGTCTATTCGAACACCAATAGCTATTAGGCAATGTTGATAGATTTGATAGATATTTTTCCAGTGTAGGTTTAGTATTTTCTCCATAATGGTTTGAACCCTATTACATTGCACTGCTCACTCTGTCCACCCTCTTCCCCGTGTGATATATTAGGAACGGTTTCAAGTGAAGAATCCTCCTCACACCTACATCTCCAAGCTACGGGGCTACTTAGACCCAGGAGTCACACGCAAGAAGTTCCGAAGGCGGGTCCAGGAATCCACTAAGGTTCTGAGGGAACTGGAGATCTCGCTGAGGACCAATCACATAGGGTGATGATCTATTCTCATCCCTCCCTCCCCTCCCCTCTTCTCTTCTCTTTCAACCATTTAGAGTCAGTACCAGAAATCACCAATATTACTGTCCCTTTTTACATGACGTTTACCAGAAATTGATGTGAGATTGATGTGTCTTCTACGAATACCACACTGTAGTGTAGATGTTACCTCTGGGGCGGGGGACAGCTACAAGAATAATGGCTACTATGGAAGTGAAAGGCCGATGGGAAATCAACTCCCTTATCATTTTCCCCTATAAGAAACAATTCCACAATATCCCCTTTAAGAATGAACCTTGTTTTCCCCTTTTAATAGAGAAAGGGCCTTTCTGTGCTCCTCCTCTTTCTCTTCCTGTCCTAGGGACCAACAGCTTGTTTTCCTGATGCCCAGATCTCTCCTATTGTTCTGTCCTGCCACCCTCCCCAGCCTGCTTTAGTTCCTAGCGGAGTCTTCCTCTTCACAATGCCCAGATGGTAGTCATTGTATTGTGCTGCTAGGAAAGGAATGGTCCACTCCCACATAACATAGCAGAGAGCAGGAAGCTTAGTTGTGTACGCCAGAGGGACAGTAAGCATGGCCTACCAACGATGAACCCTGAGGAAAACACAAACAAATATGCACAGATGCGCGCACACACAGACAAATTCACAGACATATACACAATTTGGACACGCCTTCTGTATTCAGCCCTTCCTTCCTCACTATCATCCTCAAATCTCTCATTGATGTCATAATCAGATGTCACACAGATACTTACTGTACCTCTGATGGCAGTGCGTCAGAGATGTCCCCTGCCCTTTAAAGCAAACTAAAATATGCTCTTGTATTAAAAAGAGTTCTTTGTGATTTTTCATTTTATTCAGGGCGGACCTCCAATAATAGCTGCTATAAAAGTCTGTGTTCTAATGTCTTTCCCAGAAAGACACACAGGCAGGAAAAGACAGAGGCTATTTTGAGACAGAGGCTTTGGTTTGGTTGGTAAATCCAGTGGAACAGAGCCCTGTTTATTGTGTGTCCGAATCCTGGCCCTCTCCGACGTGTTATTCCTCAGATTGCCAAGACAATCTGAAATAGCATCTGGTTGGACAGGAAAAGAAGGGGAGAGAGGGGGGCTGGTAGACAGGAAACTGATGATCAAGTGCGCCTCCCCCTCCTCCCCCTCATCCGCCCCTTTTCTCCTCCTCCGCCCCAATCTCACTCTTTCCTCTCTTTCTCTGCTCAGGGGGGCTCTCTCTCCCTCCTTTTTGCCTCACCTTTGGCTATCCAGAGTCTTGTGTTACCAAACAGTCCCCTGCCCCAGTAACCTCCCTAACCAGCATATTGGGGATATTTTGGAACCTTTACCCCAATTCCACTCCCCTGGGGTTTCCTAATGGGGGAGCAGGGGTCTTGGGGCTAAGGGGGAAGGCAGACTGAGGGCTTGATTCAAACCGTATTGCTGATGTTCAGCGCTATAGCGCGATTTTAATTTAAAGGCAATGTTCCTGCGTTTGCGGAGACTGCATCCATGGTAAACGTTGCATATGTCGGCTCAATCGTAAATTACCTTTCAATTTAAATCGCACTGTAGCGCTGAACTTCAGCGATACGGATTGAATCGAGCCCTAAATACCATGACTGTCAGGGACTCCAACTTGAGCCCAGTCTTTACTCTCTCTCTTAGCCATACCATATGCCTTCCACATTCTTTCTCTCATCGCAATGGGAATTCATTTGTTTGGATTTTCTTTTCCCCCCTTCAGAAAACTGGAGTTAAATAGAGAGGAAATCTGAAGCCTTGCTCACTCGCGTTTACTTTCCGTTGCTGCCTTGCCAAGTTCTTTCTCTCTCCATCAGGGGTGTAGTGGGGGTGTAGGGGACCCCATTCTGAGCAGACTTTAGTCTACAAGATGTAGACTCAAATATGTTGGCTTTTGCAGCTCTTAGGAATGTGGGTAGCTAGTGTGTTCAGGTTTTTAGTCTGCCCTTCTCCTTGTCCCTCTCTCCTGCCTCTCTGTACCTCTGATTATTAGGGCTATTATCATTTTCCATGTATCATAACATAGTGCCAGGAGTTTTTCCTGAGCATGTGAACTCACCAGGAAAAACTCTAGAGTAATGCCCAGAGTTTTCCCCTGGTCAGGTCATGTGGGGAAAAGTCCTGGCTCTACTTAGGGATGATCCGTGACTAGCAGATAAGGGTGTTAGCCCTTGAATATTCTGGCCTGCTAACCCCTCTCTGTGTCCCATGTCACCCAGGTGGGTCCGGGAGTTCCTCAACGATGAGAACAGAGGTCTGGATATCCTGGTGGAGTACCTCTCCTTCGCACAGTGTGCTGTCATGTGAGTACACACACCCTAAGCTTAGCACATCTCTTCAGAAGAGACTAGAAGTAGTTCGCTACCTAACCAGTTTGGCACTGGATCCAAGAAGTGTTGATACCAACAGATAGGAGCTAAGGTCACACTCTTGTGTCTGTGAAAAGGGGCAATAGCACACTGGACGGATTCCTTATAGCATTGTGTTCCTTTGAATGTGCCTGAATGTGCTTGTATGCTGCGTACTTGGCAGACTGAATAAGTGGTTGGACTTGATTGTGAACCATGTGTCTGTGCTGTTATATTGCCATGCTGGCATATTATGGACTGGGCCTGAATGGGAATGACTGAGCCTGTCAACTCTGTGTTGCACTAAGCTTTACAGTGCAGCCATTTACTGTGCAGTTCTACTGTATAACATAACCTTTGACCTTTTACCAAGCTGCATTTCTAACCTAATCTACCTCGACCCGTCTGCCCATCATCTGTCTGTCTGTCTATCCATATGTCTACCCGTCTGTCCATCCGTCCGTCTGCCTGTATGTCCGTGGCCCAGGTTGAATTTTGAGGGTCTGGAGAATGGGGAGGAGGGTTCCCTGGACAAGGCTAAGTCCTGGAGTAGGTCTATAGAGGATCTACACCAGAGTGGCGCTCAGCCTTTCTGCAATACGCTGGTCCGCTCCGCGCGCCAGTCTGTGCTCCGGTACGTATCGTCTGCTACCACGTTGCTGCTGCTGCTATCGCTGCTGTTACTGTGCCTCGCTCATCTAACCCCCTGGCCCTGACGTATGTTAGCATGTTAGCATGTAAGGTAGCGGTCCAAACATATGTTAGCATGTCAGCTAGTTGTTTGCTATGATGATGATGATGATGATGCCATGATGTAGAGCAGTCTAGGTCTGGAGAGGATGTGAAAGGATTGATGAAGAGGGATGGGGAATGATTTGTCACTCCTGACCTCACTGCAGGGGTTTGTGGGTTAAACGATCAGAGACAGAGATGGAGACAGAGAGGTGGTTTCTGACCCATGCACTGTGCGTTTCCTTTCATGTTTGATGGTCTTCCTCCTTCCAGATGTGTTCCACTGTCCTGGCCTGGCTAGATTAGGCCCAGCTCTTCTGAGCTCCACATGTGGGCCGCCTGCCCTGTGATTCTCCGTCTAGTGAGCTTATCCCACACAGAGAGAGGGGAGAAAATAGGCTGTGATAGGAATAAGACAACGAAACATAAACATGATGACATTAATAATTTTGAGATTAGAATAGTCAACAGACATAACCCTGTTTATACAGTACCAGTCAAAAGTTTGGACACACCTACTCACTTACTATGTTCTACATTGTAATAGTGAAGACATCAAAACTATGAAATAACACATATGGAATCATGTAGTAACCAAAAAAGTGTTAAACAAATCAAAACATATTTTATATTTGAGATTCTTCAAAGTAGCCACCCTTTGCCTTGATGACAGCTTTGCACACTCTTGGCATTCTCTCAACCAGCTTCATGAGGTAGTCACCTGGAATGCATTTCAATTAACAGGTGTGCCTTGTTAAAAGTTAATTTGTGGAATGTCTTTCCTTCTTAATGCGTTTGAGCCAATCAGTTGTGTTGTGACAAGGTAGGGGTGGTATACAGAAGATAGCCCTATTTGGTAAAAGACCAAGTCCATATTATGGCAAGAACAGCTCAAATAAGCAAAGAGAAACGACAGTCCATTATTACTTTAAGACATGAAGGTCAGTCAATCCAGAAAATTTCAAGAATTTTGAATGTTTCTTCAGGTGCAGTCGCAAAAACCATCACGTGCTATGATGAAACTGGCTCTCATGAGGACTACCACAGGAAAGGAAGACCCATAGTTAGCTCTGCTGAGGATAAGTTCATTAGAGTTACCAGCCTCAGATAGCAGCCCAAATAAATACTTCACAGAGTTCAAGTAACAGACACATCTCAACATCAACTGTTCAGAGGAGACTCCGTGAATCAGGCCTTCATGGTCAAATTGCTGCAAAGAAGCCACTACTAAAGGACACCAATAAGAAAAAGAGATTTGTTTGGGCCAAGAAACACGAGCAATGGACTTTAGACCAGTGGAAATCTGTCCTTTGGTTTGATGAGTCCAAATGTGAGATTTTTGGTTCCAACCGCCGTGTTTTTGTGAGACGCAGAGTAGCTGAATGGATGATCTCCGCATGTGTGGTTCCCACCGTGAAGCATGGAGGAGGAGGTGTGATGGTGTGGGGGTGCTTTGCTGGTGACACTGTCTGTGATTTATTTAGAATTCAAGGCACACTTAACCAGCATGGCTACCACAGCATTCTCCCATCTGGTTTGCGCTTAGTGGGACTATCATTTGTTTTTCAACAGGACAATGACTCAAAACACACCTCCAGGCTGTGTTTTTATTTATTTATTTTTATTTTACCTTTATTTAACTAGGCAAGTCAGTTAAGAACAAATTCTTATTTACAATGACGGCCTACACCGGCCAAACCCGGACGACGCTGCGCCAATTGCGCGCCGCCCTATGGGACTCCCAATCACGGCAGGTTGTGATACAGCCTGAAATCGAACCAGGGTGTCTGTAGTGACGCCTCAAGCACTGAGATGCTGCGCCACTCGGGAGCCCATGTGTAAGGGCTATTTGACCAAGAATGAGAGTGATGGAGTGCTGCATCAGATGACCTGGCCTCCACAATCACCCGACCTCAACCCAATTGAGATGGTTTGGGATGAGTTGGACCACAGAGTGAAGGAAAAGTAGCCAACAAGTGCTCAGCATATGTGGGAACTCCTTCAAGACTGTTGGAAAAGCATTCCAGGTGAAGCTGGTTGAGAGAATGCCAAGAGTGTGCAAAGCTGTCATCAAGGCAAAGGGTGGCTATTTGAAGAATCTCAAATATAAAATATATTTTGATTTGTTTAACACTTTTTTGGTTACTACATGATTCCATATGTGTTATTTCATAGTTGTAATGTCTTCACTATTATTCTACAATGTAGAAAATAGTAAAAATAAAGAAAAACCCTTGAATGAGTAGGTGTGTCCAAACTTTTGACTGGTACTCTATGTCTGTTGGTATACTACTGACATGAATCATTTTGAGATAAGAATATTTTTTGTCAACAGACATAACCCTATTTACATGTCTGTTGGTATACTACAGGAAGGAATGCTTGAGAAACTTTTATGATTCCGTTTTCAAAAAAGTCAAAAGGTAAGACCAGCAGAAAACACAGACACACGAAAACATGAAAAAGAGATAGAAAGATAAGAGGATGTGGAGGTGAGACTGTTCTGTGACGAGCAGACCTCAGCGTGGGGACAAACGGATGTCATGCAGGAAACCAACGGCTTCACCTTGTCCCAGAATGCATCATTCTGTAACCACATGGGCCTTCTCGGGTCTCTTTCCCCACCTGATCTCTCTTTGACACACTTTGAGCTAGGGGCATGCAACACAAACCCTGCAGTCACATGAATGTCAGATACTGTACAGCATTTCTTGCTGTCATAAATCACAAAAAAGCACACAATATGAACACACAATGAAGATGGGCTCTGATTGTTTAGATCAAGCCAGTGAAGTGGAATCATAAGCTGTTAAGAATGAAGTGGACTCACAAGTTGTATTTGTTGTGGTTATATGATAACTAACCATTGAATAAAAACATGTCGTTGTTGACCTTTGCCTTCTGTTGCAGCTATGGCACAGCACCTAACAGCAAAACCATCAAGAACTCAAGACTCGTGAGCCAGAAGGACGATGTGCACGTTTGCATCATGTGCTTGCGAGCCATAATGAATTACCAGGTACTGACTGGTGATATCCACTATCAAAGCAGCCCCCCTGTTACCAATAATATACAGAGTAACCTCAAACACATATTCTTCACTCTTTAGTGGCATTAGACAGAACGTTAAAGCATAAATGCAACCAAATATCTTGTTTTAAAGATGTCAAGAGTCTCTGTTGCAGATGTGTGTGATGTTTCCTGTATAAGCCACAGTAAAAGTGAATATGTGCAGTGTTCTAAAATCTATGCACTGACAGCATTCAGCCCTTCTCTGCTTCTCGTTGACCACATCCTGTTCTATCTCTACCTTCTCTCTACAGTATGGCTTCAACCTGGTAATGTCCCACACACACGCAGTCAATGAAATTGCCCTCAGTCTGAACAATAAGAACTCAAGGTAAGAAGATCTCAGGCTCTATTTAGAAGCTGTTACTACACACGTCTAGTAACTCCAGGTTGATCTGAATTTAATTTGATTTGAAGAGTGCAGGGTACAACAGTGTGCAGGTATCTATAATTATTTCAAGTACAGGCCCTACCCCTGCCTCCACCACATCTGCAGCTTGAGAGTTTTAAGGGTGGGTCAGGGTGTGGGTCAGACAATAGGGGAACATTTGATCAGCCTGTTCATATGATACGCTCCTCATTCTCTAGGCTTCCCATCGGCTTCTCTCTGATGTTGGGAATGAGAACCATACATCCAGCCTGGTAAAGGCATGGTTTACAGTATGTCCCAAATGGCGCCCTATTCCCTATTTAGTGCACTACTTTTGAGTAGGGCCCCTAGGGCTATGGTCAAAAGTAGCGCACTATGTAGAGAATAGGGTGCCATTACGTAGGGAATAGAGTGCCATTACGTAGAGAATAGAGTGCCATTACGTAGGGAATAGAGTGAGTGCCACTATGTAGGGAATAGAGTGCCACTATGTAGGGAATAGAGTGCCATTACGTAGGGAATAGAGTGCCATTACGTAGGGAATAGAGCGCCATTACGTAGGGAATAGAGCGCCATTACGTAGGGAATAGAGCGCCATTACGTAGGGAATAGAGCGCCATTACGTAGGGAATAGAGCGCCATTACGTAGGGAATAGAGTGCCATTACGTAGGGAATAGAGCGCCATTACGTAGGGAATAGAGTGCCACTACGTAGGGAATAGAGTGCCATTACGTAGGGAATAGAGTGCCATTACGTAGGGAATAGAGTGCCATTACGTAGGGAATAGAGTGCCATTACGTAGGGAATAGAGTGCCATTACGTAGGGAATAGAGTGCCATTACGTAGGGAATAGAGTGCCATTACGTAGGGAATAGAGTGCCACTACGTAGGGAATATAGTGCCATTACGTAGGGAATAGAGTGCCACTATGTAGGGAATAGAGTGCCATTACGTAGGGAATAGAGTGCCACTACGTAGGGAATAGAGTGCCATTACGTAGGGAATAGAGTGCCACTATGTAGGGAATAGAGTGCCATTACATAGGGAATAGAGTGCCACTATGTAGGGAATAGAGTGCCATTACGTAGGGAATAGAGTGCCACTACGTAGGGAATAGAGTGCCACTACGTAGGGAATAGAGTGCCACTACGTAGGGAATAGAGTGCCACTACGTAGGGAATAGAGTGCCACTATGTAGGGAATAGAGTGCCATTACATAGGGAATAGAGCGCCACTACGTAGGGAATAGAGTGCCATTACGTAGGGAATAGAGTGCCATTACGAAGGGAATAGAGTGCCATTACGTAGGGAATAGAGTGCCATTACGAAGGGAATAGAGTGCCATTACGTAGGGAATAGAGTGCCATTACGTAGGGAATAGAGTGCCACTACGTAGGGAATAGAGTGCCATTACGTAGGGAATAGAGTGCCACTACGTAGGGAATAGAGTGCCACTACGTAGGGAATAGAGTGCCATTACGTAGGGAATAGAGTGCCACTACGAAGGGAATAGAGTGCCATTACGTAGGGAATAGAGTGCCACTACGTAGGGAATAGAGTGCCATTACGTAGGGAATAGAGTGCCATTACGTAGGGAATAGAGTGCCATTACGTAGGAATAGAGTGCCATTACGAAGGGAATAGAGTGCCATTACGTAGGGAATAGAGTGCCACTACGAAGGGAATAGAGTGCCATTACGTAGGGAATAGAGTGCCACTACGTAGGGAATAGAGTGCCATTACGTAGGGAATAGAGTGCCATTACGTAGGGAATAGAGTGCCATTACGTAGGGAATAGAGTGCCATTACGTAGGGAATAGAGTGCCATTACGTAGGGAATAGAGTGCCATTACGTAGGGAATAGAGTGCCATTACGTAGGGAATAGAGTGCCACTATGTAGGGAATAGAGTGCCATTACGTAGGGAATAGAGTGCCACTACGTAGGGAATAGAGTGCCATTACGTAGGGAATAGAGTGCCACTATGTAGGGAATAGAGTGCCATTACATAGGGAATAGAGCGCCACTACGTAGGGAATAGAGTGCCATTACGTAGGGAATAGAGTGCCATTACGAAGGGAATAGAGTGCCATTACGTAGGGAATAGAGTGCCATTACGTAGGGAATAGAGTGCCATTACGAAGGGAATAGAGTGCCATTACGTAGGGAATAGAGTGCCATTACGTAGGGAATAGAGTGCCATTACGAAGGGAATAGAGTGCCATTACGAAGGGAATAGAGTGCCATTACGTAGGGAATAGAGTGCCATTACATAGGGAATAGAGTGCCACTACGTAGGGAATAGAGCGCCATTATGTAGGGAATAGAGCGCCATTACGTAGGGAATAGAGTGCCATTACGTAGGGAATAGAGTGCCATTACGTAGGGAATAGAGCGCCACTACGTAGGGAATAGAGTGCCATTACGTAGGGAATAGAGTGCCATTACGTAGGGAATAGAGTGCCATTACGTAGGGAATAGAGTGCCACTACGTAGGGAATAGAGTGCCACTACGTAGGGAATAGAGTGCCACTACGTAGGGAATAGAGTGCCACTACGTAGGGAATAGAGTGCCACTATGTAGGGAATAGAGTGCCATTACATAGGGAATAGAGCGCCACTACGTAGGGAATAGAGTGCCATTACGTAGGGAATAGAGTGCCATTACGAAGGGAATAGAGTGCCATTACGTAGGGAATAGAGTGCCACTACGTAGGGAATAGAGTGCCATTACGTAGGGAATAGAGTGCCATTACGTAGGGAATAGAGTGCCACTACGTAGGGAATAGAGTGCCACTATGTAGGGAATAGAGTGCCATTACGTAGGGAATAGAGTGCCATTACGTAGGGAATAGAGTGCCATTACGTAGGGAATAGAGTGCCATTACGTAGGGAATAGAGTGCCATTACGTAGGGAATAGAGTGCCACTATGTAGGGAATAGAGTGCCATTACGTAGGGAATAGAGTGCCACTACGTAGGGAATAGAGTGCCATTACGTAGGGAATAGAGTGCCACTACGTAGGGAATAGAGTGCCATTACGTAGGGAATAGAGTGCCACTATGTAGGGAATAGAGCGCCATTACGTAGGGAATAGAGTGCCATTACGAAGGGAATAGAGTGCCATTACGTAGGGAATAGAGTGCCACTACGAAGGGAATAGAGTGCCATTACGTAGGGAATAGAGTGCCACTACGTAGGGAATAGAGTGCCATTACGTAGGGAATAGAGTGCCATTACGTAGGGAATAGAGTGCCATTACGTAGGGAATAGAGTGCCATTACGTAGGGAATAGAGTGCCATTACGTAGGGAATAGAGTGCCATTACGTAGGGAATAGAGTGCCATTACGTAGGGAATAGAGTGCCACTATGTAGGGAATAGAGTGCCATTACGTAGGGAATAGAGTGCCACTACGTAGGGAATAGAGTGCCATTACGTAGGGAATAGAGTGCCACTATGTAGGGAATAGAGTGCCATTACATAGGGAATAGAGCGCCACTACGTAGGGAATAGAGTGCCATTACGTAGGGAATAGAGTGCCATTACGAAGGGAATAGAGTGCCATTACGTAGGGAATAGAGTGCCATTACGTAGGGAATAGAGTGCCATTACGAAGGGAATAGAGTGCCATTACGTAGGGAATAGAGTGCCATTACGTAGGGAATAGAGTGCCATTACATAGGGAATAGAGTGCCACTACGTAGGGAATAGAGCGCCATTATGTAGGGAATAGAGCGCCATTACGTAGGGAATAGAGTGCCATTACGTAGGGAATAGAGTGCCATTACGTAGGGAATAGAGCGCCACTACGTAGGGAATAGAGTGCCATTACGTAGGGAATAGAGTGCCATTACGTAGGGAATAGAGTGCCATTACGAAGGGAATAGAGTGCCATTACGTAGGGAATAGAGTGCCACTACGTAGGGAATAGAGTGCCATTACGTAGGGAATAGAGTGCCACTACGTAGGGAATAGAGCGCCACTACGTAGGGAATAGAGTGCCATTACGTAGGGAATAGAGTGCCATACGTAGGGAATAGAGTGCCATTACGTAGGGAATAGAGTGCCATTACGTAGGGAATAGAGTGCCATTACGTAGGGAATAGAGTGCCATTACGTAGGGAATAGAGCGCCATTACGTAGGGAATAGAGTGCCATTACGTAGGGAATAGAGTGCCATTACGTAGGGAATAGAGTGCCACTACGTAGGGAATAGAGTGCCATTACGTAGGGAATAGAGCGCCACTACGTAGGGAATAGAGTGCCACTATGTAGGGAATAGAGTGCCATTACGTAGGGAATAGAGTGCCACTACGTAGGGAATATGGGGCGGCAGGTAGCTTAGTTGGTAAGAGCGTTGTGCCAGTAACCGAAAGGTCGCTGGTTCTAATCCCCGATCCGACTAGGTGAAAAATCTGTCGATGTGCCCTTAAGCAAGGCACTTAACCCTAATTGCTCCTGTAAATCGCTCTGGATAAGAGCGTCTGCTAAATGACTAAAATGTAATGTAAATGGAATAGTAAATGACTAAAATGTAATGTAAATGGAATAGAGCGCCACTACGTAGGGAATAGAGTGCCATTACGTAGGGAATAGAGTGCCATTACGTAGGGAATAGAGTGCCATTACGTAGGGAATAGAGTGCCACTATGTAGGGAATAGAGTGCCATTACGTAGGGAATAGAGTGCCATTACGTAGGGAATAGAGTGCCATTACGTAGGGAATAGAGCGCCACTACGTAGGGAATAGAGTGCCATTACGTAGGGAATAGAGCGCCACTACGTAGGGAATAGAGTGCCATTACGTAGGGAATAGAGTGCCACTATGTAGGGAATAGAGTGCCATTACGTAGGGAATAGAGTGCCACTACGTAGGGAATAGAGCGCCACTACGTAGGGAATAGAGTGCCATTACGTAGGGAATAGAGTGCCATTACGTAGGGAATAGAGTGCCATTACGTAGGGAATAGAGTGCCACTACGTAGGGAATAGAGTGCCACTATGTAGGGAATAGAGTGCCATTACGTAGGGAATAGAGTGGCATTACGTAGGGAATAGAGTGCCATTACGTAGGGAATAGAGTGCCATTACGTAGGGAATAGAGTGCCATTACGTAGGGAATAGAGTGCCACTATGTAGGGAATAGAGCGCCATTACGTAGGGAATAGAGTGCCACTACGTAGGGAATAGAGCGCCACTATGTAGGGAATAGAGCGCCATTACGTAGGGAATAGAGTGCCACTACGTAGGGAATAGAGTGCCATTACGTAGGGAATAGAGTGCCATTACGTAGGGAATAGAGTGCCATTACGTAGGGAATAGAGTGCCACTATGTAGGGAATAGAGCGCCATTACGTAGGGAATAGAGTGCCATTACGTAGGGAATAGAGTGCCATTTCGGATGAAGGCCTGTTATAGATCCAGTTTGTTAGAGGAATGTTTAGTATAGAGGGGATTATAGTGTTAAAGCGTGGGAGCTCATCACTTCATAATGACTTCTTTTAGTATAAGCTCTGGTAGATGCGTGACAAGCCCCTCGCCCCGACTCCTGTGTGGGTGTTAAACATCAAAGTAGAGAATTATGGATTTATATAGTGCTTTAGGTTATCAATTGTTGACTACATTTTGCATCGGTGAAAAGCATAGGGCTAATATTTAACAAAGTATAATATTAAATGCCATTATAACAAAGTCATAGTGAGTTGGATTTGAACCACGTACAGGTCTAGCCATGTCGTAATGCATTGTTATATAAAGGTTGTATCTATGAACATTCATATTCTGTCTTGACAGGACAAAAGCCCTGGTGCTGGAGCTGCTGGCAGCGGTGTGTCTGGTTAGAGGAGGTCATGAGATCATACTCTCTGCATTCGACAACTTCAAAGAGGTGAAGTATTACTTTACTATTTAACAGACGCTCTTATCCAGGGGAGGGAATGGCCGGCAGGGATGTAGCTCAGTTGGTAGAGCATGGTGTTTGCAATGCCAGGGTTGTGGGTTCGATTCCCAGTATGAAAAATAAAAAAATAATGTATGCACTCACTAACTGTAAGTCGCTCTGGATAAGAGCGTCTGCAAAAAATAAAAAAAATAAGTAAACTATAACCTCAGTATTAGGCTACTTTAGGCAGAATTCACCATTTGTTTTCTTCCAAATACTTTGAACGCTTGCGTGAGCTTGCTTGGCACAATAAAACCAACAGAATAATCCCAAAAGTGCAAACCCTACCCATCTGGCTCTTCAGGCAGGCTCAATGAAATGCTCAAAGTATCTGAAAGAAAATGAATACTATTTGAACCCTGGTAGGTCTGTTAGGCAAAGCCCAAAACCATGCTATGTCTGGGGCTATTAATCTCATTAAGCCACCAGATGTGAGGCAACCGTGATAAGGATCAATTTCCTGATGGGAGTGAGTGGATCACAAAGGTTTGCTTAGCCTCTCAGTTTCTAGCCTGTATAGTCAGCTTAACACCGGAATCAGCCCATTACTCTGCGCAATCTGCAGAGCCCCACAGAACCCCATAGAGCAATACTCTAATCAGCCACAACAATGTGTGAACCAACCAACGACTGTGGTGGGATTTTAAAATGTAATCATAATGACAGATAAGTGTTTACTGAAACGCTATAGCTAAGATGTCCGCCACCAGTTTTGGGCTGTATCCCAAATGGCATCCTATTCCCTATATAGTGCACTACTTTTGACCAGAGCCTGCTTTGGTCAAAAGTCAAAAGCAGTGCAATATATAGGGGATAGGGTGCCATTTGAGACGCAGTTCTGGTTTATAGCCATATGTGTGCAGCAATTAAGTATAAATTACAAAACAACAACTCTAGGCTAAAGAATGCTGATATGGAATGAAGGGTTGGATTTTGTCTTTATTTAAATCAGAGGGTTTTCTTTAGGTTGGGAAATCAGCTTGTTTGTTTTCTTTGTCTCAAGTGTGTGTGTGTGTGTGTGTGTGTGTGTGTGTGTGTGTGTGTGTGTGTGTGTGTGTGTGTGTGTGTGTGTGTGTGTGTGTGTGTGGGAGTCTGGCGAGGTCTCTATCCCTTTGCCTTATTTTTACTCTGTTCCCTTCCCAAGAATTCCTATAATTAGGAGGGCTTTTCATTTCAGATAGAGTGTGTTGACCGCTGCTTACACTCGTAGCCTTGGCATGGGTCACTATCAGTGGAGGCTCCTCAGAGGAGGAAAGGGAGGACCATCCTCCTCAGTGAATTTCATACAAATAAAAATATGGAAACATGAAAAAAGTTTTTAGATAAAACGATACTAAATATATTCACGTCACCAAATAATTGATTAAAACACACTGATTTGCAATGAAGGTCTACAGTAGCCTCAGCAGCCCTCTGTAGGGTAGCACCATGTTGTAGCCGGAGGACAGCTAGCTTCTGTCCTCCTCTGGGTACATTGACTTCAATACAAATAATACAAAATACAAAAATATCAAAGCATTTTGGAAACGTATTGGAACATATCGGGAACTGAGCAGATTCAGATGTGAACATAACTGAAATACATCCTCCTCTTTTGGATTTGAAGATGACTTAAGATGCGGCAACCCCCCCCCAAAAAAAATATGCTCCTGTCTGTATTGACCTAATACATTATATTTCTATTCCTTTTCAGGTGTGCAAGGAGAAGCATCGCTTTGAGAAGCTGATGGACTATTTCCATGTGGAGGATGGGAACATTGACTTCATGGTGGCCTGCATGCAGTTCATCAACATCATGGTCCACTCAGTAGAAGACATGAACTTCAGGGTTCACCTGCAGTATGAGTTCACTAAGCTGGGCCTAGATGACTACCTGGAGGTAGGAGGATGCTATGAATACAATATAATAAGTCATCTAAATCATGTATTTATGAACAGTCACTAAAACCAAGATGTCTCCAAGGAGCCATACATACTGTAGGCTGTGTCTCATGCCTTTTGCGGCTGCATTTGAGGCAGGCAGTTAAAATTGCCATTTTAGGTTATGTCCCTTTTCCAAGATACCTTAAAATGTTGCCTTCTACGGTACCTTCATAATGTGAACCTGAACCTCTCCTTCTCTCCCTCCAGAAATCCAAGTACACAGAGAGTGACAAGCTGTCAGTCCAGATCCAGGCCTACCTGGACAATGTGTTTGATGTGGGCGGCCTGCTGGAGGACGCAGAGACCAAGAACGTGGCTCTGGAGAAGGTGGAGGAACTGGAGGAGCACCTGTCCCATGTAAGAACCACCAGACAGACCAGACCACCCACTATGCCTCTGTACAGGATTGGAATGTTTTCACATGTGTTATAGGTCAAATACACACATGGCAATGAGTCTTGTAGTTGTTATTAGCACTGAATTCTATAGAATATTTGGCCTTTTCCATACTGATGATTGTACATGAAAAGAGTTCCATGAAGTACCGTAATCAGGTACGTCATTATCAGGTCTGATTGGGTCTTCTCTGCTATGTCAGTCAGTCAGTCAGTAATGTGAAGTAAACCATCCACCATGTTGTTCCAGTGAACCCTTTCTAACACAGAAAGGTCAGAGGCGCACGTGCCGTCATCTGGAGAATTTCAAAACAACCCCGGCTTTCAGGGGCCAGGAATTACGGGGGAGGAGGAGAGCGAACATTCCCAGAGAATTCCTTTCATTCTTGTACAGCATGTTATCCAATTTCAAAAGTGAAAGCTAGCTAGGTCATGTCAACCTCACTTGCACTTGATGTGTCATGCTGCTAGGCATATCACATTTATTATTGATGCTGCGGCGAATAAAGTACAGGGGAGAGAGAGAGAGATAGAGAGAGAGCGATAAAGGGAGTGGAACTGGGCGAGATGCCCGGGTTGGACTTTACTGCATCAATGCTTTAATTCACCTCCTCTATCCCTGTTGTCCCATCTCTCCACTCCCTCTGCTTTTCTCTCCATGCCTCCGACCTTCTCTTTCTTTGCTCACCCTCTCTATCCTCTCCACCCTGTACTAGGTGACGGAGAAGCTGCTGGAGGTGGAGAATGAGACCATCATGAAAGTGGCTGATCTGGAGAAGCAGCTCCTACAGAAGGACAAGGATCTCCACGTCATACGGGTAAGATAAGCTGGTGATCATTATTATAATACGGAATCCAATTATCATTACATTTCTCATATGCAGCATCAGATGTACTCTTGATGATTCAGCACAGCCGTAGCGTGTCTTTGCACGTCTTAATGTTGTATTAATATGTTGTTTTGCAACAGTGTTTTACGACACCTGGTTGAGTAGATGTACGGCCATGGCAGAATACCATCAACGTTTGATTAACTATGCTCTAGCAAGAATGGTATTATAGCAAATTGATCGGCAGGATATGGAATGATTATGATCCTGTATAGTTTGTGGAGTCATTTCTCTCTATCTCCCCCTGGTGGTCTGACCCAACAGGAGACATATGAGTCGACCAACACCCAGGTCCACACCCTGAGGAGGATGATCAAGGAGAAAGAAGCTGCCTTCCAGAGGAGCTTCAACATCGAGAAGCGCCTGCTGGAGATGGAACAGCAGGGGACCATCCGCCTCCGCAAGAAGCCAGATGGGGACATCGCCATCGAGCCCCTGGGAGGGGGTGGTGGTGGTGGTGGTGGTGGTGGAGGAGGGAGTGGAGGTCCAGGTGTGCCTCAGGGTGACTTTGGGCAGAACAGAGGGTTCTCAGTGGGGCCTGGAGGAGTAACAGGGCCAGGAGGACCAGGAGGACCAGGGACTAGTCTACCATCAGCCAGTGAAGCACCTCCTCCCCCGCCTCCCCCTCCACCGCCTCCTCCTCCTCTGCCCTCTGCTTTAGGTACAGTACCATGATCAGTTATACTATTTCACATCATTGTGCCGACTCCAACTGTACTGTGTTGGCTTTCTTTTAACATTGTCCTTCATAGCAGGGGATCTCAACCTTTTCCATTCCAAATTCCAAGGGCCACTGAAAGGTTGAGAATCAATACTTTACAGCACAAACTATGATGGATGCGTAACCAGGCCAGCACAGTACAGCTCAGCTCGGCTCTGTAGTGTGAAAAGGGTATTACTGTCTGTGCTAAACAGTGTGTGTGGTATACATGTATGTATGAGAGAGGAAGTCACTAGAGTCCAAATGGACATAGGGGACATAGGTCTATGAGGGCAGATCTATTTTAGAGTTGCCCTCTGTGCCCTTTTGTGCCCAGCCAGGTGATTGGTCAAAGTAGGGCCCGGGCCCCGCCAGTCCAGACAGGAAAGGGAAACGCTAGGGTGTTTCCTCCCTCACTGTGAATCAGGGTGCTGACAGGCTGTGCACATACACACGCATGGCAAGCACACACACACACACACACAAGGAAACAGCTGGATGGACGCACAACACTAGTGTATGCCATCATAAACCAATATTATGGATTATCTTCTACTCATCGTACTGATTTGGTACAGCATGTTAGAACTAGCCTCTCTCACAGACATTCATAAGCTTGAGATTTGATTATGGCTCATGAGAACAGAGCTACACAGACTATGGCGTTGTTGGTCGATGCTGACTGAGTGTTTGTCTTCTATTCCACAGGAGAGAATGCTCCACCCCCACCTCCTATGGCCCCGCCTTTACCAGGAACTACACCCAACTTCATCCTCAATATGGGCCTATCAGGTAAGAGCTAACATCAGCCTCGAAATATGATGCATTGCACGTCTGCTATGGTGCCATTATGATTCATCTAAACTAAAAAAGAACTTAGGGTGGAGTATAGAATGTGTTGAAATGAATACAGTACAAGATACAAGTCTGATTGTGTGATGGTAATGTGCCTGATTTTCTATATAACGACTGTCCTGATATTCTATGTAATAATGAGTGTAATGTCGGTCTGCAGCTATCAGGATCAAGAAGCCCATCAAGACCAAGTTCCGCCTGCCTATTTTCAACTGGACCGCGCTGAAACCCAACCAGATCAACGGCACGGTCTTCAGCGAGATAGATGATGAACGAGTACTAGAGGTGAGTCTACCAGTCCAGGATAAACCTCCATTTAGGTGCCTTCATCTGACAGTTTAGCTCTTAATTAGGGGCCCGAGTTGTTCCTTGTCATGTCGCGTGGTCAGGAAAATAGGCCCTCAAGGCCCTCCTCCTAACTCATTGTATACTGATTGTCAAACCAGCCCTGTTTTGTTTTTTTGCAATAAAAACTAAACAGAAAACTCCTAACTGAAACAATTATCTTTGTCATAGAAAATGTACATGCTTTGAGGTATCACGTTTGACTGAGTGTGTGGTGTGTGTTGTCTGTCTATAGGAGCTGGATGTGGAGAAGTTTGAGGAGCTTTTTAAGACCAAGGCCCAGGGTCCTTTGGTGGACCTGAGTGGTCCCAAGACCAAAGTGTCTCAGAAGGCTGCCAACAAGGTCAGCCTGCTGGACGCTAACCGCTCCAAGAACCTGGCCATCACCCTGAGGAAGGCCAACAAGAGCACTGAGGAGATCTGCAAAGCCATACAGAGGTACGTACTGTAACCTATACCTTGCTCTCCACAAATCAATTGTATTTTTACATCAACAATTCAGTTGTCACAAAGTGCTTTACAGTAACCCGGCCTGGACCTTCAAAGAGCAAGCAAGAAGCACAGTGTCCAGGAAAAACTCCCAAGAAAGAAGAAACCTAGCGAGGAACCAGACTCCGAGGGGCCCAACCATCTGGTTCTACCAGCATAGTTTCCAGTTCTAGCGCTGATGTTTCTAACCGGTCTCCCCCCTCTGATGCTTTATGCTCGGTCTCCTTACCCAGGTTTGACCTGAAAGCACTGCCGTTGGACTCAGAGGAGTATCTGATGTTTCTAAACTGTCAGTATTGCAACCTCTACTATTTGTTTCTCCCTACAGCTTCGATCTGAAGGCCCTGCCGGTGGACTTCGTGGAGTGTCTGATGCGGTTCCTTCCCACAGAGGCGGAGGGGAAGATGATGCGTCAGTACGAGCGGGAGCGGCGACCGCTGGACGCGCTGACGGACGAGGACCGATTCATGCTCTTCTTCTCCAAGATCGAACGGCTCACCCAGAGGATGAATATTATTACGTTTGTAGGGAACTTCTCAGACAACGTCAGCATGCTAACCCCGCAGCTCAACGCCATCATCGCAGCGTCCGCATCCGTCAAGTCTTCACCAAAGTTAAAACGAATGCTAGAGGTAAGGGTTCTCTCTTGGATTCCATCATCAGGGATTAAAGTAGTTTGAATTGGATGAGAAGCATCCTTTCAGTTTAGCAATCAGTGGTGAGTTTAGCACTAAAATCATCTAGGCCAGTTGTAGGCAATGGATCTTAGTGCTACAACTATTTTGGGAAACTCTGTTGTTTTTGCTTGACCCTGGCCATGTTTTTATGGTGCTAAAATGTGTATTCTTACTTTCTGTGCGCTCATAGATCATCTTAGCCCTGGGAAACTACATGAACAGCAGCAAGAGAGGCTCTGTGTATGGCTTCAAACTACAAAGTCTTGATCTGGTGAGTACTGTACGAAACAAAGTAGCTCATTTTAGAGAGCTGCTGTGTGCAAGTCCTCAAGCGACTTCTCAAGTGTTGACTGTATCTTCAAGGGGCTACACTTTGAACTTTTTTCAAGATGTACTCTTCCAGAATGAAAAGGGCCTTGGCTGATATGTATTCTGGCCATGTATTCAGTTTCAAGTGCTCAGTTTATCTCCATATTAGTTATACAAGGCTATAATTATACACTTGTTTCAAGCGTGATAAAAGAGGCTTGGCTGATATGAATTGCTCTCCTCCCCCAGCTGCTGGACACCAAGTCTACAGACAGGAAGATGACTCTGCTCCACTACATAGCTGTGGTTGTCAAGGAGAAGTATCCTGAGCTGGCTAACTTCTTCAATGAACTGCACTTTGTGGACAAAGCTGCTGCAGGTGAGTACACTTCTACACAGACACCATGAGACAGGAATGGGACTCCTCTTCTCTTCTGATCTCTTTCTCTTCTAACTTTATGAAGAAGACAGTTTATGTGAACCACAGTAGAATTGAGGGGTCTTGATATTTGTGTGTGTGCCTGCATGCTTATCTCTCTCTCTAGTATCTCTGGAGAATGTGCTGCTGGACGTGCGGGAGCTGGGTAAAGGGATGGATCTGATCAGGAGAGAGTGTAGTCTCCACGACCACTCTGTTCTCAAGGGCTTCCTCCAGACCAGCGACACTCAGCTGGACAAACTGCAGAAGGACGCCAAGACTGCCGAGGTAAACTAAACACATCCTATCAAAACTACAAACACAATTGTTCAATACAAGTCTCTAAACGTTTCAACTTCTAAACATCTTCCACTACCCTAAAAAAAATGTTTGGACCGCTAAAGCATGCACAACATTTTTCTTCAGGAAGAATTGCCTGTCTAAAACTACAAACGGGTCAAAACCAAATATAACACAACTTAGTGTAACACGACCCAACACCTCTTCCTAGAAGCAGCACAACAAAGCCCAAGATACAACAATGCAGCACAACACTTACAGGAACTTGACCTCAAACAAAAGGCTTTGTAAAGGTTAGCGATGTTGACAAATGTGTCCCACCCTTGACACTTCTGTCTCCCCATGTCATTTCTAGGAAGCCTTCAACAATGTGGTGAACTATTTTGGGGAGAGTTCCAAAACGACTCCTCCGTCTGTGTTCTTCCCTGTGTTTGTGCGATTCATCAGAGCTTACAAGGTAAGGAAGGACCAAACAGCACAGTTCTAACATATATCTTTACCCCTTTACGTGTATATAATATGCCATATAGCAAATGCTTTTACAGTAAAACGAGTGCATACATTTCTTATGCGTATGTGATCCCCCTGTAGGAAATGAACCCACAACCCTGTAGTGCCTTGAAGTGTCGCTAGCGCCACACTCTTACCAACTAAGCCACACAGGACCATGTTAAGGTGGAGCTTGCTCTCTCTGTCCTATGGGAGTTAGCCTAACCTTGGGTTAGTCTGGGTCTGGGTGTTGCCCTGCTGCCTCTAAGAGCAGAGCAGAGCTGCTTGTGTGCCACAGGACAGGGTGTGGACTGGAGTCACAGGTCTAATAACAGGATGGGCCAGCTGGGTCTGCCTTCAGAGCAGCAGCTGTGGTGTTTAGACTGGGCCCCGTCTCCCGCCTCCTTCCCCCCTGCTTTCCCCTTTCTCCCCCTGCCTCCCCACTCTGACCCCTGGACCGAGGGCCCCACCCTGCCTCTGCTTCCCCCTGCCTCCACCCTGACTCCCCCCCGGAAGGACAGACGGCCCCTGCCACACAGACACCTTCCTGAGATTGTTCTCTACAAGGATTTATGGATCTGCAGGAGCTGTGCGCTTGCGTGTGTGTGAGAGAGAGAGAAATAGAGAAGGGAAGAGAGAGAGAGAGACACAGAGAAGGGAAGAGAGAGAGAGAGAGAGAGACACAGAACATGTATGGTGCTGACTGTTTAGCTACATGAAAGTGTGTTTTCTTTGTGTTTACTCAACACCCAGATCCATATATTTCCATAGCTTGGCTTAGCCAGTGTCTTGACTGGTATTGAATTGAAGTCTCATTTTGTGTTCTCCTCCCTACAGGATGCGGTGGTGGATAATGAGCAGAGGAAAAAGCAGGAGGAAGCCATGAGAGAGAAGTTACTGGCTAAGGAGGCCAAGCAACATGACCCCAAGGTACAATACTAGAAGTCTCCCTAGCCCTGACTGCCAGACAAGGCCCAAAAAGCCAAGACGATGATCATACTCAAACTGGACTCAACCAACAGTAGTAAAATTGAGCTTATTGTACAATGACTCTAGATAGTCTAGATGTAGAATGTAGACTAAATGGTGGATAATTATGCAATCAACAAAGCCTTATATTTCTCAATATATTTCTCACACTTCCAATAAGGAGTTCGTGCATTTGTATGATTGAAATGATCCATGGGCAGCTCAAGCTATTTGGGGGACCTAGGCAGGATTTGATGTTCTTCCTCCTCTCCCTCCCAGGTCCAGGTAGTGAAGAAGAGGCAGCAGCAACAGGAGCTGATCTCAGAGCTGCGTAAACGCCAGGCTAAGGACCACCGGCCCGTCTACGAGGGGAAGGACGGCACCATCGAGGATATCATCACAGGTGGGCTCGACATGCAGCCTCGCAGGCAGCCACGCAGCCCTCAGCCAGGCCCCAGTAGGAGCCCCAGGTCCCCTGGTCCAAGCCCCAGCCACCGTCCAAGCAGTCCTAGGGGCAGAGGCCGAGGCCAGGCTAAGATCACTGTGGTCCTCAACTGCTCGGCTGGAGGAGCACTCTGTTACGTGGTTCAGACACCACTGCTAGAAGCTATACAGCAGCTAGACAACAGAAGATTCCAGTTCTGAACGTCCCAGTAGTTTGTTTTTGTGGCCTGCTAGTTATTTAGATTAGTAGTGTCTCATCATTATACAGTAGCTGTGCAGCTAAGCAGCAAGTCAAGCCATTGGATCTGTTATGCATGTCACAATAGATCAAAAATGGCATCTTATCCCAATGCCCTGTTTCGTGGGAGGTGCAAACTCAGGACAGTTCCTAACTTAACTCTAATTAATCAACATCTACAGTGAAATAATACAAATGTTAAATGTTAATAATGCTAATAATATGTTAATAATGCTTTTCCTCCCCACTACTAGCCCTGGTCCTTTACAACACTTGCGTCATCTACGTTACGCTACAGACAGGATAGCCCTGTCCTCCTGGACATAGCGTGTGTCTGACATGGCACTTTATTCCCTATAGTGCACTACTGGTCAAAAGTAGTGCACTATATAGGGAATATGGTGCATTTCAGATGCACCCAAATACCTTTTGAGGGCTTTAAGACCCACAGTAATGTAGTCTGGTCCTCCAATACTCCAATACAGCGAGGTGTGACACAGAGAGAGCTGGTATACTGGATACAGATATTACAGTTATAGGACAGTTGCAGCACCTTGAGGAGTGCCTGTGCTGTTCTAGACTGTACCAGGCTGATGGAAGATAGGGGGGTGTACAACAGTACAATAACAGTACAGGTTCCTCTGTCTCAGGTGTGACGTTTTCTCCCCTCCTCCTCCTCCCCCCTCAGTGCTGAAGAGCGTCCCCTTCACAGCCCGTACTGCTAAACGAAGCTCACGGTTCTTCTGTGAGGCACAGCTCTGTGACGACTCCAACTGCTAGCCCCTACAGTTCCTCCCCCTATTGCCAAGGTTGTCCAGAACAGGTGTCCTCTCCTCGTTACCCCCCTGCCTGACCACTGTGCATGCAGCATGACCCCCCGACCTCATCACTCCCTAAGACTACTCCTTACCCCCCCCCTTTACTAATTTAGGCCGGGCTGCGCAGTGCGGTTTGTTTGAATCCCGGCCCTCGACTCTTATTGGTGGCAAGTGTGTGTTCTATCTACCTCAAAAGCACTTCTACCTGAATTAACAGGATAGAAGTCAGACAGCCAATCCTCTGAATGACTGAACCTGATATTTTGATATTCATGCTGAATCAAAGGCTAATGTTACAATGGGAATATATTATTATTTACACTGAACAAAAAATATAAACGCAACATGCAATAATTTTAAAGATTTTACTGAGTTACAGTTCATATAAGGAAATCAGTCAATTTAAATCAATTCATTAGGCCCTAATATATGGATTTCACATGACTGGGAATACAAATATGCATCGGTTGGTCAGAGATACCTTAAAAAAAAGGTAGGGGCGTGGATCAGAAAACCAGTCAGTATCTGGTGTGATCACCATTTGCCTCATGCAGCGCGACACATCTCCTTCGCTTAGAGTTGATCAGGCTGTTGATTGTGGCCTGTGGAATGTTGTCTCAGTCCTCTTCAATGGCTGTGTGAAGTTGCTGGATATTGGCGGGAACTGGAACACGCTGTCGTACACGTTGATCCAGAGCAGCCCAATCATGCTCAATGGGTGACATTTCTGGTGAGTATGCAGGCCATGGAAGAACTGGGACATTTTCAGCTTCCAGGAATTGTGTGCAGATCCTTGCGACATTGGGTCATGCATTATCATGCTGAAACATGAGGTGATGGCGGCGGATGAATGGCACGACAATGGGCCTCAGGATCTCGTCACGGTATCTCTGTGCATTCAAATTGCCATCGATAAAATGCAATTGTTTTCGTTGTCCGTAATTTATGCCTGCCCATACCATAACCCCACCACCACCATGGGGCACACAACGCCATACACAATGTCTGCCATCTACCCAGTACAGATGAAACCGGGATTCATCCGTGAAGAGCACACTTCTCCAGCGTACCATTGGTCATCGAAGGTGAGCATTTGCCCACTGAAGTTGCTTACAATGCCAAACTGCAGTCAGGTCAAGACCCTGGTGAGGACGACGACGAGCACGCAGATGAGCTTCCCTGAGAAAGTTTCTGCAGAAATTCTTCGGTTGTGCAAACCCACAGTTTCATCTGCTGTCCGGGTGGCTGGTCGTAGATGTTCCCGCGGGTGAAGAAGCCAGATTTGGTGGTCCTGGGCTGGCGTGGTTACATGTGGTCTGCGGTTGTGAGGCCGGTTGGACGTACTGCCAAATTCTCTAAAACGACGTTGGAGGCGGCTTATGGTAGAGAAATTAACATTCAATTCTGGTGGGCATTCCTGCAGTCAGCATGCCAATTGCACGCTCCCTCAAAACTTGAGACATCTGTGGCATTGTGTTGTGACAAAACTGCACATTTTAGAGTGGCTTTTATTGTTCCAGCACAAGGTGCACCTGTATAATGATCATGCTATTTAATCGGCTTCTTGATATCCCACACCTGTCAGGTGGATGGATTATCTTGGCAAATGAGAAATGGTCACTAACAGGGATGTAAACAAATTTGTGCACAAAATATGAGAGAAATCAGCTTTTTGTGCGTATGGAAAATGTCTGGGATCTTTTATTTCAGCTCATGAAACATGGGACCAACACTTTACATGTTGCGTTGATATTTTTGTTCAGTATAGTAAGTAGTACGAAATATAATCATATGATCAAGTTGCATCTACTGTAGCATAATAACATGAGCACGGAAAGCTACATTATGTATAAGATATCTATCAGTTCATTCAGGATGTATTTATTTAAATCTTAAAAATACAGTATAAAGAGGTTTGGCTATTAAACCAATCTTGTTAACTAAACAATGCCTTGTTGTTCCATGAAACTAACTAATATGATTGGTTTGGTTTCCCTCTAACCTGGTAACAACCTTTCCTCAACCATCACTCTTTTTTCTTCATTCTACCCCTCTGAACAGCTGAACAGAAGATTAATAACAGTATATGCCACTCCTAAACGCTGCAGGGTAAGGAAGGTAGCCTGAAGCCTGGCCTGTCTGCTTTGGCCCTGGCCCTGGCCCTGCTTGTGCTGTGGCCCCTCTGTGTGCTGCTAGCTACAGTCTATGGTGTTGCTAGTCATGTCAGCTGCTTTAGCCAACCCAGCGCTTCAGATTCATTATAACAGCTAGACCTGCTTTACTGTACTGCACAGCAGTAAGATATGCTATGCTTTACAACAGTCAGATATGCTTTACTGTACAACAGTAAGAAACGTGCAGCTGAGCCTCCATTGCATCGAGATTTATGAAGCCATTTACAACCCCTTCAATATTTTCAAACAATCCAACTCACTTTCCCAAAGAGCCAGCAGAAGCGCAAATATCAGGTCCATCTCGTTTCCATATACCTCTCAAGATGGCAGACTATTTCATCCACCATGAAAGTCTTCTTCTACTCAGGTCCCTCCATCATCACCACCACCTCACTCACCTCTTTCTTCCATGTTGCATGCTGTGTCCAGTGTTCTGTCAATCCACCACTCAGTCACCTGTTGATGTCATGTCTCCATGTCCTGTTTTTCCCTGTTAACTGTGACTTGCGGTGTGCTGAGCAGCTCGATGGTCAACAAGCTCTGTTGAGGCCCCTGCACATCCACACAAACACCGACATATTCAGACAAAAGGACATACAGAAAAAAATACAGAAACATTGGTAACACTACTTGAACACTCCATTATAAAGGGCTACATAACACTGTCATAATCATGACATAACAGATGTCGTTAACATTTAAGGAGACATTTTAGAGACGAGAGCTCCTCTCTCCAGCAACAGGCTAGATTAGTTTTATGAATATTTAGCGTCTCTTTAGCACAGTACCTCACAGAGCTCGTTGACTGCCACAACTGTGATATTATTATAACGTGTGATTATTATTTTCTTTCGTAGTTATGTTGTTGACATAGTGATTTATTTGAATAACTACACCCCCATAGCCTTGGGATGAAAAATCCATATTTCTCTGTCAGTTTTAAGTTGACAATGCAAGGCTATGTGAAGGCATCATTCTCTTTTTGGTTAACGGATACTCACTTTCAATTGGCTACCCATTTGATAACATGTAACTAAAATTTGAAAATGTGAAACATAATTTGCAGAAATATACTGTTTAGGATAAGCACTGCAAATAGATGTTCCTTAATCAACAACCTCAAACCTGAGCATGACGCCACTGGAGCAGTTTGACTTCCCAGTTAACCTGAGTGACCCCTCTCTCCCCCCCTCACCCACTCACAGATCTCCGCAGCCAGCCTTTCCTGCGGCACGACGCGCTGATCCGGAGCGGCTGGAAGAGACCCTAAACAACCCACTCGTTCCTCCTCACTTATCCCCCCTTCCCTTTATAACCCCCCCAACCCCCCCTACCTGTGTCCTGGTGGTCTCACCCACCCCCTGAGGCTGCATCTCCCTGCAGATCACAGAGACTGAAAGGCGGACAGGACCAAAACGATGGCCCAAGTTTTACGGGGGTATTTATTTATTTATGGAGATCCTTGATGGACACTATCTCTCAACAAGCAGGTATAACTGTAGAAGCACAGACATCAGGTGGGTTAGCTTACCCCCTCTCCCACTGAAAACACAGACCGCATGCACGAAGACACAGACACAAACACACACAGAAAACAGAGGACTACAGCGATCGCCAGTGTGTTGGCATTAAGAACAGGACTGGGCAGAGAGAGTCCAAAGAAGAAGAGTATGGTGGTGAGTTGAGCCCTTAAAGGGGCGGCTCGCCTCACACAAGCAGGAAGGAAGGACACTGTAACTGCATAATGTGGACATGGAACCACAAGTGCCTCCTGCCAAGTGCCTGCCAACGTGGATCTTATTTCCATGAACGTGGATTTCCTCCGATTGTGCAATCCAAGCAAGTTGAGGATGGGAGACAGTCGGTCGGTTGTATAAAATGACAGCATATGTTGACTCTGCTGCTGGGATTTCCACTTCAAAGAGAACAGGGTTGTTTTCATAAGGCACCAAACGAAAGAAAACGGACTGGAAACAGGGAGGAACTAGCTGGACTTGACCAATAAGAAACGCTTATTTTCCGTTTTCCGTTGCAAAACATTTTAGGTTGTGTGCCCTAATGAATACGGCCCAGGGTTTTGCCATCACAGAACGTCTCTGTCCACAGAGTTAAGGACTGAAGATTATTGTTAAAGAGACTTTTAATCTTTGGAGATGTTTCTGTACAAGCTAGCCAAACCAAACTTCCTCTACTCATGTCTTATTTCTTATTATTTTGCTAAAGAAGAAGTGCCTTTTTGTTTAGACAGTATTATTTGTGTGACTCAGCTATAATTTGTATCTTTAGTATTTTTGTTGTTGTTAAATATTGTATTTTTTATTGCATTTGTTTGATAACATTACCTTCAAAAACGGTAAAAGAATAATCATATGCAATGGTTTGGAATCAGAATTCCAGCTTTAATCACTATACAGTATTTAAAGGTTGCTTCTCAGCACTGTAATCTAAATTAGCTTAGGCCAAGTGTCTTCGAAAACGTTTTATGAGTGGGTAAAAACATTCCATGTATTTGCTTTCTATTACCTCTAACTTTATGACCTACAGTCCAATTACCACTTCAGTCTTACCACTTCGGCCAGGATTCATTCCAATCCGCCTTAGATCCGCCTTATAGTGCGATTGACATTTAGGGCTCTATTCAATCTGTATCGCTGGAGTGTTACAGATTGCGCGATAGAAATGTAAAGGTAATTTCCGATTGAGCCGACATATGCAGCGTTTACAGTGAATGCTGTCTGAGCTAACGTGGAAACATTGCCTTTAAACTTCAATCACGCTGAACTTCCGAGATACGGATTGAATAGAGCCCTTAAAGGTAATTTCCGATTGAGCAGACATATCCAACATTCCGTCAATACAGTCATGCATTTGTTGGTAGGTAAAGAATGCATTCCTATGAGTCTAACCATGTTCTTTATACTCTGTGTCAAATTTTAGAACTGTAATGATTAAAATTTTTCCCCTTAATAGCCATCAAGTAAGCACAATGATTGTGCACTCCGACTTACAATCTGTTTTTCAATATGGTATTTCCACAAAAGGGACAGCGCATATTTACACTACTTACATTGCCTTCATGTTGTATGAGACACTACTCTTATAGCAGATATTTCTACATACATTTGCATTTTGTATGTAAATCAACGAATAGAAGCCTTTTACTTGTGCTTTTTTGTCATAAGGATGAAATAAAATAGTGCCTGATATTTGATGTATGTTGTCTAAAAGATGACTTCCCCCTTAATAAACAAAATGACAATGTGACTCACATTTGAAAATGTCTGCTTTCTCTCTCTCTCGGTCTCCTTCTTTCTCTTTCTCTCGGTCTCCTTCTTTCTCTCTCTCTCGGTCTCCTTTCTCTCTTGCTCTCTCTCTCTCTCTCTCTCTCTCTCTGTCTCTCCTTTCTCGCTCTCTCACTCATGTTTTTCTTGCCAAATGAAGGTCAGAGCCACAATGCATTTCTACTATAAAAATCAATTTAATTTCTTATATCAAAAAGAAATAAAATCATAACTAACCGAAACAACAGAGCAACAAAAATCCATGTGTGGGGTTTTGTTTTGCTGAAGTGTTTCTGTCAAAATTAAAACAGATTGTTCCTAATTTACATTATTCAAATTAAAATGTAACAGAGCAGAAATGTTATTAAAATCCAAATTATAGTGCATACTGTTAATAACAAGTGATGGTTAAGCTAGAGCAGTTTGCTATAGGGTTTGTATATGGTGTGTTGTGAATTGCATGCAGTGTATTCTGTAATATAGTATGGCAGTTATGGCTGATCACCAACTGGTTAGAAGCAGCATGTTCAGCAGCGCGTGATTGGCTGAGACTGAGACAGAGATGGTTAGACAGACAAGCCGACAGACAGACGAGCCTACAGACGACATAGACAGACGGCTAGCTAGCGTTAGCAGCAAGGCAGAGGGGAATCAACAGGGAACGCTAATCAGGACGCTAACAGTCCTAACCTTCTGAGGAATGCACTTACAATGAGCAGAAACCGAAATTAGATAGGCATGATGTAATTATTACATACATTCAAAACATAAAAACACACAGCATTGTTGATATAAATTCCCACTGAAGTACCATAAAACAACTGGCCTCTCCTGAAAGTATGTTCACTATCACCGACAGAGACGAAAGCATGTTCCGCTTGTTGTTTTACCGTAGATGGTTTGTTTCAGCAATGTCAGGCGTTCACAGAGGCATGCTTGGTGCCAAACTGCCTATTTTCAGGACGAAACAGTCACTGAGATGGTCCTGAACCCTCTGGGCCCCAATATATATCATCTGTCACATCAAGTCCCCCCAAAACATGTCCTTTCGTACACCAAAGACGTCCTCAGTTACTTCCCCGGAATTGTCATCCTGGAATGTCTGCTTCAATACAATCATATTCCTCCAACACATTACACACTCCATTAACCCATTGACTTTCATTCATTAAGCACATTTAGCCGTTCATTTATACAAGACTAAAACAGAAAAGGTGGTAAAACATAGTACAGACAAACTGCTATATGTTATTTGATGTTTGTATTCCTGGGTATATTTTCAAGACACTTTGTTAATAGGGTTATATATATACGCATGTGTAAATATATGTAACTTTTAGTCTGTGCAAGGAGGTAAAAGACAATCACTCAACACAACGGACATTAATATGTGTGATGCTGACTGACTCCACCATGTGGACATGTGCAGTTCTGATTCCAGTTCCTGAACTACAGTTTCGGAAGTCTTAGTTCCACCAGACATGGTCTCACTCTGCACCTCCAGCATAGACCAAACCAGCATCAATTGGCATTCAGAACTGACTTTGTATTGAACTTGGCCCCCTCTCTTCTCCACGTCTTTCACAAACAACACTTCTCTGAAATGGAACAATGTTTTTTCCCTATACAATTCATACAAAAATAAAAACGTAAAATTGTTCCACTGTTGTTTGTTTTTCTCTACACCTTTGCACAGAGGTAGTGGCTATATGGATGAAGGGGGGAGGGAGAGGAGCGAGGGAGGATGGAAGTGAGCAAAATTTTTAACGAGAGAGTTGAATGAATAAATCTGTCTATAAAATGGTTCTTCCTTTTTCTGACCAGAGGAATTTTCATTTTTCTCTCAAAAGAACAAAATATAATACTGCAATCACATACAAAAGTAGTCCTTCATTTTATACAGTGTTCTCGCTTTCTTTTTGTTGCTTTTCTTTTCTCGATTGGTAAAAGGCATAAGATCAGCGTTTGTCTCTTTGCGGGCGTGGTCTAGACGTGGCTCGGGCATGCCTGACCTCTGACCTCTATGCCAGCGGGTCACTCATGTCCTCATCCTCCCCATCATCCCCCTGTGACAGTAACTCTTTCTTCTCGTCTGTACTAGCCAAGGAGTTGCGACTGTTGTGGGCTCCCATGTACAGGGTGGCGTACACTGGGTTGGTGAAGTTGGTAGGCTGCAGGGAGGGAACACAGAAATAATGTTTGGACAAAGAGCATACAAGGGTCCTAAATTAGGTTTCATTGCAATCCAGGTAGTCTAGAGGCAGAGTCTCATGGAGTGCACTTTTTTTGATGTGTCAATTTAATTCCTATGAGTTAAGAAGTGCTGCAGTGTTAAAACAAGTAACCTGAGGGTTAAAACAAGTGTTAACTATTTAAGATGGATCAAGTGTGAATATAAGTGAGTGTGTTGTTACCTTGTCTGGATCTAAAGCGAAGTCTGAATCCAGGAGTTCCCCAGCATCGTCGTCTGGCTCCCCTTCGTAGATCTTATAGGCTGGGTTTCCTATTTCCACGTTCATGGCCCCGTTGGTCATCCTATGGTGCTGGAAGCCCTTAGCACTGTGGACACACACACACACAGTGAGTTTGTTTCTTCTCAACACTTTAACAGTAGCATAGACGTAGCTACAACACAGGAACACACACTGAAAGCACTGAGAGCCTTGAATCAAGCCACTGACAGGAGAGAGAAATCCAGCATACACCAAACCATCACACACCACCAGCTACATGTACAGTACAGGAAAACGATTCCACACAGTCAAGGCAACACCGAACCACGGTACATTGAAAATGCAAATGTGCTTTTTTCAAAGGCCATTTGGACACATCCAGTGTCTATCCTGGTGAATGCTGGATTTTCCACAACGCAAATGTTCCACTGCTACAATGCAGGCACAGAAGCATCACTGATAGATACAAATATTTATACATGTAGACAGGGAAAGGTATGGATGGGTAAGGAAGAACCAGTCAATCTATCTGTCAATAGACCCCTGCGTTCCTGGGTGGGAAACCCTGTACTGAACAAGAGAGAGGAGGCACGGACAGACAGACACTCTCCTACAGAGAGACCAGCAAAATGGAGGACCGTCACTGGACCGACAGACAAGATGGTGGTTTAGATGAGGCATTGGGGAGAGGGGGGGAAACAGGTGATAGACATGACCCTATTAAGTTACCGAGAACGTCGGGAGCGTTTGCCCGGCCATGCAGACCTAGAAAGAGGGAGAGAGACGGAGAAAAGAGAGAGAAAAGAGAGAGAAAATAGAGATAAAGAGGGAGTGTGATGGTGGGAGGTACAGATGAAAGGTGGAAAAGAGATTCGAGTTTGACAGAATGAGTGGGAGCTCTCACACCCAGTCTCAACACAATGGTTGTTTACTCTAGTGGTTCCCAAACTCTGGAGTCGGTAGGGTGGGGGTCCCCCCCCCCCCCGGGGACAGGGGCTCAGTTAGTAGAATGCACTAGTAGAATCCTCTTGTCATGGCAGTCATTGCATACCTTAGAGAGCCATTTATAACTTGTCAGAAATGTCCAGATCAACTAGCCCATGCCAGCTATTGTTTTTTAGCTAGGTTTTTTTAGCCCATAGATTTTGTTGCAATATTTGAGTCTCACAAATATCACAAGCATACACATTGGAAATGGAAAAATTTACAGAATTGCAAGAAAACTGTAACATTTTCTCTGCACCTCATTACAAAATGTGTAGAATTGCAGGAAATAAGCTTTAAAACCTGCCAAAAAATTCCTCCGCCAACAAGACGGTTGTGAACAGTTTGTGTCATGAACAGTGCTGGTGCCCATAGAGATAGACGTGGCAGGGGCGCGGGATGTTCCCCAATGCTGGAAGGGGGGCCTGAGTGAAAGAGTTTGGAAACCCCTGGTCTACTCACCCACGCATTCTCCTCTTGTACCACAAGATCGCCCCGACGACAAGCAGCGCCAGTAACAACAGCAGCAGCACTGGGATGACTATGGAGGCAGAGCCTGCAGAGAGAGCAACATGGACACCAATGAGAACAGAATATATGCAACACATCGACCAATGAGAGACAGACAGGTTATAACATGTATTGTGCTATAATCATGTGTTCTAATCTGTAGTTATAACATGTGTTTCACTGACACTGTAAAGAGACTAAAGTAACTTACTTCCACTGGAGACAGGAGAATCCACAGGAGAGGCAATGACTTCACATCGATACCCCCTCCATTCTATAGGACACCTAAATACACATCACACAGGTTACAGAGAGACCCCTAAATACACATCACACAGGTTACAGAGAGACCCCTAAATACACATCACACAGGTTACAGAGAGACACCTAAATACACATCACACAGGTTACAGAGAGACCCCTAAATACACATCACACAGGATACGGAGAGACACCCAAATACACATCACACAGGATACAGAGAGACACCCAAATACACATCACACAGGTTACAGAGAGACACCCAAATACACATCACACAGGTTACAGAGAGACCCCTAAATACACATCACACAGGTTACAGAGAGACCCCTAAATACACATCACACAGGTTACAGAGAGACCCCTAAATACACATCACACAGGTTACAGAGAGACACCCAAATACACATCACACAGGATACAGAGAGACCCCTAAATACGTGTGTGTATGATAGGGTTCCATCCTCTTACTTGCACTGGGGCAGGAGCGTGCGTGGTTGGATAGAGCAGAGTCCTTTGGTGCAGAAATCTAGACAGGTGTAGCAGCTGGGTTGGGTCTGACCGTTAGGACAGCTGGACATAGACAGGTACACAGACACAAGGACAGAGAGAGTGAGTGAACAAACAACACCAGATAATTGTTTTTGAGGATAACACCAGGATAACTCGTATATTAAGATAAAACAAACTGGGGACTGAGCAGAATGTGTGTGTAAGGTGTGTGTGTGTGACTGAGCAGTGTGTGTGCATCTGTGCATGTGTGAGCGTGAACGGACTGAACAGTGTGTGTGGTGTGTGTGTGTGTGTGTGTGTGTGTGTATGTAGCGTGCACTCCTACCTGCACATGACCTCTCCTGAGGCTTTGGGCAGACACTTGCCGTTGGGTCCGCAGTACTCGCACTTGTCCAGCTCACATAGCTGTCCGTGGAACTGAGGGGGACAGCGACACAGCTTGGTGGAATTGGCTGTCTGCAGACACTTCCCCTCATTCTTACAGTAATCCTCACATTTACCTGGAGGGGGGTGAGCAGATTGAGAGGCAGAGAAATAGAGCTTACAGTCTCACAGTGAAGACTCTCCTTTTGAGCCATTTCTGATTAGTGATTAAGTATTGCATTAAGAAGTGGATTGAAGACAGGTTATTTAAATGTTTTTTGCTGAACTGCTTCAAAATAAATAATTAAAATCAGACGAATGACAGATCCAGATGAAAATACAGGAACTATACTTTTCGGTACACTGTTATACCAAGCTGATACAAAGCTGAATGCTCAACATCCACTTGACTTGGAAGTTGTGCACATGGTTGGGTAAATAACCTCTTATTAACCCTTTATAGAATATGCACTCACTGTATTGACACTGGTCTCCCAGGTACTCAGGCGGACAGTGACAGGTGGGCTGGTTGCCCTGGGATACGGTGCAGTTGCCTCCATTGTGACAGTAGTCCTGACAGGTGTGCAGGTTACACTGGGGCCCCGTGAAGCCCTTCAGACAGCGACATGTAGGGGCCCCTGGAAGAGAGAATGACAAGGTCAAAGGTTAAGTAAGACGGGTGTGGACGTTACACTGGAAACAAAGGGTCATGCTAAATAAGAACAAAAATATAATGTAGGCTAAATACTATGTGACTACCTAACACACATAGTGCTGAATCCTAACCTGAGATATGTTTGGATGAATATCAACGCGCGAATAACATGAGAATTTGCATCAAGTTAGGATTCAGCCCCTAGAGTCTGCAATAGAAAATGGCAGCCACCTAGAATAGTTTGCGGCCACACCAATGACCTACCTGCGACGGAGGCAGTGCAGGCCCCTCCGTTCTTACAGTAGTCTCTACACTGGTTGACCTCACACCTCTCTCCCGTGAAGCTGGACTGACACTGACACTTAGCCTGCTGCCTGGCGTTCAGGAAGCAGTTCCCGCCGTTCAGACACAGGACCGTACACGGCCCGGACGGGGGAGCTGGGAGGAGAGGGGTTGGGGGGCAGGAGATAGGGGGAGAGGTTATTGATAGAGTGTGTGTGTGTGTGCGCATATGTACATGCGTGCGTGTGTGTGTACTTACAGAATGGAGACTGTGTGGGAGGGGGTCTCTCCACACATGTGCCGTTTTCAGCCACGCGGTCGTTAGGACAGGTACAGACTGGACCACTGGGGCTGAGCAGACACAACCACTCACACTTCTTCCTGTCACATGGGTTGGTCACTGAATCACAGAGCGATAGAATAGACAGTAAGAACCAGAGCATGATAAAGGCAAACCCCACTGAACTATATGTGGAATAGGGGTCAACAGTAGTGAACTATATGTGGAATAGGGGTCAACAGTAGTGAACTATATGTGGAATAGGGGTCAACAGTAGTGAACTATATGTGGAATAGGGGTCAACAGTAGTGAACTATATGTGGAATAGGGGTCAACAGTAGTGCACTATATGTGGAATAGGGGTCAACAGTAGTGAACTTTATGTGGAATAGGGGTCAACAGTAGTGCACTATATGTGGAATAGGGGTCAACAGTAGTGCACTATATGTGGAATAGGGGTCAACAGTAGTGAAACTATATGGGAATAGGGGTCAACAGTAGTGCACATATGTGGAATAGGGGTCAACAGTAGTGCACTATATGTGGAATAGGGGTCAACAGTAGTGAACTATATGTGGAATAGGGGTCAACAGTAGTGCACTATATGTGGAATAGGGGTCAACAGTAGTGCACTTTATGTGGAATAGGGGTCAACAGTAGTGCACTATATGTGGAATAGGGGTCAACAGTAGTGAACTTTATGTGGAATAGGGGTCAACAGTAGTGAACTTTATGTGGAGTGAATGTCAACAGTAGTGCACTATATGTGGAATAGGGGTCAACAGTAGTGCACTTTATGTGGAGTGAATGTCAACAGTAGTGCACTATATGGGGAATAGGGGTCAGAAGAACACTATGTGTGGAATATGGGTTTACGGTATTGCACTTTATAGTGAATAAGAGGTCAAAAATAAGAAGTGCACTATATGGTGAATAGGGGTCAAAAGTAGTGCACTACTGTATATAATGGATAGGGTGTCATTTGAGGTATTTCCAATGAGGAAGGGAGCGATAGACAGACAGACAGACAGACACTCACTCTCTGGCTGTTTGTAGCGGTTGTAGAGGACTATGTCTGTGGCGTGGTTAATGCCAGTGGTCAAGTTTTCCATGGGGCCCTTGCCAAACTTGTTGACCCGGAACACAAAGTTATTAATGTAGGTGACGCCATATATGTAGTCCTCAAAGATGTCGATGCTGAATGGATGGAGAAGGTCTGAAGAGGTAAGGAGAGAGAGTTTTGTTATCCATGCTGCTCAAACTCTTATGTAGTTCTGAGAAGTGAAGGCACAACTCTGTAGAACAGTGACACCTGTTGGTGAGAGCAATAGCCTGCTTACAGTTAGCAATTTGGAATCTGTGGAAACGAGAGGAATTTCACACAGAATTCAACATAAAACATAACATCATATAAATACACTATGTAGCACTGAACCCCAACCCTGATAAGTATGAAGGGGAACTGAACTGTTTTTGAGTCCGGTGACGGCAATGACAGGGTCGGAGCCGTTGAGATGCACGCTCCCGATGACAGAGAGCTTAGCGTCCGCCCAGTAGAGACGCTCGTTGAAGTAATCTACTGCCAGACCTGGAGGGAGAAGGAGGAGAAGCAGAGGAGAGTTAACACAAACAGAGACCAGGCTCAGCATACTACAATGTATAATGCTAGGTATTAATGCTAGGCTACAATGCTAATGCTATACAGACCTGTGGGCCACTGGATATTCTCATGGACCAGGGTCTGTCTAAGGGTTCCGTCCATGGCTGCTGTCTCAATCTTAGGATGGTTTCCCCAGTCGGCCCAGTACATGGTCCTGAGGACACAGAGAAACAGTCAAAACAGCTCAGCAGGAAATACAAATGGAATATTTTGCATATATTTATATATATATATTTTTTTTTATTATTGGCATTCCAGGACAGTTGCAGCAGCTGTGGTGGGTGCATAACCAGGCCAACCCAGTACAGCGGGGCTTGGCTGGGTTTGGCTCAGTAGTGGTAAAGGGTACTAGTCTCTCACCCTCTCTGTGGGTCCACTACGATGGCGTAAGGCTCATCTATCATGCCTGAGATCAGGGTCTTGCGGTGTTGGCCTGATATCTGGGCCACCTCGATCACATCTCTGCCAGAGTCAGTCCAGTACAGGTTACCAGCCACCCAGTCGACCGCTATACCCCGAGGCATTTCCAGATGCCCTACAATCTAGTCAGGGGGGAGAGATAAGATATGGTTGTTAAGTTACTGTACATCTCATTAAGTTGTGAACAGAAAACAACAGCCCTTTCTGAGCTATGAGACTTATTTTGCACTAGACTGCATTCCACTAATATTGTATCACACATAGGAAGTCATGACAGTGCCCATGTTTTAGTGTGAGTGCGGTGTGTGTGTTTGTGCATTTTCGGGTGTGTCTATGCGAGTATGTGTGCATTCATTCCTGCTTGCGTCAGGCCTCACCTCCAGGGTTGTAACACTACCCTCACTCTGGCGACGGCTGCGGTGTGTATTCGACGATGGACCAGACGAGGAAGTGGATGATGATGAAGGAAGCTCGTAGGAGGAGATCCTGCCCGTGTGCCAGTTGGTCCAGAAGATACGGTTGGTCTTGATGTGCAAGTCCATGGCGTCGATGCGCACGTTGGCATCGCCCTGGAAGGTCTGTTCGTAGCGCCAGTTGGGCATGCCAGGGTCCAGGCTGCGGATCTCGTTATCGTCTGCGATGTAGAGCACCTGTCTGCTACTCTCCAGGTCTGGAGAGAGAGAGGAGGGAGGGGGGGAGATGAGTGAGAACGTTAGGGACAGGGTGGGACGGAGGGGGTGGGAGGTAGGAGGAGTGAGAGAGGTAGGGAGTCAGGAAATGAAAAGAGAACTTCGACACACAGAATCCATGAAAATGTCAATGAAAGAATACACTATTTCAACTATCTAGGGGTTTGAAGATACAACTGCACTACTAGAAGAACACTATGCTACTTACTGTCAGCCTTGCAGGTGTCGTTGATCCTGGTGAAGTATTTGTGGCAGCTGCACTTGTAGGATCCCTTGGTGTTGTTGCACATGTGGGAGCATACTCCAAACTGCTTACACTCATTCTTATCTGAGAGGGGACAGGGAGTGGAGGAGAGTTAATAAAGCTACCTCAAAGAGCATTTGAACAACAAAACAAAATATGTTGATCGAGCTCCCAGTGAGCGAGTGTACATTAAATGTGGGCTTGTAACCTTGTAATGGCAATTTGGGATGTGGGATTGAGAGTGATATACTGTATGTAACTTGTGTGTAAATGGTGAAATCAGCTTGAACGTGTTGAGGACATTCAGGTGGGTATAGTGTACCTTCACAGGTGTTATGGCCAGTCTTCTTGAAGCCTGGTTTGCAGGAACAGAAGGAGTCTGTCCCGTTGGTGACGCAGTGTGCCTCGTCCCCATCCCCACACAGAGTCCTGTTACTCCTGCAGTCATTCAGCTTGGTGTCTGCAGGGTCAGAGAGACATTCACACCACAGGCAGGGAAAATAACATTTAGGATCCGCAAACGTGTTGAGCCATTGGAAGGTTAACTGGACATGGTGCTAAACAAACACTGTCTTTTCTAACATGCCATGAGAACTGTGTACATGAGTAGACGTGGGGATGTGTTAACCAGTCATGACTTGGAGCACCTGTCTTGCAGTGGATCTCATCTGAACCGTAGTCCTCACAGTCGTTGAAGAAGTTACAGCGCAGGTTGGAGCTAATGCACCTCCCATTGGCACACAGGAACTCATCCTTCTCACAGGTAGGCTCGGCTGGAGGGGGCTCTGAGAAAACACAACAGAGCAACCATCAGATTTGCCAGAGCGGATAAATACATCAATTTAATGAAATGAACATAATTACTTTGATCCAATGTCCATACTAGCATACCACTTAATATGAAACAATTAAGTAATGTATTGGATATGCATTCTGTTATATGTAGCATAAGTGGTATGCTAGGGTGGACAGATCCAACCTCTCCACAGGGAAGAACAGATCATCAAGGAGGGCACCAGATAGCCTTGTGTTGGTCTATGTGCAAAAGGCCAGCAGCACAGTAAACTCACGGCAATTGAGCTCATCAGAGTTGTCCCCACAGTTATCAACTCCGTCACACTGTTTGGACACCTGCAGACACACACGGTCGTTCTGGCAGCGGAAACTCCTGGTGGGGGGGACACTGAAACATCCCTGAGGGGAGGAGAAAGAGGGGTTAGGAGACAAGGAGTTTGAACAGGCTTTAGGGTACATACCCTTTTCACACTATCGCGACAACCAGAACTGAACTGTACTGGCTCTGATGTTTTCCTTTCACACGGTCCTTTCCATCCCGATTTCAGCCACTGGTGGATGAGTAACCAGGCCAACACAGTACAACTCAGCTCAGCTCTGTAGTTTGAAAAGGGTACTAGTAGACAGGATATGATGTCACAGGATGTGATGTCACTACTCACTGCACTCGTCAGGATTCTCGTCAGAGTTGTCTCCACAGTCGTCCTCTCCGTCACACTTCCAGGCCAGGGGCTTACACAGTGTGTTGTTACACTGGAAGTCATCCAGGGGGCAGTGTTTAGCTAAGACATGGAGAACGGAAGAAGAACAAGTGTAGGTTGTCTATTACTGACCCGGTTCCTATAAATCCTACCACAGGCTCCAGAATCCCTCTCAATTAGGAAAAAGTTAAAACGTCAATATGACCACTCTCTTTTAGCACTGTGGCCATCTCAAATAGCACCATGAGGGACACACTCACGGGCAATGTGACACTTCTCCTCATCACTGCCGTCCAAACAGTCAGCGTCTGCGTCACAGCGCCAGCGGTTGGGGATGCAGTGGCCGTTCTTACACTGGAACTGGTCACTGTCACACTTCAGCTCACAGCCGTCCTGAGGAACACACACACACAATAAGTCCCTCACTCTCAAACAATGTATGAAACCCTCACAGATCATCAACATCATCAAAGCACAACCATTACAGTGGATGTCCGAAGACAGGATATCCAAATAGCAAGGTTATTTTATATGTCCTCCTCAAGTAAAAAGGCTAAGCTTTAAGGTGAACCGATAACACAGAGGGTTGTTAGTACAGTACGAGTCAGTAGTGTTATCTATTACACAAGTATCTGACCCAGCTCTGTTGCTATGATTGAGTCAAGTGTGTTACCTCATCAGATCCGTCAGCACAGTCATGGTCTCCATCACACTTCCACCTCCCGGCGATACAGCGTCCGTTAGTACAGGCAAACTCACTCTCTGAGCACTGCCGTGGCACTGTAAAGACACACAGCAACACAGGTCTCGCATAAGTACTGTATAGCTTCGCTGGAAATGGCTTCCAAATATTTGCCGTTTTTAGTACAAGTCCAAACTCACAGGGGAGAGCATGCACAACACCTCACAACACACCACACCACACCACACCACAAGCATGGGCACTCAGATGGAGGGCAAACAATGGTGGTCAAAGGAGAGCTCCAGAGATTCAATACATTGCATCTTCACTGAAACTGGTAACATAAGTGGTGTGCTTTCCCTCTGCTTTAACTGACTTAAGCGTCTTAGAAAATAAGGCAAAAGCTTGGTTGAGTACAATGGCCTCAGGTGGTCATGTAGGAAATGACAATACTTCACATAACAGTAGAAGCACTCCTTTGGAGCACTGCTCTTGACCTCTCACTGTTTGAGGAGATATCAGGGGGGATTGGAGTTCAAAATGGGCAGCATTAGACATACAAATGACTGCGATGGGATTGAATGGGATGCAATGGGAGAGGAGGAGTAGTCACATTAGGGCTCCAGGAGATGGGGATGGTTAAAAGTGGAGACCTACCTCTGGCCCATGCCAACAGGTCAGTCAGTGTGAAATGAAACATAGAAATTACATGAGGTGAGATGCATAAGAGATGATATTAAAAGAGTAAAGGCCAAACTGAATGAATTTCTACTGAATGAATGGCAACTTTTCAGGTAAGACTATGTTTTAGCTACAAAACATACCACAAGAAGACACAGACAAAGGCAAATGCAAGAATCAAACAATTGAAACTGTATTTCGGCAGTCATATGGAGCAAGCCACCAAAGCCCAATGTCTAATCCCTAGAGGAGCACAAACCATGAGCATTATATAAACGCAATGGAACAATGCAGTGAAACTGTACTGGTGACATGATCGAATGAGGATAGAGTGCACTAACAGGGATGACACAGGGATGACAGTGAGACACCTACCGCACTTGTCCTCGTCCGAGTTGTCCCCACAGTCGTTGTCGTAGTCACACTGCCAACGGCCCGGGACACAGCGGTTGTTCTTACACCTGAACTGGTACGGCTCACACGTCCTCTCATCTACACAGAGACACACACCGTAACACAATTATATAGAGTACATGCAGTCCAGGAGGTCAACGCCGTAAAATGAACCTTCACACAGCAGAACACTACCAAAACAGAAAGATCTGCCACGAAACATAACTCTACATCCTGGGTATCTGCTTCATAATTGAACCTTCTACACTAGAGGTCATTGCCAATGTTGACGACCAATCCATTTTGAGGACCAATCATACAGTGCCATGGATGTAGTCCCAGATCCTAAACAAACTCCATTGTAATAAGAACTGGAGTTCTGAAGCTGCTGGTTGAGCTGTCTCTCTGTTCCCTAGGCGACAGAACAGAACACCCACCACACTCCTCTTTGGGTTCGTCAGATGAGTCTCCACAATCATTTTCTCCGTCACACTTCCACCGGGCCGGGATGCAGCGTCCAGAGTCCTTACAGCGGAACTCATCCACGCCACACGTCATCTGGGCTGGAGGGGGAGGAGAGGAGGGGGGAGGGGAAGAGGGGGAGAGATTGAGGCTTGTAACAGGCCAGATAGACTGAGTAAAGTAAAAGGTGATGGGGGAGGATGTTACGAGGTCTGTAAGATCTAGTGCATTTGTAAATGACTAGTTCGGTATGTTAGCCAGAACCCGTAAGTATAAACTTGTATTCTACTTCAACATGGATGCTGAACTTGACTTGTGTGTATGTCATTAGTCTAGAAGAGTCTTCTGAAACAGAGGGGTGGGGTCTTACTGCAGTTGGCTGGTTCGTCCGATCCATCCACACAGTCATTGTCACGGTCACACACCCAGACGCGAGGGATACAGCGCTTGGTGATGGCACACTGGAACTGGGTGGGCGCACACGTGACCTCGGCTAGAGGGAGAGGGAGCAGACAGACAACTGTTACTGACTGGAAGCAACTCACAACATCAACACTTTCCTTATTATTGAACATCTATCCAGGTTAGTCTCACTGAAATGCAACCTATTTTACAAGAAAGACCTGGCACAAGACAGCAGCATGGCCAGCAGTAATACCACAATAAAGTACAAAGTACTAGACTGATACAACATGCATGTAAACACATATATGTAGATGGGGAGATGGGACGTGTGCACTCACGGCAGTCCGTCTCATCCTCTCCCTCTCCACAGTTGTCCTGTCCGTTACAGCGGAATATTCCCGGGATACAACGGCTGGGGTGGGAGCACTTGAACTGACTGGGCAGACAGACGTGGATATCTGTAGAACAATCACACACGGAGGAAGACATGTCAGAGAAGAGAAGAGAAGAGAAAGAGATGGGGCTAAAAAGAAAGTGTGGGAGAGGGCAAGAGAGAGTGGGCGAGAATGAAAGATTGAGGGAGTGAGTGAGTGAGAAAAGAGGGAGACAGACAAAGCATGAAAGAGGCTGTACCGCAGTTGGCCTCGTCTGAATTGTCCTGGCAGTCGTTGTCGCCGTCACAGATGTAGGCTGGGTTGGTACAGATGCCTGTCCCACATTGGAACTGGCCTGGCCTGCACTTGAACTCAGCTATAAGGGAAAATGGATGACACAGACAGAGACACAGTCAGATTGAGGTTGTTTTAAAGTCTGAAACTACCCCCTATCTCTCATCCTCAGAGCCCTGTAGAAGCATCAATGACCCTTTGCTATACATCCACATACTCCTCATTCACCCATTTTATGTAGCGCTGGCTTTGCCAAGGTTGTGGGTTCAATTCCCACAGGGACCACATACACACACACTAGAAATGTATGCAAACACTTTACTAAGTTGCTTTGGATGAAAAAGTGGCACACTCACGGCATTCTGTAGGCTCGTCCGAGCGATCCCCACAGTCATCCTCCGTGTCACACTTCCACCAGAAGGGGATGCACTTGTCGTTCTTACACACAAACTGGACGTGGAGGAGAGAGGAGAGAGAGAGAGAAAATGGGTTAGCAAACAGAGGGTGTTGCAAAAATTAATGACACATGAATGGCACAGAGGGGAGGAGAGAGAGAGAGAGAGAGAGAGAGAGAGAGAGAGAGAAAGTGAGAATGGGTTAGCAAACAGAGGATGTTGCAAAAATGAATGACACATGAATGACACATACCCTCAGCAGTCTCTAACAACAGTCTTCAGATCCTGCCTTTTAAGTTTCTGCTGATCATATCACTGAGATGAATCCTAAATAGACTGAATGGAAGTCTGATGCCTTCCCATTCATCTATTAATACCACAGCTAAATGGGGAATGTTCTACTTCCTACTTTGTTCTACTATCAAAGCCCAATTAAGAGGCTGAACTCAAGCTGATGACACACTCTACTGTGTAGATAGTGATGCTTAATTAACTCACAAAGCATAATAACAGCAATGTAATATTCCCCCATTCCACAAGAGGCTCTGCTGCCCCCTAGCTGTCTGTCCCCCCCAATGGCCATATCATTACACAGTCCCTCACCTGGCTGGCAGTGCAGTTGGACATGCAGGTGCGTCCATCATTGGCCAGGTAGAAGTTGGTGGGACAGGCACACTTGTAGCCCCCTCCAGGGCTCAGCAGACACAGGTTACTACATCCGCCGTTGTCTGTCTGGCACGGGTGGTTAAACACTGGAAGCATATGGGATGAAGGGAAGTCTTTTAACTGGAACTACTGTGTGTGTGTGTCCATGTGTGTTGTACATGTTTATCTCTTACCCTCTGGCTGGCGGTAAGGGTGGTAGATGTGGATGTCCATGGGCCGGTGGAGGGTAGTGATCAGGGTGGTCTTGTTGATGCCCAGGGTCTTGTGACACCTGTTGATGGACTTGGTCTCCCAGTCGGTCCAGTAGATGTACTCCTCAAACAGAGTCATGGCAAAAATGTGGGGGATGTCCTGGGTAAGCACTGTGGACACAAACACACACAGTCATTGAGTAGTGACGTCATTAGTATCATATTACACAAAGGGCCCTGCATTTTACCTGGCCACCACCACATGACCTGACCAGGAAAACCGCTATTGGCAAAAACCTGGGTCCAAGAGTTTTTCCTAGTCAGGTCAAAACACTGGGGGACTTAAATTACATCACAATGTTGTCAGTCAAATGTATAGTCACACAATGCCCAACGACTAACACAGGGAAAACTGGTGATGGAGCATCAGCCATTCATGATAGCGCCTCACTACTGTCTATGGGTTATGCAACAGGAGCCACGCTTCATTGTGGCTTGCATACTTATCACGGTTACGGTCATGACTGTATGCATTTAAGAATGTTCCTCAACAATACACTCATTCTGTTTGCTCCATGTGTCTGGGACATGTTGCTATGGAAACACACCATTAGCTACCTGACTGTCCTCTGCTGTAAAAGCACAGTAGGCTACATCTACAATACACACATAGACAGACACACACACACACACACGCCTGGATTGAAACAGCACACATTAGATTTAGGATGGTGGCATCTCATAATTGGTTAATTGATATTCTAAATCAGTGTTGAGGTTTAAACTTTATATGAGTCTCCTGCCACCTGGACAAGTCCAGTGGGAGTTTCTTCTATGATACTGGAGCCCGAGAGGAGATGTTGGTGGATCTACAGAGTGGCCTTTGACCAGCTCCCTCCCTTATCTGAACTCAAACAGCCTGTGTCTCCATCAGCAAACACACTGTCCCCATTAGAAAGTGTGTGTGTGTGTGTGCGCCTAGGTTAATGACCCACAGGTGGGCTAGCACCACTGTACCAGAGCACCAACATGGCTCCACAGTACCCTACAGAACCAATCTATTTCCGTCAGGCACAAGGAACCATGGTCAGTCTGGTCAGGATAAGGCCCCAAGAACACATACAGTGGGGAAAAAAAGTATTTAGTCAGCCACCAATAGTGCAAGTTCTCCCACTTAAAAAGATGAGAGAGGCCTGTAATGTTCATCATAGGTACACGTCAACTATGACAGACAAAATGAGGAAAAAAAATCCAGAAAATCACATTGTAGGATTTTTTATGAATTTATTTGCAAATTATGGTGGAAAATAAGTATTTGGTCAATAACAAAAGTTTCTCAATACTTTGTTATATACCCTTTGTTGGCAATGACACAGGTCAAACGTTTTCTGTAAGTCTTCACAAGGTTTTCACACACTGTTGCTGGTATTTTGGCCCATTCCTCCATGATGTTTTGGAGCTGTCGCTGGGCAACACAGACTTTCAACTCCCTCCAAAGATTTTCTATGGGGTTGAGATCTGGAGACTGGCTAGGCCTTCTTACGAAGCCACTCCTTCGTTGCCCGGGCGGTGTGTTTGGGATCATTGTCATGCTGAAAGACCCAGCCACGTTTCATCTTCAATGCCCTTGCTGATGGAAGGAGGTTTTCACTCAAAATCTCACGATACATGGCCCCATTCATTCTTTCCTTTACACGGATCAGTCGTCCTGGCCCCTTTGCAGAAAAACAGCCCCAAAGCATGATGTTTCCACCCCCATGCTTCACAGTAGGTATGGTGTTCTTTGGATGCAACTCAGCATTCTTTGTCCTCCAAACACGACGAGTTGAGTTTTTACCAAAAAGTTATATTTTGGTTTCATCTGACCATATGACATTCTCCCAATCCTCTTCTGGATAATCCAAATGCACTCTAGCAAACTTCAGACGGGCCTGGACATGTACTGGCTTAAGCAGGGGGACATGTCTGGCACTGCAGGATTTGAGTCCCTGGCGGCGTAGTGTGTTACTGATGGTAGGCTTTGTTACTTTGGTCCCAGCTCTCTGCAGGTCATTCACTAGGTCCCCCCGTGTGGTTCTGGGATTTTTGCTCACCGTTCTTATGATCATTTTGACCCCACGGGGTGAGATCTTGCGTGGAGCCCCAGATCGAGGGAGATTATCAGTGGTCTTGTATGTCTTCCATTTCCTAATAATTGCTCCCACAGTTGATTTCTTCAAACCAAGCTGCTTACCTATTGCAGATTCAGTCTTCCCAGCCTGGTGCAGGTCTACAATTTTGTTTCTGGTGTCCTTTGACAGCTCTTTGGTCTTGGCCATAGTGGAGTTTGGAGTGTGACTGTTTGAGGTTGTGGACAGGTGTCTTTTATACTGATAACAAGTTCAAACAGGTGCCATTAATACAGGTAACGAGTGGAGGACAGAGGAGCCTCTTAAAGAAGAAGTTACAGGTCTGTGAAAGCCTGAAATCTTGCTTGTTTGTAGGTGACCAAATACTTATTTTCCACCATAATTTGCAAATAAATTCATTAAAAATCCTACAATGTGATTTTCTGGATTTTTTTCCCCTCAATTTGTCTGTCATAGTTGACGTGTACCTATGATGAAAATTACAGGCCTCTCTCATCTTTTTAAGTGGGAGAACTTGCACAATTGGTGGCTGACTAAATACTTTTTTCCCCCACTGTATATACAGTGAGGGAATAAAGTATTTGATCCCCTGCTGATTTTGTACGTTTGCCCACTGACAAAGACATGATCAGTCTATAATTTGAATGGTATGTTTATTTGAACAGTGAGACAGAATAACAACAACAAAATCCAGAAAAACGCATGTCAAAAATGTTATAAATTGATTTGCATTTTAATGAGGGAAATAAATATTTGACCCCTCTGAAAAACATGACTTAGTACTTGGTGGCAAAACCCTTGTTGGCAATCACAGAGGTCAGACGTTTCTTGTAGTTGGCCACCAGGTTTGCACACATCTCAGGAGGGATTTTGTCCCACTCCTCTTTGCAGATCTTCTCCAAGTCATTAAGGTTTCGAGCCTGACGTTTGGCAACTCGAACCTTCAGCTCCCCCCACAGATTTTCTATGGAATTAGAAAATTAAATTTTCTATGGAATCGTCCCTTTGATGTGGTGAAGTTGTCCTGTCCCCTTAGCAGAAAAACACCACCAAAGCATAATGTTTCCACCTCGCTGTTTGACGGTGGGGATGGTGTTCTTGGGGTCATAGGCAGCATTCCTCCTCCTCCAAACACGGCGAGTTGAGTTGATGCCAAAGAGCTCGATTTTGGTCTCATCTGACCACAACACTTTCACCCAGTTCTCCTCTGAATCATTCAGATGTTCATTGGCAAACTTCAGACGGGCCTGTATATGTGCTTTCTTGAGCAGGGGGACCTTGCGGGCGCTGCAGGATTTCAGTCCTTCACGGCGTAGTGTGTTACCAATTGTTTTCTTGGTGACCATGGTCCCAGCTGCCTTGAGATCATTGACAAGATCCTCCTTTGTAGTTCTGGGCTGATTCCTCACCGTTCTCATGATCATTGCAACTCCACAAGGTGAGATCTTGCATGGAGCCCCAGGCCGAGGGAGATTGACAGTTCTTTTGTGTTTCTTCCATTTGCGAATAATCGCACCAACTGTTGTCACCTTCTCACCAAGCTGCTTGCCGATGGTCTTGTAGCCCATTCCAGCCTTGTGTAGGTCTACAATCTTGTCCCTGACATCCTTGGAGAGCTCTTTGGTCTTGGCCATGGTGGAGAGTTTGGAATCTGATTGATTGATTGCTTCTGTGGACAGGTGTCTTTTATGTAGGTAACAAACTGAGATTAGGAGCACTCCCTGTATAAAAGACACCTGGGAGCTAGAAACTTTCTGATTGAGAGGGGGTCAAATACTTATTTCCCTCATTAAGATGCAAATCAATTTATAACATTTTTTTAATGCATTTTTCTGGATTTTGTTGTTGTTATTCTGTCTCTCACTGTTCAAATAAACCTACCATTAAAATGATAGACTGATCATTTCTTTGTCAGTGGGCAAACGTACAAAATCAGCAGGGGATCAAATACTTTTTTCCCTCACTGTAACCTACATATATCCCAACTCTACTATGAAACCTCCATGATGACCAAGATATGGGCGGGGAGAGAATTCTCTCAAAACATGCTTTATGTGCAACAAGCTCTAGTGTGAAAATGTGAGGAATTCAAATCAGGAACTCCTCTGCATCCCTCCATTCTTCTGCATGGTTGGCTGACAATATAAAGTATTGTCCTTAGTCTGGTAACAAGGCTTGGGGTATTCAGACATCATGCATATAACAGCCTCCTCAGTAGTCTGACAGAACAATAGTCTTCTCTCTCAATTGAATGGGCTTTATTGGCATGGGAAAAACTCCCTCCAACTCCCTCCCTCCAACTCCCTCTCCCGGCTCTAACCGGCACCACTGTGACCTGTGCGCTGGACCGTGGTTCTCATACAATTGTATATGTGTGTGTGTGTGTTTGCATGCATGCATGCGTGAGCATCTGCACATCTGTGTGTGTGTAGGCTACTGTATGTCAATATGCATTACCCGTGTGTCTGTTGGTCCCATCCAGGCTGGCGAACTCGATGTAGTCCTCTCTGGCGTCGGCCCAGTAGATGCGGTCGTTGATGAAGTCTAATGTAAGACCATTAGGCCAGGTGATCTTATCTTCTACAATCACACTTCTGTTGGAGCTGTCCATCCCGATCCGCCCTATGTGGGGGTTGTCACCCCAGTCTGACCAGTACAGGTACCTGAGGAACAAGACAGGGTACAGCATCATATTATTACACCATCAGAATCATTATTCGAGAAAAAGAGCACCATCTTGTAGACATGGTCCTTGGAGCCGGATAGGACTTATGGCCTGACCAGGAAAAACTCTAGGTACTAGTTGTAGCCTAAATGTGGACGTGGTCAGGAAGAACTCCTGTCCTTAACATTCCATTATATTTCACTATTAATTCGTACAGAGTCTCAGACCATACAGGAGTTTATAGTTTAACCTCATGTTCTGTATGTATCATACTCTTGGCTGTCCCTCTTACCCGTTGCGTACGTCCAAAGCCACAGCGCGTGGTTCCTTCAGGCCGGTGTTCACCAGGACCGACCGGAAGGCTCCGCCTAGCTTGGACACCTCGATGGTGTCCCGCCCCTTATCACACCAGTACAGGTTTCCTCCCACCCAGTCTACAGCCAATCCGTCTGGGTTACTGAGGGAGGTCCGGTGCAGCACCTGGACAAGAGCCAATCAGAGAGTCAGATACTGGCCAACTAACCAACCAGAGTCATATACGGGCCAACTGTCCAATCAGAGCCGCAGAAAGGCCAACTGTTCAATAAGAGAGAATTAAACTAGCCTACTGTCCAATGAGAATAACAGACTTGAGAAATATCCAATCTGAAAGCCATTAACAGGTCAGTTGTCTAATCAGAGAATCACAGACAAGCCAACAGACCAATCAGAGTCACTAACAGCTCAATGGTCCAATCAGAGCCAAGGACTAGCCAGCTGTCCACAGACTCAATGAGAGTCACAGACCGGACAACTGCCATACTGACCTCAATGTTGCTGCCGTTGATGTTCATACGTCGTATCATGGAGCCCTGAGTAGTCACGTCTGTCCAGTAGATCATCTGCTCTGCATAGTGGAAGTCCAGCGCCACCGCGTTGTTCAGGCCCTTGCACACACACATACATTTTAAACATATTATCTGGATCCACAAATTATATTACACATACACACATTTAGAATTCATAAATTATATTTCATTTGCAAAGGATCCAAACGTTCCAAAAATCATGTTTATAGTCATGGCAACAAAAAGCTCCACTCCTCCAAGCATACACACTCGAATGCACGCACAGACATGCCCACAAACATGACACACACATACATACAGGATATAGCCTACATCTGTTTAGATATCACTATCACTGATAATAAATACTCATATAAACTGACACCTGGTTAAATAGCACACTGATCCCACACAGTACTTGCTGTCTCACCTGTTTTATCAGAGTGTAGTTGGTGCCATCCAGGTCCAGCTTCCTCAGGTAGTATCGGTTGGCAAAGATCAGGAAGGGCTCCTCATCTGTAGAGAGATAGACCGATAGAGGATAAGAGTTAGGGGGACCAGAAAAGGGCTCTGTACATGGTTGAACTTGTCATAAAGAGAGGCACATGCTCCCAACACTAAGAGATGGGTCATGCTCCTTGGGGCCCGCAATGGAATACATTTGAAAACATTTTACAACGGAAAAATCCAAGTAGTCCCCGCTGTTGGTCTTACCAGACGTGGACTTGCAGATAGTAGGATTGTCCGGTCGTAGCTGGAAGCCCTCCACACAGAGACAGTGGAAGGATCCGTGTGTGTTGATACAGCGCTGGGTGCAAGGGTAGGATGTGGTACATTCATCTATATCCACACACGTCTTCCCATCCCGCTTCAGCTGGAAACCAGGGTGACACCTGCACTGTAGGGCCCAGGGGACACACAAACAGCATGTCAAATACAGTAGAACACCTTTATAGCTACGCTAGGTCGGTGCTACACCAGCAGACTCACATGGTTCACCAATAGGAGGGAGATGAGACTGAGGTGGACAGATCTGATAATGTCGCAGAATTGCCAGGTTGTATTACACTGGTAGAAATATTGCAAACATGCACACAAGCTACATGCAGACACACGCACACACAAACACGCACACACACAAACACAGCCCTTACCTTGAAGCCTATCTTGAGGTCCTCACAGAGCTGGGAGCAGCCACTCTGCTTGCTGTTGAGACACTCGTTGATGAAGCAGTTGAGTTCGTCAGAGCCGTCACCACAGTCGTCGTTACGGTCACACAGCAACGTCTCGTTAAGACACTTACCATTACGACACATGTAGGCAGAGTCGTTACACTTCCTCTCTGTAGGTCAAAAGAACGCAGTTTAGGTTATGCAGAATGAAGGGCTAATAGCTCCAACAAGTAAGGATGCTTTACTGCTATGGCCACAGAGAATATTAAAGTTGCACTATGCAGAAATCGCTCCTCCATTTCCTGATTGCTAAAACCCTAATAGTTTGCCTAATTTCATTTTATGTGACAAAATAAGCTAGTATAGTGTAAAGAATCATTGTACCATCTAAACAACTGTGAAATATATTTTCCATAACCAAAAATATTGTATTTTCAACTGTTTGAAGCTGGTGTACAAAACCGAAAGACGCAAAAACAAAACTTAAGAACGGGAAGCATAGAAATGGAGCACATAGAACAGATCTACCACTTCTTAGATAGATCTATAACTCACTTTTCTATATGCATTTGGTCAGGTCGCCCAAAAAGTTACATATTGCCCCTTTAATGTGTCTGAGTCGACAGTGGCTTTTTACATTTGTTACCAAAACAAAACCTACTGTGAGGGATGCTATGGCCTTTTCAGCAGAAGCCATATGCAATTGAATTAGTTAACAATGCAACCTCAAAATTACACACAAATGCAGTGTCATACTGTATATTTCTATAGTATAGATCCAGAACACAGTCTGTCAGTTAGACCTGAGTCTGTGCACCGGGGGTTCTTGGGGGCTTCATCAGAGCGGTCCTGACAGTCAAAATCTCCATCACACTCCCAGCTCTTCCGGTTGAGGCAGCGGCCGTTGTTACAGCGGAACTCCTCCGGCCCACACGTCGGGTACTCTACATGGGTAGAGAGGTAAGCATGTCAGCACTGAGACATCGGCTGAGTCTCAATAACTGTAAAATGGTCTCCTTTCTACATCCCTATTCCTTCATTATTACCAATAACTGAGAGGAATGACAGGTTTTCAACATATGGCTTCCACTTATTCTGTACTACCAGATCAGTGGTTAAGGGAAGAAGGAATGAACACAAGAAACACATCACATCCCCCAGCATCCCTTCATCCCAGTCTCCTCCTCGGTGCTCACGCAGCGTCACACACTCACCACACTGTGGGGACTCATCGGATCCGTCGGAGCAGTCGATGTCGTGGTCACACACAAAGTGCTTGGGGATACACTGTCTGTTCTGACACATGAACTCATTCTCTTCACAGGTGTTGTTGTACACTGAAAGAGAGAGAGAGAGAGAGAAAGTGAGAATGGGTTAGCAAACAGAGGGTGTTGCAAAAATGAATGACACATGAATGACACATACCCTCAGCAGTCTCTAACAACAGTCTTCAGATCCTGCCTTTTAAGTTTCTGCTGATCATATCACTGAGATGAATCCTAAATAGACTGAATGGAAGTCTGATGCCTTCCCATTCATCTATTAATACCACAGCTAAATGGGGAACATTCTACTTTCTACTTAGTTCTACTATCAAAGCCCAATTCAGGTGTGGTGATTATTATGGAGTGAGTGGAGGTGTTGAGAGGTGTCCTCCAACTCACAGCAGCCATCTTTGACGGGTACCAGCCATAGGGGCAGAGTACTATACTATACTATACTATCAAAGCCCAATTCAGATAAACTGTGGTGATTATTAGGACATTTGGGGACGTGTTGTGGTTGTCCTCCTACTCACAACAGAGGAAAATAAATGCTGTTGCTACCTCACTTTCAAACCTAGGTGCCTGAACAGTGGAGCAAACTGAAGAAGACTACTACTCACAGCAGCCAGCCTTGACGCTCTCGTCAGCCCCGTCCAGACAGTCCTTATCCCCGTCACACTTCCAGCGCTGAGGGACACACACATGAGTGCCGGGACACTGGAATGCCTCTGGGCTGCACGTCTTGGTTTCTATGGCAACGTAGGAGATATGAACAGGTTAGATAACTTTAGACTAGCGGTTGACATTAATAAAATGAAATTGATCAATCAACCTATCAATCAACCAACCAATCAATCAATCAACTTATCAGGCTCCTCCTGTGTAAATATGTTTGGGAGAATTTGGGAATCCTGTTGGTAATTGCTGTCAATGTCAGCAGTGGGAATGGTAGAAAACTATGTCTGATCTGGGCATAGATCATAGGAGTGGGATGAGTCACTCACTGCATCTGCTGTCCTCGTCACTATTGTCACCACAGTCGTCAGCGCCGTCACACACCCAGTGGTTGGAGATACAGCGATGGTTCCCACACTCAAACTCGGTGGACATACAGAACTTATCTGCAAAGACAGAGGGAAAATGTTATCGAATTTAATCTGGGTTACTTTGTGTAAGAATAAATTTATCACCAAATGTACAAAAAATATTGAAATTAGGACAACTTCTTTGAATGAACTTTTAAACTTTGATCTATGCCTTTTGTGTTTATCTATTGAAAATGCAGGGAGACAACTGTCACGCCCTGACTCAGGGGACTCGTATATGTTGAGTCAGGGTGTGTATATTCCTTGTTGTATATATTCTATGTTGTATTCTAGTATGTATAGATCTATGTTGGCCGGTGTGGTTCCCAATCAGAGGCAGCTGTCGCTCGTTGTCTCTGATTGGGGATCATACTTAGGCAGCCTATTGGCACTGTGTAGTTGTGGGATCTTGTAAGGTATGTTGTGTGTTCTACCTTGGACTTCACGTTTCGGTTGTTGTTTTGTCGTTGTGTTGATAAGTTAAAATAAACATGTACGTATATCACGCTGCGCCTTGGTCTGACCCGTCATTCAACGAACGTGACAACCACACTGTTTTGATCTTGATGGCACGACAGTACAATACAAAGTTGTGTATTACATCAGTTAAGGGAATGGGGGAAGCACAGAAGGTATCTATATTGGTCAAGTAGACTGACCACAGTGGGTCTCGTCAGCTCCGTTCTCACAGTCGTTCTCCTTGTCACAGGTCCAGCTCATAGGGATACAGCGACCACTGGGGCACGCAAAGAAGTTCACCGGGCACTTCAGCTTCTTCTTGTCTGGTGGAGAGAGACAGAGAGTACAGTGTAACGCTTTGAATATCCTAAAGAAGTTCGGCAATGAGTCAGACCGGGGGTTCAAATAGCTATGCTTCATTGCCTGCACAATGTAACCAATAGAGTAGTCCCAAAAGTGCCACCCCGCCCATTTTGGCACTGTTTGAAAGAAAACGCATAACATTTAAAGCCCTGTCTGAATGATATAGTGCACAATAGGCCTTAAAAGGAGAAAGGTAAGATATGTCTGTCTCTCAGTTACCTGGGCAGTTTCTCTCATCTGAGAAGTCTCCACAGTCATTGTTGCCGTCACACTGCCAGGAAGGCAGGTAGCACAGTGTGGTCCTCTCACAGCTCTGAAAGGTCGCCCCCTTCACCCCCAGACGGAAGTAGCGGGAACAGTCAGTTGGCACTGGGGAGGAGAGACATCATACATTAATGAAAAATCATTAGTGATTAGTTGAGGGGCTCTTGGGAGCAGTATCTGTACATTCAACATGGAGTGTATAGGAAATGGAACCCTAAATAGCACTACCTTTGATCAGAGTCATATGTGGGCTATGTAAAAAATGTATGCACTAGCTACAGTATATAGTGAATAGTGTTCCATTTCAGACGCATTCCATACTGAACAGCAGTTCTTGATTAGCGATACAGGATGGGTCAGAGAAAGAGCTCAGATGATCTTTCTTTACAGATATCCAACATGTAAAGATGGGTTGTAGACTTACAGCAGTTCATCTCGTCACTAGCGTCCTCACAGTTGACCACCTGGTCACATCGGCTGGAGTTGGAAATGCAGCTTCCATCTCGACACTGGAACTCTCCAGCTTTGCACAGGGTCACTGGAGAACACACACACATTAGAATGAATATAGTAACACGCACGCACGCACACACACACACACACACACACACACACACTACTTACTGTTGCAGGGCAGCTCGTCTGAGTGATCTCCACAGTCGTCAGTCCCGTCACACCAGAACATGTGACCGATGCAGCGTCCATTGATACAGCGCCTGTAGCCTTTCTTACACAGACGGTTCGCTGCAGAGAGGAAGTCCATCATTAGACATTGTCCTCTAGTTGTCTTACTATGACTAATACAATATCACTAAACAATTATTATACTATTCTCTCTCCTGAAATTAAACTGACATCCAAATTCTTTCATTTGTAGTGCAAAGATGGTGAACAGCAACACTGCATGTATTTCAAGAAGCACAGATTTCAAGTACTCACGCATGCACACACACACACACACACAGACTCACCGCAGTAGGACTGTTTCTCGTCTGACTTGTCCTTGCAGTGGGCCATGCCATCACAGGTCAGGCTGTAGTTGATGCAGTCCCCGTTGCCACACTCAAAGTCATCCACACTGCCACACGACGTGTTCAGAGCTACAGTAGTAGGAACAGGAAGAGATAGAGACAGTCAGCACCATGTATCCTAACCAGACTGTGACACTAACGAGAACCTATTGATTGACTCGCCCTTGGACTGATCATCGTTATCAAAATTAGCATTTCGCTCAGTGGGTTAACACCAGTTTTCAGGTCTGATTTCTACACTTCTCCCCAGAGACTGGCTTTGGAAGATTACAGGCAAAGTTACTCATCACCCAAGCATAGTTCAGCCAACCACCACTGCTCCAACTGTCCCCAGGCCCCGCCCCTTCTCACCTGAACAGGAGTTGTCCTCCAGGAGTCTGCGGTCTCCACGGCAACTACAGTTGACCCTCGCATCTGAGGTGAGCAGACACAGGTCCTGACAGCCCCCGTTGTTGGTCAGACAGGGAGAGAACTCACCTGGTAGAATCAATCAATCAATCAATCAAATGTACTTATATAGCCTTTTTCACAAAAACAGTTGTCACAAAGAGCTTTACAGTAACCCTGTGTAATATCTGTGTAAGTCTATTTGCATAGACATGATTAAGTGTGCCAATTTGAAACCATCTAGACTACATTGGACTCAATTGGCAGTTCATCAGCATAAATGACCCGCCCCCTTTTGACCTTCCAAAGAGTTCCATCACTCACAGCTGTTGGTGTCGTTGGCCACAGCGATGATTCCCATTGGCTGCTGGGGGATGTCATTTCTCAGCAACCTCATGTCTCCACCCACAAACTTGTCAGCTCTGAGCACGGCCCTGCGGACCCAGTCAGTCCAGAAGATGTAGTTTCCATACACTGCCAGGCCAAACGGATGCACCGGCTCATTCTTCACAACCACCTATAGGGGGAAGTCACATGGTTAGTAAGAAAAGTGGTTGTTTGAAGACAAACAAAAAGGCACAACACTCTCACCATAGAAAATAACAGATCTTATTTCGATTCAAAACAAATAAAATGGTTAGATAAGAGAAAACCCATCTGCAGACCCTTGGAGTCTATTGTGGCTGGCGTCAACTCTGTCCCAAGAAGTCACAGATAACGGCGTTGACATAGGTAACAGAGGTGACTCACATAGCGGTTGCTGCCGTCGTACTCGCAGCGCTCTATCTTGTCCAGTGTGGCGTCTGAGAAGTAGAGTTTCTCGGCGCGGTGGTCTATGGCCAGGCCGTTGGGGGTGCGGATGTCATTACCGATGATCACCAGAACGTTGGCACCAGACAGACTGGCACGCATGATACTGGGAGACTGCTCGTTCCAGTTGGTCCAGAACATCAGACTAGTAGAGAAGGACAACAGGAAGTAAAGGGAGAGTTTAAAATAGTTTTGGAAAATGGTCAGATACGTCAAATAAACAGACAGTATGGCAGAAAGACAAAATAATAGAGTCAATGAATAAATTACTCCAGTAATGGACTAATAAAGTTACCCAACAGCTACGGTTGACATTTCAGCCATCAAATCAAATCTAGTAGTCATCAAAAAGCATATGGAATCTAGACCAAATTGTCAGGGGCTTTGAAACGTAATTCACACTCCTTCTATTCTACATTCAAAAAATACAAAGAACATCGCTGCCACTCACTCTTGACACTCGTCCAGTACAAAGGCCCTGGGGTGGTCGTCTCCAGACATGGTGACCACGGTGTTGCGGTCGTAGGCCTGCGGTCGGCTCTGGTCGACCGTGTGTCGGGTGATGGTGGAGGTGGTGTAGCTAGTCCAATAGAGGGTGTCCCAGCCACGGTGGTACGCCAAACCCTCCACTGAGCCTACATCTGGGGTAGAGAGAGAGAGAGAGTACAGAGGGGGAAAGACAGTCAGTAAAGGTGTAGGCCATATTGAGGGACTGGGACAGTGCAGGAGAAAACAGGACAAGACATGATTAAGGTTTCACTGCCCTGTCATCCTTTAGTGTAGTGGTCACAACACGGTCAATACTACGGTCACAGACCTTGGTGGGTCACTAGCAAACAGACAAAGAGAGCCAATGAAAGAGCATAGCCTGCTTAGAAGGAAGCAACTACAAATCCAAACAACTACATCAGAAAAAAAGAAGGGAACGCCTCTGTGTACGTAGTGCTGGCAAAGGGAGCAAACCTCTTTACAAAGGTCCTTAAGGGGTGAATTCAACTTCAATGAATCATCATTAAAAGATGGAATAAGTTGCAAGCATGGTAAACGTTCCAGAAATGTAAATGGCAATAGGAAAGGTTCTTATACGGGCATGTCCATCCAAATCAGCTGTTGAATGGTAAAACGCTGTGAGGAGAAAGAGAGAGAGGGGAGATAGAGAAAGAAAGCGAGAGATCGAGAGAGAGAGGAGAAAGAAAGAAAGGATAAATGGTACAGTGCTATGAGTGAAGGACCTTGCCATGCCTGCTGTTCAGTATCATCCTGTCATTTCATGGCTGACTGCCTGCACACACACGCACACCGCTCCTCTCCCAGCGGACCCTGTTATTCATGGTGACTTGTTATTCCAGGAAGAAAAGAAAAAATGACACCACTAGAGCAAATTCTGTCACTTTACGGAAATGAGCTGGGGTGAAGGACTCAGCCGCATGTAGTGCCCACGCACGCACACACACGCACACACACACGCACACACACACACACACACACACAATGTAGCTTCTCCCTCTACAGTTTTCATTTCAGAACCCGTTTCCGACTCAAGTAGCTGTGTGACACCTAGCAGAGTAGAGAGGTCACCCAAACATAATCCCCTATAGACTCTTTCAAGGTTCATCCCTTATGGGCTTTTCATCATCTGCTGGCGTCACACCACTGTCCATTTTTATGACAGCAATTGCTCAATAATAAAAGTCTGGACACTCCATGTAACTGTTTGCTCATGGTCAAAAGTCAATAATTACTTATTTTTCTCCCTGGTGTTTAATGTGGATGGAGGAGGGCTGTAAATCAACCTTAGTGCACCTAAAGACAAGCAGTCATACTGTAGCAGAGAGGGTCCACCATAAGAACAGGCCAGCATTTAAAGCTAACCAACCAGAACTCTACTAAGGTGGCGTCCAAGCCACAGTCGATATTCTACATCCTTGAAATTCCAGACAAAAAAGAGATGTTGGTGAGGAATCTAGCAAACAACTGGTTAATCAGTAAAGCTATTTAAAGGTTATGTTCCTGCCAGGGTTAGTGTGTTCTGAACTGTAATTTCCCAGAAACACCTCTGTGACTCTCCTCCTCCTCCCCTCTCCTATCTCAGCCCCTGTTCAAACAGTAGTAAACTAAAACCGCGCTGTTCCAATGCTGACAACATTACCTATCCGACAGACGAACAGGGAGTATCGTTCTCAAGACAAACAAAGCCCTCTTTCCCTGTCTTTCTTCTGTACTCTTTTTTTGTTTTGTTCCTTCTCTCTCGTTCTTGGTTGTTCAGCCTCTTCTCTAGCTGCCTGAGGAATCTGAATCTGTGGCCAGGCAGGCAGGATACCTGAATTAGCCTCATAATGGACGACAACACTACAGACACCGCTGTGAGGCACTTAACATCATGTAGAATTGACTGCATTTAATGGCAACTGAGATGGCAGCCAGCGACAGCCATTCCTTTGTATTATAGTGTTGCTTGGTTTCAACAAATCAATACAACATTAAGGAAGAGACTGGATTTACATTTTTCAATACAGGCTCAGGGCCAGAACTGGATTGATATTTTCTTTGTTGATATAAAAAAAGATTTTTGGGGGGGGGGGGGGGGGGGGGGGGGGGATACTGATATGGAACACTGTTGCAGCCAACGTCAGGGATGGACTCCTCTCTCAATGTCATAGTCTCTAAGAATAAGTATTTGTGTGTAAACTTGGATCATTAAAACTTGTTTTGGAACTCTGGAGTGGACTACGCCCCTGATTCTATGAGATTCTAGTCTTGTTGGGTGTTCTGGCCAGAGACTGTAGAAACTAAACAAACTAAATTGATGCTGCATTCTTGTCAAGTAGCAACCGCCCGGATAAAGATTGTCAACGTCTAAGCTGTGGAAACATAAAGAATCTTAACTGCATTCTAGACAAGGAAGAACCGCCCAGACACAGATGCATTGTTCAAGCTTCTAAACATTAAGGATCTTAACTGCTCAGTTAGCTGCTGCATGTCATTGTGAAAGTGTCAGTGAACCTGTCAGTCGTCCTATTGAAGTGCCAATGTGGTTATGAGTGATAAGGTTTTACATTAGGAGAGGGTACAGTCCGGGGGCGTTGGGAGGAGTGTCAGTGTGTCAGAGACAGTTACTGTTATGTCACCTATTATCAGACAGTCATTATAATTACTATCAAGATTTGTGATAATTAGTAGTCCGAAAAATCAGCTCCGCCGTGTGTGTCTATGGAGGACAGAATAGAATAGAATTCAAATGTGCTTTGCAGCAAAGAACTGTGGTGAAATGCTGCTGATGAACAATAGTGATGGGGGAGCTTTGTGTAACAGTAGTAGTGGTGGGGGCCAGGGGAATGGGACAGACGGGACCGAGGTGAATAAGTTCTTGGTGCCCATGCTGGACGGCCTCATCCTTGTGACAGGCCTGGCGGGCCACTGCCTGGTCATCTCCATCCTGGCTGGCCGCAGGAGGCGAGGTGATTGATTGATTGACTGATTGATTGACTTTTGGGGTAAACATTTTGTACAGTTAGAAACTTGTTAAAAAGTACAAAGAAAGAAGCCCGGAGGACGACACATGAACGTGTGAAAGAAAATATTTTTTCCACTGTGTGTGTAGGTGGGATGCCTCCTCATGGAACCGACACCCTGCTGCTGGCTCTGAGTGCTGCTGACCTGCTGCTGTTGCTCTGCCTGCCCTTCCACACCACCGCCATCGCCCTGGGCTCCTGGCCCTTCGGCAGCTTCCTCTGCAAGGTCCTTCATCTCTTGATCTTCTCATTCTTTGACTAGGGTTCATTTTTTAATGTCCTTCCAGATTTAGATCTTCAACAGAATTTTTATTATCGTGTTGTATAGTGCCTTGGGTATGAGAAATGCGCTTTATAACTCTATTATGATGATTGATTATTATTAGGCCGTCAGCTTCCTGGGCGTGGCCTGTTCTTCCGCCTCAGTCTTCACGCTGGCTGCGCTCGCAGTGACCCGCTACCTGACTGTGGTCCACCCCACCTGGTCCTACCGCTCCCGCATGCACAGCCGCCTCAAACTGACCGTGGCGCTCCTCTGGGTTCCCGCCACAGCCCTGGCAGCTCCGCAGTTTGCTTTCCGCATGGTGGCGGTGTCCAGCGTGTTCCACTGCTTCGCCTTCCTGGGCGGCCTCAGTCAGCTGGTGTATAGCACGGCGTTGTTCCTGTTTGCCTTTGCGATACCATTGGGGGTTATTGTGATGATGTACGCCAAGATCTACTGCTTCCTGCGCCAGAAGAGACTGTTGGGACATGCCCCCCAGCTGGAGCGCTACCAGAGCCAGGTAACCTGACTAAGATGGCCGCCATCCTGTAGTCATGTTGCCGAGATATCCATGAACCATTCTAGTGTTGCATCTAGTTTTAACTCTATGCATTCTAGTGTTCAGTTAACTTCTGTGACCCACAGGTGACCCACACGTCAGCGCTGCTGGTGCTGGTCTTCACCCTCTGCTGGTTGCCCTCCTATGGCCTCATGTTCTCCCTCTTAGGTGCCTACATAATTTTTTTATTTTTTAATCTGAATATTGTCTTTTCAATTGTTGTAATATTGTGAACTGGATTAAACTTCTATTGCTCCCTCTCTCCCTCACAGGGGGCAAGATCTCCAGTATCCCCAGCTACCGCTGTATAGCCATCTTTGTCCGCCTCCTGGCGTCTTCTGCAGCGGTGGTTAACCCCGTCCTCTACATGTTCATGTCCAATAAGTTCAGGAGGGATCTGATGGACTTGGGCCGGGAGAGATGGGAGGGGTGCAGGCGGTGTATAGTAGGGTGTAAGGGGGTGGTGGGGGGCAGGGACATGGTGCAGCCCTTCAACCCTGTGGAGCTGGATACGCCACCACTACCCCTACCCGGATTCTAAGGGTTACTATGAAAACTCTATGGACATTCTGTGGATACTTAATGGATACTCTTTAATGACGCTCTATGGACATTCTATGAACTTTCTATGGAAACTTTAAGGACCACTATAGGCACTCAATAGTCCACTCTATGGACCATTGTGGACCTTCTATGGACACTAGGGAAACATGTTTGATTTGAATAAGATCTGTCTTACAACCTCAACATCATTTCATTTCAATAAACACAATTAGCTCAGCTGAGGCCATTTCCTTTTTCCTGTTTGTCATAGCACAAACTGATTAAAACTGTGTGTGTACAAGTGTGTGAAAACTGGGCTAAAATGGTCAATTCTATGTGATGCCCTGCTCAATAGTTGAGAGGATCAGCAAGAATGTTTTGTCTCGTCGACAATATAACATAACATGGTAAATGTTAGATACTCACTCTCCACCACCATCTTGAGGTCCGATCCATCATCATTGATCTGCTGGATGTTTCCAAAGTGTATATCACTGAAGAAGATCCGGTTGGCTCCCCTCCCCCCTCCTCCGCGGTAGTCGAAGGTCAGAGCTATTACATTTTTCATGTGTTCTGGGTCCTCGAAGGGCTTGATGGGGGCGTTCAGGTTGGTCTCATCTGATAGGTGGATGCTCTTCAGAATGGTCCGCTCAGAGTAGAGCAGGTAGCTGTCGTAGTCACGGCAACTGCGGCTGTCCTCGGCCAGCATGCCGTGTGCGCAGGCGCAGGTTCGCTCCCCGTTGCCGCGGTAAAGGCAGAGCTGTTCGCAGCCGCCGTTGTTGTCTTTACAGATGTTGGTGCCTGAGGGAGAGACACACTGGTCACACACACTGGTCACACACACTGGTCACACACACTGGTCACACACACTGGTCACACACAGTCTCATAGACACACTGGTCACACACAGTCTCATAGACACACACTGGTCACACACAGTCTCATAGACACACACACACTGGTCACACACACTGGTCACACACAGACATATCAGTCTCATAGACACATCAGTCTCATAGACACATCAGTCTCATACACACATCAGTCTCATAGACACACTGGTCACACACAGTCTCATAGACACACACACTGGTCACACACAGTCTCATAGACACATCAGTCTCATAGACACATCAGTCTCATAGACACATCAGTCTCATAGACACATCAGTCTCATAGACACATCAGTCTCATAGACACATCAGTCTCATACAACTTAACACAGCACACCAGGGTAAGAGAGAATTCCATTCCATTTCAGTCAATACAGGATTTCAGCCCCTTTTTTTTACTTTTCATTTGAAATACCAATTAAACTCCTGTGTGGACCAATTTAAAATGAAATGGATCCCAACCCTGCCGCACACATGTTTTCTGTGTGTTTCTGTTAGGGGTTAAATGTTCTTACCTTGTTGCCTGTCCCTGTTGAAGACCTTGATGTCCTTCAGCTGTACACCAATGCCTGTCCTCAGATACACATATTCTGTAGCATTGTCTTTGTTGCCTCTCTTGATAGAACCGTTGGCATGAGTCCTGGTCCAACACGACACACAAAACACTATCAGTCACTTTCAAACAGGCTTTGAGGTAAAACAGCACAAATTGTATTAAATGACAATCACGCAATGGGAATCTCAGGTTAGTAAATAGCAGGACGGCATAAGATGTTAGGAGTTGCATACTGCATCCTGTAGTCCTTTCTGTTTGTCTATGGCCTATGCTCCTTAAAGGAGCCAAGCTCTTTAGTCAAGTAAATCAAGCATACTATAGCAGGGTAGCAGGGAATATTAAGGGTCAAACAAAGACAGAGGAGGTGACAGGGATACGACAGCAGGGATCTCACCTATCACTCCAGTAGATGTAGCCCTCGAAGACGGACACAGCGAACATGTCCATGTTGTTGTTAACCAGCACCACCTCTCTGTTCTCTCCTGTCTCCAGGTTGATACGCTCAATGCGATCTGTCCGCGCATCACACCAGTACAACAGGCCCTCCTACACACACAAACAATCAGACAAATATTCAAACCGTTTTTTTCCTCAACAACAAGGTTGTAAAGCGGAGAGAGGAGAAAAATGCTGGATGTGTGTGAATCCGAAAGATGGATACGTGTGTGTGTGTGTGTACTGCACCCTGTAGTCGATAGAGATTCCGTTGGGCCACATGATGCTGGAGTTCACCAGGACTAATCTCTGAGAACCGTCCAGACGGGCCCTCTCTATACGGGGGACCTGACCCCACTCTGTCCAGAACAGATACCTGCAGGGACACACAGACACACACATACTCATATGAGTTTGAAGGCAAGAACATTTTTGCTCTCTAGATTGCTCTATGGATTAAATACCACAATGAAAGCGTATTTACAGTGTACCATCATATGACCAGCTATTGCTTGTAATTATTAATCAAAGTGTAAACATTGCTGGTTGCTGGACTAATAATAGCCAATAGGTAACCGTGTTATGACACACAGAGCACTACAGTACCCACAGACACCCAATCCCCAGTCACAGCCCCAACCACTCACCCTTTCTCTGGGTGCACAGTGATGGCGCGGGGCTTGTCCAGGCCCTGGGAGATGACCACATAGCGGAAGGATCCATTGAGTCTGGCCACCTCGATGACGTCAAAGCCCTGGTCTGTCCAGTAGATGTTACCTGACAGGGGAGGGATGGGAGGAGTCAGTGTGTGTGTGCGTGCTTGTGAGTGTATCCATGTGTGTGTGTGTGTGTGGGTGTGTGTGTGGTTGTTCTCTGACCTGCTATCCAGTCCACAGTGATGCCCTCCACCCTGCCGATGCCGTTGGTCACCACATCTTCTCTCCACGTCTGGTCTCTCTTAGCTCTGCTGATGGTGCTCAGTCCCATGTCCACCCAGTAGATAGTGTCATTGTCTACAGGACAGAGGAGATGACTGTTAGTAACCGGATACAATAATCATTACCATCACAAAATAAAGTCCTACTAAAATAGGTAGCATTTGGCCAGTAACCGAAATGTCGCTGGTTCGAATCCCGGAGCCAACTAGGTGACACATCTGCCGATGTGCCCTTGAGCAAGGCACTTAACCCTAATTGCTCCTGTAAGTCGCTCTGGATAACAGCGTCTGCTAAATTACTAAAATGTAAAAAATGTAAAGGTTGCTTAAACATAATAAAGTTACATAGTAATTACTTGAAATACTGTAGGCAGGTACAGCGTAGTAAAAGTTTAGGTACACCTCTTTACAGTATGGTTGGTGTGATTACACATTAACACTCAAATGACTTGATCCTCAAACCAAACTCTTGTATTGTTGTTGGTAGGTCCACTGCAGTATACTCACCAGCGTGGAAGTCGATGCCCACTGCTAGCGAGGTGCCAGACACGGGCACCAGGGCATCAGATTGATCAGACGGGTCCAGGGGGATTCCTCTAATGCCCTCATGTACTGAGTAGAGCAGGAAGGAGCCCATACCTGGAGAGAGAGTACAGAAAGCTATTAACACTCTTACCATATACAGTATAGTCTCTGTATATTCTATACAGCATGGCTTTATAGAGGATACGGTGCTTCTATATCCAAGAGTGTCCATGCACTTGTGACCTTTTAAATGTTTACATCCCTGTACTGTGATTTGTGGATTTTAATGAAGTGTTTAAAATGTGTGTGTGATGGTCTCTTACCCTCGCAGGACTGCTGTCCACTCTTGAGGCTGTAGCCAGCAGTACACATACAGGCTCTGGTGGTAGTGGATGTGGGCAGGCACAGCTGGGAACAGTCTCCGTTGTTGTTACTGCACAGGTTGATGCCTGGGACAACAGAGGGAAAATACAGTAATATACAAAAAACTCACTCAAAAACACCATCTTGTTTCTCATTCATTCATTCATTCTCTCGTTCATTCACTCATCTGAGTTTTACCTGGGAGGTTGGAAAGTGTGACATCATAAGTGTGACATCCTCAGTGTGACATCCTACCTGTACCTGTCTGCAGGCTCTCGTTGTAGATTCTCATGTGCATCATCGGAGAGGTGTTGTTACGTAGCACCTTCCAGTTCCCTCCATCACTTTTATCGCACGTCCCTATCTGGTCTGTCCCCTGGTCTGCCCACCACAGCTTGTCACCTAGACACACAGCATAGATATTCAGTATCACAGCACACAAGGGTTTAAATGGTGTTTCACACCATGTGGCAGAGTTTTCCTTATTCCATATTTTTCTAAGGGCAGATCTGCCTCGAGGGCAGAAACAAATGTGATTGGTTAAGTTTAGACAAGAAAGGTGACTGCTTAAAGTTAGGCAAATAATGTTAATGGTCAATAAAACTTTTTCGGATTCAAACTGCATTTAAATCCAGACTCAACATCTCTCAAAAGACACAATAGACAAAAATCGAATTACACAAAAAAACTATGGTTTCACAGATAACACTAACACAGTATCCAACCCACAGGGCAAAGCTGATCATAATGACATAATTTCAGCCAAGGTTAGCTTGTTTCTGCCTTACCCATGATGGCCAGAGCGGACGCCTTGGTCAGTTTGCCTGGTTTGACCCCGTCCAGGACCTCCAGGCCTGAGCCGTCCATCTGACAGCGGCTGATGGTGCCGTTCCCTGAGCTGACCCAGTACAGCTGCTCACTGTCGTAGTCTATAGACAGGCCTGGAGGGGACAGAAAATATATAGTTAGCACAACACGATCACAGTCAGACTCTCTCGTTCACTCTCACACAGTCTAAGTCATAGTCTTTAGACAGGTCTGAAGGGGACAGATGGGACAGACAACACCACATGGTCAGACTCTCTCCCTCTGTGCCCTAGTCTATAGAAAGGCCTGGCAGGGACAGAAAGGGGACATATAAGCACAACACAAGAGTCATTCCATGTCATTTCTGCAAAGCCATGACACCCACCATCTCCGATTGTTCCGAAATCTTTTCTGTAGTTAGAAACAAGTACTTTTACCATTGAAGACCATAATATTGAAACCATTCAAAACTGATGAAGCCTAATGGTGTGTTTGTTCATCAGGAAAGGTCTAACAGTAACTAATCCAGACCTTTTCTGAAGGGTACACAACAGGGTCGTTTCTTGGACACAGATTACGCGTAAGAGAAGGACAAACTGAATTGCTTTCATGGAGGACTTGAATTGTGAGGGTGACCACACAATTTATTTTAATTATGAGCTAAATCTATTGGTTTTCTACCCAAAATTGCGATGGAAATGTTGTGGTCTATTTAATAAACACAAGAGACCAGCAAAATGGATAAAGTAGTGAGATGGAATTATATTTCAACTAATTCAAGTTTCAGGAATGCTAATAGTATATGTTACTGTCTACAGAACCAATTTCAGAACAACCTGAGATGGTACAAAGTATATTGAAAGCAGGTGCTTCCACGCAGGTGTGGTTCCTGAGTTAATTAAGCAATTAAACATCCCATCATGCTTAGGGTCATGAATAAAAATGCCCAGTTGCCCATTAATTTGGCTACCATGGTTACCATTTCATTGACTTTGAAAGAGGGGTCTGAAAGGAGCATGGGGGTTTAAAGTGTGTGTGTGTCTTTCACCATCTCAAATGTTATTTCACTCTGGTTCTCACTTTCTTCCACTGGCTAAGCATTGTTGTACACTACAGTGTTAGTGTACACCCACTCACCCACAGGGCCCTTTTGATTGGTGAAGAGCATGGTACGGTTGCTGCCATCCATGTTGGCCATACTGATGTTGTCCCCATCAGTCCAGTACAGCTTTCTAGAGAAGGACAAACACATGACGTGTTATTCTACGTTAAACTTGGTTTGACTGTCACTCCACTGAAATCACTGTGACAACATCAACGTTCTTTTGCTGTCGTCGTGTTATTTAAAACTCCATTCCTACTCCTCCAGTATGTGTGTGTGTGTGTGTGTGTGTGTGTGTGTGTGTGTGTGTGTGTGTGTGTGTGTGTGTGTGTGTGTGTGTGTGTGTGTGCGGGCCTGTGTGTATGCTTATCCAACTCACCCCAGTATAGGGTGCAGGACCAGACAGTGGGGTTTGTCAAGGCCCTGGATAATAGCGTTCTTAAAGGATCCGTCCAGTCTGGCCACGTTGATCTGCTTCTTATTGGCATCATAGCTGGTCCAGAACAGGTTCCTAGACACCCAGTCTACAGCCAGACCATGGGCGTTGGGCAGGTCTGAAAAAAACAAGCACACACACAGGCAATATTTAACTAAACCACTAACTACAGGTAACTGCCAAAATAAAGGAAACACTTGAGGAAATGAGGGATACAAAGTATATTGAAAGCAGGTGCTTCCACGCAGGTGTGGTTCCTGAGTTAATTAAGCAATTAACATCCCATCATGCTTAGGGCCATGAATAAAAATGCCCAGTTGCCCATTAATTTGGCTACCATGGTTACCATTTCATTGACTTTGAAAGAGGGGTCTGAAAGGAGCATGGGGGTTTAAAGTGTGTGTGTGTGTGTGTGTGTGTGTGTGTGTGTGTGTGTGTGTGTGTGTGTCTCAGTCACCAGATCTCAACCCAATTGAACACTTATGGGAGATTCTGGAGCGGCGCCTGAGACGGCGTTTTCCACCACCAACAAAACACCAAATTATGAAATGTCTTGTGTAAGAATGGTGTCGCATCCCTCCAATAGAGTTCCAGACATTTGTAGAATTTATGATAAGGCGCACTGAAGCTGTTCTGGATCATGGTGGCCCAACACCATATTAAGATACTTTACGTTGGTGTTTCCTTTATTTTGGCAGTTACCTATACATTCAATAATCACATTTTCTGGTCACAAATTAGCCTAGTGGATTCCAAAGCAGTATTTGCTCTCTTTCGAAGACTTTAGCTGCGCTTGATTGAGCTTGCCCATTGGAACTAACAGTCTCAAAAGGTGCAAACATCGCACATCCGGCACTCCAAAAAGGTATTTGAAAGAGTGGTCATCCTACCAGCAGACACCACGGTCTCCACTCCAGTCCCGTTGATGAAGGCTCTCTTGATAGTCTGAGTGCGGACATCTGACCAGTAGATACGGTGCTCCAGAGCATCATAGTCCACCACAGTCACGTTGTCTATGTCTGGCACCGTGAAGGAGATGATGTAGTTATAGTAGGGGTTGTCTATGTCCACTCCCCTGATCTCTATCTGACGGGCATACAGCAGGAACTGACGGGACTCTGGAGAGAGAATGAAAGAGACAGGGTGTACAGGGGAAGGGTTCATATCCAGACACTACAAAGACAGTATTTGAACATATCCAAGAGCGGCTGAACTAAAACAGAGCTATTCTCATTAGTAAGACAATCATCTGATTGGGTGTCTTAATTACAGCAGATGTAACACACTTAGACCCATTTGTCACCATTCAGTCCTCTGAGTATGTGTGTGTGTTGCTTCCTACCTTTACAGGTGCGTTTGTCAGCCTGGAGCTTCATGAGGTGAGGGCAGGCACAGGAGAAGGTCTGGTTGTAGCTGATCAGACACAGGTGAGAACACTGGCTCTGCTCATCAGAGGTGGCACAAGGGTTAGGAGCTGAGGGAGAGACAGGGGAAGAAGACTTGTTTGAATAAAGAGATCTGGTCCACTGTGACGATGATCCATTGATTCTATTCTATTCAATTTCGACCAAGACAAATTTAATGAGAAATAAATATAAATCTGTATTATTTTATTAAATCACTAAGCACTGGAGCGGTCGGCAGTTAGGGATTGAGTATTCGAGGGAGCAGAGGACAGAGCGAGGGACGGATACGGATGGAGTCAGACATTGTCAGACATGGTTTGTTTCCCCATCGGTGTCAGAGGGACTGGGGGAAGCTGTCAATCAACTGGCCAGTGAGACCTCAGCTCTGTCTTTCTTAGCCTCAGATCAGGGCCCGTATCCACAAAGCACCTCAGAGTAGGAGTGCTGATTATTCACTATGATCTAAAGGGCAAACTGATCCTAGATCAACACTCCTACTCTGAATTGCTTTGTGGCTACGGGCCCAGTTCTCTCCATCTGTTAACCACTGTGTGATCAGCTCAGGGCATAGTCTATTAACCCCTGACTGGCTGATTAAAAGCCTGGGGACTCCTACAGCATAGTAGGCCACTGATCACTATATACGTGGAGTACACATCACATCTTATAGTATATGACACCATATGACAGGACATCTAGGCCACAGGCTACTATCCTATATAGAGCATGTCACAACAAATAGAATGAGTTAGGTACACAAATCAAATCACAAAATGTGTGTCTTCAAGATCAACACAACCTATGGAAGCCCAGTTAGACAGGCCTTGACCACCAGATGTACTTTAAACTGTACGTGGTGTATGTCACACCGTATAGTCTGTCTGTCACACCACGTGATACGTTCAACAAGTCAACTAAGCCCTGTAAGACCAGTCTGAAAGGCCAAATACTGCAGTGGGTTGGCCGTTATGATCCACAGTGTGTGTGTGTGTGATCTACAAGGTGTTAGAAACCATGCTACTTCTCGTAGAACATGGAGGCAACACAACACAACACATCACACAGTAGTGTACCACTACCACTCTGCAGTCCTGCCCTTTCGTTTGACACTGCACCAAAGCGCGTGTCACAGTCAAGTTAGCAGTGAGAGGCAGCTGGGAAGGGTGGGGTGGCTTGTGTGTGTCCGCGTGCATGCGTATATGCATTTATGTGTGTGTCACCTACCTTGGGGCTGTCTGGAGGGATGGTACACCTGCAGGTCAAAAGGTTGTGTGTTGGTGCGTTGGACCACAGTTACGTTGTTGCCGGTCCACTTGTTGGCCTTGGCCAGAGTGTTGGTCCTCCAGTCAGTCCAGTAGACCTCTCCTCCGTACATGGTGACAGCAAAGGGATGAGACAGGTACTCATGTCCCCTCAGCACCTCGATCAGACCAGAGCCATCATACAGAGCAGAGTAGATGGCATCAGACCTGGGGAGAGAGCATTTGGGTGAGTGGGTGTGTGTGTGTGTGTGTGTGTGTGTGTGTGTGTGTGTGTGTGTGTGTGGTTAGGAGAGCAATAGTACCTGGCGTCGATCCATACAATGCGTCTTTCCATGTAGTCTACAGTCAGTCCGTTGGGCCAGCCACCACTGCCAGTCTCTCTGTGGATAGTCCTCCTGCCCTCACCACTCATAGATGCTGCCTCTATTCTGGGCAGACTGGCATCCCAGTCCGTCCAGAACAGAATACTGACAACAGAGGAAGACAAAGAGAACAAAGAGAGAGGGAGACAAATTAATGAATATTCAGCAGTAGTCATTCGTACAGTGTCTGACTATGTGAAGGGGGACCATATTTTTATTTTATTTCTTACAGTTCTATACAGAAGGTATATGGTATCCGAGTACCATTGCTTGATATGATCTACTGTTTCCAGTTCTATAGTATCTGTGGTATGGTATCTGTCTCTGTGGTGGTTCTATTCTCACCCGTCTCTGGGGTCCAGGGCGATGGCCCGGGGGTGCTCCACCTCTCCAGCCAGTAGAGTAGTCCTCATGGTTCCATCCAGCTTGGCCACCTCTATCTGGTCCAGGTTACTCTCCACCCAGTAGATGTTCCCTGCTATCCAGTCCACCGCCAGACCCTCTGGAGTGGCCAGGCCATACTGGATCACTACCTCGAAAGTAGTCAGAGCTGGGAGGAGGACGGGGGTAAGAGGGAGAGAGGGAGAGGGGAGAGGGCAAGGGATGGGAGACAGAAGATGGCTGGGTTAATGCCTTGTATGGGAAATTACAGATTTGTTTGACACACCCATCACTACAAAGACAAAAACTATTAGACAGAAATGGAAGAAAATAACCTGATTAGATAAATCAAACTCCTCTTGATAATGGACATGACAGAAATGGGACACAGTGAACCAAGCTGTATTAAAGGTATTTGAAATGGGGTAATATTTGCTGGAGTAATACAATATGTCTGTCTAGCTCATGGCAAAAGACAGCAGTTAGAGACTAACTCCATCCAGCAGCACACACGTTTCACTGTAACAAACTGCTGACAAACTGAGAGGACTGTTTAGAATTCCTTCTCTGTGGAAAGTGTGGGATTTCTAGCAAAACTTTGCAAACAATCACAGAATGAAGGTGGTGATTTCTGGGAAACTTCTGAGAGAAAACACACACATGCATGCACACACACGCACGCACGCACATACACACACCATACACACAAACACACACATTGACACACACACACACACACACTGTTCCCGGAAAAGCTTGGCACCCCACTAAAAGCTAAGCAGTAATGGTGTACAGCTGATGATTCTGTGGAGCGTCAGAGTCCTTCACATGGCCTTCCAACAGTCATTAGATTAGAGCATTAGAGGGATAGGGCCTCTTCACAGCTTGATTGTTGTTATACTGCTGGAACCACAGTTGGCTTTGCCTGGGGAGGGTGGGGAGGCAGTGTGTGTGTCTGTTTTTCTGTGTGCATGTGTAGGGAGGCAGATTTTTTGTTGTTGTTGTTGGCAGTACACAGCGACCATACTTGCCCCACAGTTTAGAAGACGCTGAACTAGGGCTGTGTATCGCGATATTTTTATAGATACCAGTTTAGCCATATTTTTTCCATGGCAAAAATGAAAACACGAAGCAGACCAAACTCTTTGGTCCTTTAAAAACCTGCTGTATGTAAAATATTGTGTGCTACAGCTTGGAAAATAAATGTGACCCTGGATGACAACATAATGAGGTTTGTTTCCAACATTAGGACTGTTTTCCTAAAGAAGTTAAATCCGTTCATTGTTTTGTTTCCTTGCCACGATACTAATGAGTATCACGATCCTGGTATTGTCCCGGCCCTAGGCTAAACACTGAAACATCTTAAATCAGCAGAAGCTGATTTATGGTGGAGGGAGGGTTGTTTTTAAGAGGGGTGGAGGTGTGGGAGGGGGCCTGGGAACAGGGACTAATGTAATGCACTGGCCACAGTATGTGTGCCTGTTGCTCTGGCCCAGGGTGGCTGCAGTCACGCAACGGAGCGGTGAGACAAATTTGAAGAGACAAAGTCTTCCGTCGTTCTGTGTGTGTGTGTGTATGTGCGTGTGTGTGTGTGGGTGTGTGCCCCCGGAGTACTTCGGTGGGATTCTGGGAACAGGAGAATAGGAACACAACCTTGATTGGCCAACAGACCTGGGGTTGGGGTCTGGGGTGGTAGGGATCTGGGGTGGTAGGGATCTGGGGTTGGGGGGTGGGGTGGTAGGGGTCTGGGGTGGTAGGGGTCTGGGGTTGGGGGGTGGGGTGGTAGGGGTCTGGGGTGGTAGGGGTCTGGGGTTGGGGGGTGGGGTGGTAGGGATCTGGGGAGAACAAGGGCCAGCTGTGACCAGTCTGGGAGATTTAGGCTGGGGACATGAACAGACATCTTGACTAGATTTGACAGGCGGGGCTACTATGAGACAAAACTGTTGTTTGGGCGAAGTACATTCTAAGAAAGTGCAAACTTAAACTGTAACTTTTGTTAGTCCTCAGACTAAGAGGAAAAACATTGTCCGTTCTACTCAATTTCCAGATGCTTTCTTATTTGAAGCTATTTCTATGTTGGCTGATGCAAGACCAAGCAGACAAGTAGAGCTCTCAACACAATAGAAAAATCTTCTGCCACTACCCTTGTCTCTGTGTGAAGGTAGTCATCGTCAAAGCATTTCTTTAAGATCCCATTACATTTATATATTTTTTGTCCCCTTATCCATTGATATTGGATTTCAGTTTGTATTGACTGTCATTTCACGGGCTCTATTTTAACAAACCTAACGCAATGGTGAATCTAAGCGCTATAGGTTGAGGAGTGTGTCAGAAATATTTTTGCTATTTTCACTATCACAATTATCGGCGCACTTGCTGGCGTTGGCGAGAAAGGGCTGGGTTTTGATGAATGAACAAGTTCTGGGTGTGTCGAGGCTTGGCCCTTCACTAGCCAATCAGAACGTGCTCCATGGCGAAATATGTGGTTGCTTCAGGTTGTGTATTTACGGTCTTTTATGTATTGCCTTGGAATCAACTCCAGTTCCTCCCAATGTTAATCAGTTATAGATTGTTAAATGGCTTACAGAAATGAAATAACAAAATGTAGACCTATCCCATCTTTGCTAAATAGGTTAACTTAAACCCATTTGCAGTCCACATTGTTCTAAGTAATTGCATGGCTTCAATTGCATTCACACTGATATAGGGGCTAGGCCTACTGTAAATTGCATTATGACTGAGCATGGACATGCCAAACATTGTCAATAAGCAAGATTCAATTCATTATTGATAAGGCCTAAAAAGAGAGCGAATAATTCGAATCAAATTCTAAACAAAACAACTTGTTTTAAATAAAACAACGCAGACTATGGAGGGTTTTACGCATATCCAAACTTGTCACAGCAGCTGGACAAAGATCCAATATAAAGAGAAAGGGAGAATGTCCACTGACCGTTATACTGCTCCCAAACATAATGTTCTATATACATATTGGAACCATCTTACAGATCAGATCGTATTCACACTTCTCCAGAAGTTCAGGCGCGCCACAGACGTTGTCACCATAAAACTAGGAAGGTGAATCATTCTAATAAGTTTGTAATAAAATGAAACGAAAAACAAGCAATCTGTTTTTTTTTTTTCAACAACAACAATAAATACATGTCAAATGTAACGATATCATAAAATGGCCAGGATAAAAAAGACAGGCATTGCTGTTGAACCAGCCTTCGTTACAGTAGGCCTAAGGGAGGGCTACAAATAACTTCTAAGTACGAGGTTCACCGGTATTCACGAGGTTCTCATCTCTCGTTTCATGATGGGCATGGACACGTAGCCTACATCAAGGAGGGGGTTTTACGCACGTCCAAAACCCTTTATCGACAGTCTTGACTACTTCGCGATTGCTTTGGGCAGACAAAAGAAAAAGCCTTAATTGAGAGGAGGGGAGACTATGCTTGGTTTTTAATCAAATCAAACAAAATTCGTTTTGTTATGTTTCTAAATACGAAGTATACAGGCACCAAAAGCACATTAGGCTTATCTTGTTCCATGCGCATATGGGCAGTGTGCATCAAGGCTGGGTAGGCTGCGTTAATTGAAATTAGCACTTTGAATCATGTTTTTAAGGACACACCTCAAATAATTCCACCCCGCCTATCTGAGCGTAAGCGAGCTGATATAAGAGAGGTAAATTGCCGAACCTGGCGTTAGGGCTGGAAAATGCCTATGAGCCAGTTTTTCCATGAAAAAATTGCAAACTAACGTGTGCTTGACACTAGCGCCACCTTAACGCCAGCTGGAAATAGAGCCCTATGAGTGTAATAAAAATGTGAACTTGAATAAATGGAGACGCTCCCTCACCTCCGTTCTCGGACAGTTTCCCGCGGTAGATCTTGTCCTCCACCACGTCGGTCCAGTAGAGGGTGTTCTGGCTGAGGTGGAAGTCCAGAGCGATGGTGTTCCTCAGGTTAGGCACCAGCACGCTGAACTCCCCCTTGTGGAGGTCAATACGACGGATCTCATGGCGGTTGGAGAATATGATGAACGGCTTGAAGGAGTCTGGGGGTAGAGAAATATGGGATATGTAAGGGATCATTTAGTGGCTCTGGAGTGTCCTTGTTAGGTCACATGGTCTGGGATTTTTTTTTTGCCCTAATCGTGGTATTTGGGTCTCTCAGTTCTTAAGGTACAGTGGGGAAAAAAAGTATTTAGTCAGCCACCAATTGTGCAAGTTCTCCCACTTAAAAAGATGAGAGAGGCCTGTAATTTTCATCATAGGTACACGTCAACTATGACAGACGAAATGAGGGAAAAAAATCCTGAAAATCACATTGTAGGATTTTTTATGAATTTATTTGCAAATTATGGTGGAAAATAAGTATTTGGTCAATAACAAAAGTTTCTCAATACTTTGTTATATACCATTTGTTGGCAATGACACAGGTCAAACGTTTTCTGTAAGTCTTCACAAGGTTTTCACACACTGTTGCTGGTATTTTGGCCCATTCCTCCATGCAGATCTCCTCTAGAGCAGTGATGTTTTGGGGCTGTCGCTGGGCAACACGGACTTTCAACTCCCTCCAAAGATTTTCTATGGGGTTGAGATCTGGAGACTGGCTAGGCCACTCCATGACCTTGAAATGCTTCTTTACGAAGCCACTCCTTCGTTGCCCGGGCGGTGAGTTTGGGATCATTGTCATGCTGAAAGACCCAGCCACGTTTCATCTTCAATGCCCTTGCTGATGGAAGGAGGTTTTCACTCAAAATCACACGATACATGGCCCCATTCATTCTTTCCTTTACACGGATCAGTCGTCCTGGTCCCTTTGTAGAAAAACAGCCCCAAAGCATGATGTTTCCACCCCCATGCTTCACAGTAGGTATGGTGTTCTTTGGATGCAACTCAGCATTCTTTGTCCTCCAAACACGACGAGTTGAGTTTTTACCAAAAAGTTCTATTTTGGTTTCATCTGACCATATGACATTCTCCCAATCCTCTTCTGGATCATCCAAATGCACTCTAGCAAACTTCAGACGGGCCTGGACATGTACTGGCTTAAGCAGGGGGACACGTCTGGCACTGCAGGATTTGAGTCCCTGGCGGCGGAGTGTGTTACTGATGGTAGGCTTTGTTACTTTGGTCCCAGCTCTCTGCAGGTCATTCACTAGGTCCCCCCGTGTGGTTCTGGGATTTTTGCTCACCGTTCTTGTGATCATTTTGACCCCACGGGGTGAGATCTTGCGTGGAGCCCCAGATCGAGGGAGATTATCAGTGGTCTTGCATGTCTTCCATTTCCTAATAATTGCTCCCACAGTTGATTTCTTCAAACCAAGCTGCTTACCTATTGCAGATTCAGTCTTCCCAGCCTGGTGCAGGTCTACAATTTTGTTTCTGGTGTCCTTTGACAGCTCTTTGGTCTTGGCCATAGTGGAGTTTGGAGTGTGACTGTTTGAGGTTGTGGACAGGTGTCTTTTATACTGATAACAAGTTCAAACAGGTGCCATTAATACAGGTAACGAGTGGAGGACAGGGGAGCCTCTTAAAGAAGAAGTTACAGGTCTGTGAGAGCCAGAAATCTTGCTTGTTTGTAGGTGACCAAATACTTATTTTCCACCATAATTTGCAAATAAATTCATTAAAAATCCTACAATGTGATTTTCTAGATTCTTTTCACTCAATTTGTCTGTCATAGTTGACGTGTACCTATGATGAAAATTACAGGCCTCTCTCATCTTTTTAAGTGGGACAACTTGCACAATTGGTGGCTGACTAAATACTTTTTTCCCCCACTGTAGCTATGCCCAAAGAGCAATTTACAGAACGCCATAACTCACACAAACAACCACTTTTTTCATCTGATGGCCAACAAGATTACATCTCTTTTCTACCTTAACCCCTCCTCTAACCTCCTTTCTCCTCTGCTCACCAGTGCTCTTGCAGCTCTCCATATCGGGCTCCAGCTCCCAGCCCTCGTAGCAGGAACACTTGACAGTGCTCTTCTCTTGCTCACACTTCTGGCTACACTTGAGGTGCTTGGCACAGAGGTTCATGATCTGGCAGGTCTTGTTGTCGACGCCCAGCTCCATGCCCAGGGGGCAGGAACACATGAAGCCCTCCCCAGGGATGATGGAGCAGTTGTGGCTGCATCCGCCATTGTCTATGGAGCACAGGTCTGTGAAGGGTGGCGAGTTGAGAGTAGAGAGGGAGAGGGAGAGGGAGAGGGAGAGGGAGAGGGAGAGGGAGAGGGAGAGAGAGGGGGTGGGGGGGTAAATCATATAGTTGTGTGGTTTGAGGGAATTCCTACCTTGACCAAGGTGGTATAGTTATTGGTAGGGAGAGTGAGTGTGTGTGTGTTTGAAAGTGTGTGCACGGGGTGTTCTTACCACAGAGTTTCTCGTCAGAGCCGTCGGGGCAGTCATCAGTACCGTCACACAGCTTCTCAGCGGGCAGACAGATAGAGTCGTTGGTGGCACAGACGTGGTGGGACAGCTTACACACCAACGTCTCACAGTTGTCCTCGTCTGAGTTGTCCTCACAGTCACTGTCCCCGTCACACACCCAGGCCTTACTGATACAACGAGCTGGGGACAGGTCAAAGGGTAAAGGTCAGAAGTCACACCTTACTGATACAACAGGCTGAGGAGACCGCCAAACAGAAGATCACACACCAGGGCCTTACTGATACACCACGCTGAAGGGACAATGAAACATCATGGCAACATGAAAAGGGACATCCCGAAAAAACTGGCAAAATCAACTCTTAATAGAGATACATAGATGTACCCTTGTGATGGCTGCTATGGCATGCTGAACTCAGACTTCTGCTAGGAAATCAATCAAAAGAACTAGAGTAATTCAGTCTGTTGGTGAATGCTGCTGGCCATGTTAATCCAGACATCTTAATTCCATGCGTAAAAGCTATCCTCATTCTCAGAGAGCAGCTTGTTGTCATAATCTGTCACAACAAGCCCCTTGGGATAACAAGCTCTCTTAAGTGATACAGTATGTTTGATAGTATGTGTGTGTCCACCCGCCCAGACACTGCTGTCATGACTGACTAGATGAAGACTACTTGCTCTGATATATGGCTGTTACCATTATGGCATCTACAGGCTTAAGGGCAAGAAGATTTCTGACTTCTCACTGACTAATCTGATGAGGGCTATACATACTTCCTGAACCCTCACTAACTGGTCTGATTAAAACACTAAAGGCCAACAACTCAGTTAGCCAATAGCAGAGAGGAAGAGACAGGAAGAGAGAGTGGTTAGCTAATTTCACTTGATGGCTGAAAAGGCCACCACAAACTCACCAGAGTTCCTGCAGCTGAACTTGACGGCTGGGTCACACATGTGTGTCACTCCCTCACAGTCGCTCTCATCACTCAGGTCCATGCAGTCTGTGTCCCCGTCACAGCGCCAGCGCATGGGGATGCACAGGCCGTCCATGCGACACTGGAACTCATCCACGTGGCAACCACCGGGAGGACGGGTTGCTAGGGAGACACAGGAAGAGACAGCGGAGTTAGCCAATAGCAGAGGGGATAGAGTACGGTGAGCAACAAGCTAAGAGAAAGCACACTTTAATTACAGAAACTCCATTCAATAATAGAGACAGGAAACCGTCATAACACTTTAAATATCACAATCCAGTCCAGTTAGCCATTGACATGTAGATCTGCAGGGTCAGAATGGGTTAAGTCTCCAGATGGGTCTCTGTCATAAACAAACAATGACAAGCTGTTCTGTTCCCACGGACATCATCGCCTGATGTTAAGGACATCATTAAGGAAGTGGAATAATGACATCCCTTCATGGCAAGAGTTGGCATAGGGGCATAAGGAACAGGCCCAGGACTTTCTCCCAAGTGGAATACAATATGTGAGACAGAGGGGACGGCAACAGTATTGCTTTTCTTCTCAAACTAATGACTTCCAGAGGGTTTGGCGCGCGCACACACACACACACACACACACACACACACACACACAAAGCACAGATCTCTCATTAGGCCAGAAGGCCATGCTGGGCTCAATGTTGCATGCTGGACTCAAACAGTCATGCACACACACATGCAGACACGCACACACACACACACCTCTGCCCTGCCATTCCAGGGCAGGCCAACTTCTAAGCAATTAACTCTTCTCTCAAACCCAAACTGAGAGCTGAAGAAAAAGCAGAGCGACAGAGAGAGAGAGAGAGCGCGCGAGAGAGAGACAGGAAAGAGAGGGGGCTTTGGAAGAGCTGCCTGGCCTCCTCTGATCTCTGCCAAAGCCACACAGCCATTACCAAGTCATTATCATTATTTTTTTTCATGACGGTACTTAAAGTGAAGTGAAGTTGGATGTGACCAGCCATCATTAAACAACCGGACAATTTCAGTAAGCCATACTGAAGAGAGGCATTGTTAATGTTTTGTTTTGAGATCTGTGTGAATGCTTAGCTAACCGCAGAGCATAAACCACATCCCTGAGAGCAGCAACATTAAAGGATTCGCTTAAAGTGATGTCCTGGGGCTACGGGGCAGGCTGAGGCATGCAGACGGTACAGAGAGCACAGCAAGCACAACACTGAACCTGTCAACAGTCTAACAAACATACTACACACTCCAAACAACAACATATACACAGCCTGAAAATGGATACAGGCATTTAATGTGGTGATAATATACTAGTATACTAAAAAGAGGACATATATGGGTATTGGGATATATACTGTATACTCTCCTTCACGTGAAGAGCAATGCAAACTGCAATGCAGACTGTTAGAATCATGCAAACACTTTAATTTCACTATGAGCACAATGTCACTCTCCTGCCGTGTGCTCTATAACCTCCATTGGGGTGGTACAGTAGAATAACAATACTAGTCCAAATTCGCCCAGAGGAGTTGGAAGCCAGGGTAGCCTCTGGGGCAGTTTAGGGGTCAAGTGCCTTGCTCAAGAGCACAGCGGCAGTACCAGTACCAGAACTCACCCTGGTTGGTACAGTTGGCGTGGGTCTCGTCGCTGTAGTCTCCACAGTCGTTGTCCCCGTCACAGGTCCAGTACTCAGGGATGCAGCGGCCGCTGTTACACTTGAACTGAACACTGGAGCAGGAGTGGCTGCAGCCTGCCTCATCACTGTTGTCACCACAGTCGTTGTCTGAACACACAGCGAGAAAGAGAGACACAGGCGGAAAAGGGCAGGCGCGCACACACACACACGCACACACGCACAGAGACACACAGGTAACATTTATTTCTAACTTTCATGAATAAGCCATTATAAATGTCGATTGACGCACCGGTGCGTAACATAATACAAACATAAGAAATATCATAACACATAACAAGTTACATAACAAAAAAATCCCCATCAAAATCAGTTTAAGCTAGAGATATCATTGTTTTGTATGGGCTGCGTCTCAATCCTCCACATCCGCCGATGTCACACTTCCGCATCAGACCATGAGACACCCCAAAAATCGGTCTTCTCTCCAAAACGTCTGTAGCGTCCAAATGGTTTGACCTAAAAAACTATTATGACCAGTCTATGGAAAGGGGAGACTCTCACAAATGGTCTCCGTTTTGTCTATGGCTCGTCTGAAGTTGGTACCGTTGATGTGCCAACTTCTGTTTGTAGCGTCCGAACCATTTGGGCTACAAAATAATGTGACCCCACAAGTGTCACGGGACTTGTCTGAGGGTAACCGGTTCCAGGTAGTTTTAGCTAAATGATCCATAGTATGACCATCTTAAAGCAATTCCATATGTCAGCTTAGAACACCCCCACCCACAAAGGCTTAGACTTTTAAGAATGAATACATTATTATACAGGTTGTAAATGCTTATGAATTCTAATGCTTATAATGCTTGAAGAAGATTTATGCTCACCATTGTCACAGCGCCAGTTGACGTTGATGCAGCGTCCGTTGGCACAGGTGAACTGGGTGAGGGGGAAGCAGGTTGGGTAGGCTGGGGAGAAGGAGAGGTAAAAGGGAACCTTTAAAAATGACATCCTAGAAACACCACCATGGGCAACAAACAGACCTCTCTTGGCCCACTTCAAACTAAGTAGTGAGAGTGTAAAAAAAATAAAAATAAATCAAACTAACCAAACTCTTGCTTGGCTAAAGCATAAGTACATCTGGTGACCGGGCTTCAGGTATAGTGAGTTAAGTTTCCAACATTAAACTACAAAGAATAGAATGCTACAGAGGTGATGTGTGATGTGAGAAGGACCCACCACAGGAGGCCGGCTCATCAGAACGGTCCCCACAGTCATCATCCAGGTCACATTTCCAGGAGGTAGGGATGCAGCGCCCACTGGCACACGCATACTGGTTGGGCGGGCACGTACGAGCTGGAGAAGGGTGTAGGATAACAGCATTAGAGAGAGATGGGAAGGGCGGGTGTGTATAGCGTATGTAGTGTGTCTATGTGTGTGTGTGTGTGTGTGTGTGTGTGTGTGTGTGTCTACCTGAGCAGGTAGTATTAGACTCATCCTCATCGGTGCCACAGTCGTTGTCCCCGTCACAGAGCCAGCGCAGCGGGATACAGCGGTTGTTCTGACACTTGAACCGGTCCGATGGACACGTGTGCTGGTCTGGAGGAGGGAGAAGAAACACAGTAGAATTAGAACATTCGAATTTGAATGTAAGATCAATAGAATTAGACAAGCGTATACAGTATCACTATGAGAGACTAGGTCATAGAGGAGTCTTCTATAACTGGACTAATATTAGGGATATTCAGTAACTATTTATGTTAACTGTAAGTTCATAAAGTGGACATTACACAGCTATAAGCACATTATGTTCGGGGATGATTGAGCTTCTGCTACTCTGATGGCTCCGTCATCCACTGGAAGTGGGACAACTTGGTCTCCAGCCAAGCATTAGAGACATAAAGAACTTTCATGTACACACAGAGGAAACCTAGTGTTAATAATTGTCGAATGAAGAGAGAGTTGGATGGAGAAACGATTGACCTATTTAACACTCAATTGATATTTAATGGTGATTGATGGATGGCTCAAAGAAGAGGAAGTATTAGGGCTTGGATTTAACTGTAGCTCATGCACTGCTGCTGCTAATTCACAGCACATGATTCTCAACTGTGTGTGTCGTGTGTGAGTTGTCGTTGTGTGTCGTGTGTGAGTTGTCGTTGTGTGTGTGTGTGTTGCTCAGTAACCCCGGCGACGGCGTGGCGGTGTGACACTACTCACGGCAGAGCTCGGGCGCCTCGTCACTGTTGTCCAGACAGTCATTGTCACCGTCACACTTCCATCGCTCCTGGATACAGCGGTTGTTCTTACAGGCAAACTCCCCTGGCTGACACTGAGGAGGAGGGATGTAGGTGGGGTTGGCTGGAGAGAGAAAAGGAGAGAACTGTTACGGATACTGTAGCAAAGCAATGTCTCTCAATCTCAGCTGTTCATATATGGGATGGATTGATCTACTTATGAGGGGTTTTACAACCAATTCAGCTAAAGAAAGCATGTCTGTGACATTTGCTTCTCTACACACCAGCTTAAACATGGACATTCCAGATCAGTACAGTAATCATTTAAACTATTCTAATTTAAGACCTTCCTGAGAGCGTCCCAATGCATACCTTTACAGGTGACATTGTCGTCATCCAGTATCTGGTCGTCAGCACAGCCACAGGACCTGCCGTCAGGGATAGCCAGACACAGACTGCTGCAGCCGCCGTTTTTCACACGACACAGGTTGGTGCCTATAGAAACACAAACAGAAGAAAGGCAGACAGGTCTGTTAGCATTGTTACCAAGCAAATATCCCTATGGGACATTAAAGTATTCATTCATTCATATCTAGACTAGCTAAATCACTGATATATTATAACCTTTTATGGTTTTGTGGCATAAGAAGTTTTGGCATGTGTTATGATGACACTTTATGACGTGCTTATGACACTGTTAAACGTGTTCAATGTGTTACCCATATAGTGTTACCCATTAAGTGTTACCCATATAGTGTTACCCATTAAGTGTTACCAGTAAAGTTACCTTGCTGCTGGTGAGCGTCATACACACGGATCTCGAAGAGGGGTGGACGTTCGTTGCGGAGCAGCGTGACGGTGCTGGTGATGGTGTCTAGTTTGAAGATGCTGCCGCCACGGTACTCGTTCCAGAACAGGAAGTGCTTGTAGTGACACAGGCCGAAGGCGTGGTTCAACTCGTTTCCCTCGTACACATTCTGACCAATCAGAAAGAGAGAAGAGGATCATGGCACATGGATCATGGTCATGGTGAAAACCATATAACCCTTTTTTACATATATTTTTGGACACTTTGTTTAGACAGTTTGGCAATCAGAGGGGGATATAGGCAGGTGTGAGAAACAGTGGGAAGGGTGGACGTGAGGACTGAACCCTGGTATCCAGTGGGAAGGTTTTACATTTGTGACAACCAGTGTTACTATCACGATCATTATCATTAGGGTTAAGGCTTGGTAACCAGTCGAACTGACCCTGCGCTCGGTGGTGTTAAGGTAAATCAACTCGATGCGGTCGTAGTAGGCGTCCACCCAGTACAGGATGCCCTGTGGGATGTCCAGACTCAGACCGTTGGGCCACAGCACTGTTTTACTGGTCAGCAGGACCTGGTCGTGAGAGCCGTCCATCCACGCCTTCTTGATCTTCCCTCGGTTAGTCTTCTTGGGGTCCTCCTCCCAGTCCGTCCAGTACATCCACCTGGAACAGTACCACACGCTCTGTTAAATCAATACTAAGAGTGGAAAATTCCAGTAACTTTCCCAAAATTCCCAGGTTTTCCAGAAATCCTGGTTGGAAGATTCCTGGAATCACGAGCAAATAAGCAGGAAATCCAGGAATCCTCCAACCGGGATTTCTGGAAAACCTGGTCATTTTGGGAAAGTTGCCAACATTTTCCAATACATTCTCATAGATTGAGGTCTGTGTGAGATGTATACTGTAGCAAAGGAACATAAGGAGGGCGAAAATGTCTGACCCGTGCTGGGGGTCCACTACGATGGCACGGGGGTGGGTCATCTTGCCCTCTATGAGGGTCTTGCGTGTCTGAGAGGCCTTCTCCAGCCTGGCCACACTGATGGTCTTCATGGGCCCGTCGTCTGTCCAATACAGGTTACCTGCCATCCAGTCTACCGCTATCCCCTCCACGGTGTGGACGCCTGAGGGAAAGAAAGGGGGGCGGAAGGGACAGAGGGATAGAGGAAGGGAGAGAGAGAGGGAGGGAATGAGGGTGACTGTCCACCATGCCTTTCATGACTTCATGACCACATAACATTACTTCTATCATTTCTGTCATGATACATTCAATATATATTGCGATTCTAAATGCATCCCAAATCTATATGCATTGCGATTAAATTCTGCAATAGGGTGGAACTGAGGGTTGTTGTAACGCATTAAATGTTAAATACTATGGTACTAGATCAGACATTCCTTACCATCCTTCAGGATGGTGTCTCTCTCCGTGCCGTCAATCTTCTGCCGTCCGATGATGTAACTGACGGCATCAGCGAAGTAGATGAACTCGCTCTCGGCGTGGAAGTCCAGCGCCCGCGGGTTCATCAGGTTCTCAATGGGGATCATGAACTCGTCTGGGACCTTGGCATTCATGTCCATGCCACGGATGATGCCAGGGCGACCCTTACCGTACACCAGGAACAACTCGTGTTCAGGTTCTGCAGAGGGAACATCGACAACATTACATCATCAACATGGGAATATCGCTGAACGGTTAGTTACAAGATCTGAGCAACAAAACAAGATATGTTCTGTCCAAAGAGTATGTAAATATAAAAGTTATGTTCTAGAGACTTATTTCAACTCATATTACTATAATATAAATTGCAGATCTGTGCTGTATGGAGTTCTGTGCTATGCTGTTGTGTGTGATTTTCGTGCTATGCTCAGTGTATGGGATTCAATTCAATTCAAAACTTCACGTATGTAAAGTACTTACTCTTGCAGGACTTCCCGTCACTGCCCAGGCTGAATCCAGAGCGACAGCGGCAGGTCCGGGTCTTGTGGCTGTTCCCCAGCAGACAGATGTCTGAGCAGCCTCCTGGCTTCTTAAACTGGTCCGGGGCACACGCATGACTCTTCTCTCTCACTGGGCACCAGGGGACAAGAGAGGGGTCAGAGGTCAGCACTAGGCACCAACATGGCAACAACTATGATGATTGATACAGACAGATAGATAGATACCCATCTGGATTCTTTCAACCAGGATTTCTGGAAAACCGTAATTTTGCAACCCTAGGCGTGTACCTACAGTGGGGAGAACACGTATTTGATACACTGCCAATTTAGCAGGTTTTCCTATTTACAAAGCATGTAGAGGTCTGTAATTTTTATCATAGGTACACTTCAACTGTGAGAGACTGAATCTAAAACAAAACTCCAGAAAATCACATTGTATGATTTTTAAGTAATTAATTTGCATTTTATTGCATGACATAAGTATTTGATCACCTACCAACCAGTAAGAATTCTGGCTCTCACAGACCTGTTAGTTTTTCTTTAAGAAGCCCTCCTGTTCTCCACTCATTACCTGTATTAACTGCACCTGTTTGAACTCGTTACCTGTATAAAAGACACCTGTCCACACACTCAATCAAACAGACTCCAACCTCTCCACAATGGCCAAGACCAGAGAGCTGTGTAAGGACATCAGGGATAAAATTGTAGACCTGCACAAGGCTGATATGGGCTACAGGACAATAGGCAAGCAGCTTGGTGAGAAGGCAACAACTGTTGGCGCAATTATTAGAAAATGGAAGAAGTTCAAGATGACGGTCAATCACCCTCGGTCTGGGGCTCCATGCAAGATCTCACCTCGTGGGGCATCAATGATCATGAGGAAGGTGAGGGATCAGCCCAGAACTACACGGCAGGACCTGGTCAATGACCTAAAGAGAGCTCGGACCACAGTCTCAAAGAAAACCATTAGTAACACACTACGCCGTCACGCAATCCTGCAGCGCACGCAAGGTCCCCCTGCTCAAGCCAGCGCATGTCCAGGCCCGTCTGAAGTTTGCCAATGACCATCTGGATGATCCAGAGGGGGAATGGGAGAAGGTCATGTGGTCTGATGAGACAAAAATAGAGCTTTTTGGTCTAAACTCCACTCGCCGTGTTTGGAGGAAGAAGAAGGATGAGTACAACCCCAAGAACACCATCCCAACCGTGAAGCATGGTGGTGGAAACATCATTCTTTGGGGATGCTTTTCTGCAAAGGGGACAGGACGACTGCACCGTATTGAGGGGAGGATGGATGGGGCCATGTATCACGAGATCTTGGCCAACAACCTCCTTCCCTCAGTAAGAGCATTGAAGATGGGTCGTGGCTGGGTCTTCCAGCATGACAACGACCCGAAACACACAGCCAGGGCAACTAAGGAGTGGCTCCGTAAGAAGCATCTCAAGGTCCTGGAGTGGCCTAGCCAGTCTCCAGACCTGAACCCAATAGAAAATCTTTGGAGGGAGCTGAAAGTCCATATTGCCCAGCGACAGCCCCGAAACCTGAAGGATCTGGAGAAGGTCTGTATGGAGGAGTGGGCCAAAATCCCTGCTGCAGTGTGTGCAAACCTGGTCAAGACCTACAGGAAACGTATGATCTCTGTAATTGCAAACAAAGGTTTCTGTACCAAATATTAAGTTCTGCTTTTCTGATGTATCAAATACTTATGTCATGCAATAAAATGCAAATTAATTACTTAAAAATCATATAATGTGATTTTCTGGATTTTTTTATTCCGTCTCTCACAGTTGAAGTGTACCTATGATAAAAAATGACAGACCTATACATGCTTTGTAAGTAGGAAAACCTGCAAAATCGGCAGTGTATCAAATACTTGTTCTCCCCACTGTACATGGAGGTTGGCGTCTCTAGTGGTACACGTGCCGGGCTGGAACAAAAGCCTGACCACACTACATACCAACCTCCACGGCAACGATTGCCCCATACCTGCAGTGCCTGTTCTGGGTAAATACATGGGGGTTGTGGGTGTGTACCTACCTGGGGGTTGGCGTCTCTGATGGTACACGTGCAGGGCGGCGCTGCGGTCCACCCGGGTCACCACCGTGAAGTCAGAGGAGTTGAAGCGGTTGACACGGATCACGCTTGTCTTAGCGTGGTTCAAGTTGCCCTCGTCTGAGTTGGTGGCGTACAGGTAGTTCTCAAACACCGTCAGCCCATACAGATGCTCAATCTGACAGAATGAACAACAGACACACAGGCGGAGTTGGTGGTTGTGTGTGTGCGTGCCTGTCTATGTCTGTATCTGTTTTAATGGAACATCTTCCTTGAGTCATTCATTTCCTCACCAGCAGGCCCTGTATGATGGTGTGTCTGTTCTTGCCCTCGTAGTCCACAACCTCTATGTAGTCCAGGTAGGCGTCGGCCCAGTAGACCAGCCGGTTGACCAAGTCCAGGGTGATACCGTGGGGGAACACGATCTTACTTTCCACCAGCTTGGTCCGGTTCTGACCATCCATGTCACAACGCTCCACCTTGGGAGTCTGACCGTAGTCTGTGAAGAACACCTTCCTGTAGGGAGAGATGAGAGATGAGAGATAGAGAGAGAGAGATAGAGAGAGAGAGATAGAGAGAGAGAGAGAGAGAGAGAGAGAGAGAGAGAGAGGAGATGAAGAAACCATGAGTGTGTAGGAAGATTAGATAGAGGAAAGGGAGGACTGACCGTATATTCCATCAGACTACCTGTACTTCCTTAATTAATATTTGAGTGTGGTTAGTAAAGTAGTTGTCTACATCCTTCACCAGGAGATGCCATCCAAAACTGAGAAGTGACACTTTGTAAAAAGGAACTATACAGGATGTACCAAACTATTTTGAAGTGTCACCGTCAGCAAGATGAAGTGATCAGAGGAGGAAGTGTTTTCAGTGACTAAGGGCTGGGTCAGCATTCATCTGACCAGAAGGACCAGGGGGAAGTAAACAAATGGTCTTCTGTGGTCACTAATTTAGGGGTCTCAGGGGTTGTTAGTGGGGTAGTGCTCACCCCATCAGGGGGTCCAGGGCGATGCCTTTAGGGTTGTAGAGCTCCTGATCCAGCAGGGTGACGCACGTCTGGCCGTCCGCGTTGCACACAAAGATACGATCGTCCACGTTGTCCTCAAAGTAGAAGTTTCCTGTCAGCCAGTCAATAGCCATATGTTCCACATCTGGAGGGATTGAGAGATGACGATAAGTGTGGGAGAGAGAGGGTGAGGAGGATGAGTATGTGGGAGAGAGAGGGATCGAGGGATGGGGGGGATAGACAGAGAGAGAAAGAAGGAGAGAGAGAAAGAGGGAGAGAGAGACAGAGAGAGATTGCCGTATCAGAGTTGAACTCCAATCAGTGTCAGTGACCCCAAACACAACCCATAAGCCCAGCTCACCCACTGGGAGAGAAAGACATTAACCCTCTCCACCCCAACCCACAGCCTGCTTGGTGACCTGACATGGCCCCACCCTGCCTCACAACCCGGCCTCATTTATATGCCATTTTCAAACTACTGAGCTGAGCCAAGCTGTACTGGTTATGTTTCCAACATAGTTGCTGGAACCATGCTTGAAAGGACAATGTTAATCAGAGCCAGCACAGTGAAGTACAGTTTGAGTCGGTATGGTAGTGTGGAAAGGGTAACACTTTCTCCATGTGAAAGACAGACACTCACCCTGTCTGAGCACTGACTGACTGACTGACTGGGAACGGGGGAAAAGATCTGGCTTTGAATGAAATGCTAATGGTGTTATTTTGGAGTCTGTGGATTGTCCCTCTCGGTATCTCCCAGCTGATTTCCCAGTAAGGGCTCTGACAATGAGAGTCTATCTGTGAGAAGGCGGCTGGGGTGGTGGGGTGGGGAGGGTGGTGGGGTCGTCCCACAGAGAGACCCAGCTGTGGGAGGGCGGGAGGGAGGGAGGGGAGGAAGGAGGAGGGGGGCTCATGTGGCCTTGTGTTTTAACAGCTGCCACCATGCTTCCTCAAAGAGGGGCGAGAGAGCTCCTAATACAGTGCGCTGTACTCCACCAACCAGCCCCCGTAAATCGAAGCCATAGTTAATCCACAGAGCAACTTTGATGTTGGGCCACACTGTCCCATCCCACTCCCCTGTAGTTAACCTATCCCAGCTTGTGACTCCAGCAGTTATAGCCTGTCCCAGACTCCCAGGGCTCTGTGACATCAAATGCCCTGTTTAGTCCCATGGCAGGGTTGGCACCACATAGAGACAAGCCCCGGGTTGGATGACTGAGGAACGTTAAACTATGCTGCTGCAGTCTGGGCTAATCCACAGTGGGACAGAGATAGTCTGGTCCCAGATCTGTTTGTGCTGTCTTGCCAACTCCTATGGTCATTGTCACACCGATGGCACAACAGCACAAAAATATCTGAGACCAGGCTAGAGCAGCAGACATCTGGGCCTAATGTACCACCCAGAGCTTCAAAGGGAAAAGCCTGCTCTGCCACAGATGGATCTGATACTCTGCAGCTGAAATCTAGACAGGGCTGAGGAGGTGGTGGTCGGGTGGCCACCAACCTGAACGCCCAGCTAGTCTCCCACCACTCCTTAAGGCCGATACAAGCTTCACTCTGTTGATCTAAGCGTGCGCGTGAAGTCCGATTTTTGGAAAAGCGGACATCTTGGTAACATGATACCCTCGCCGGTCCGTGTTTCCAATTTTTTTTTTATCTTCTCCTTTGTCGTGTAAACCAAGGAAGAGTCGTCTTCCCTTGCTAGTAGTAGCAAGCTGGCTAAAAACAGAAAGCTAGCTAGCCTTTTTAGCTTCCCACATTTATGTGAAATAATCAGATTTATAATGAAATAATATGCCCTGGCAAATATTCTTATACTTGCCAGTGTAACCTACAACATTATCCCAGTTTGATATGCTGCTTGAATGTATTCACTCACATATCAGCTAAAAATAGAACGTCATCATGTTTTGATCATGAAGAAAAGCCACATGGCTACAGCAGTTTTTACCATTTCACAATAGCCTGGAATCACTAGTTATTAGTGCTAAACAAAATACATATGGGGGGGGATTCTAATAAGGCTACAATGTTGTTTGGTTTATTGTTTGAACAGTCTCAGATTATATTTGGTTATCAATGCAAAACAGGTTACTATGATGCATAGCCTATAGATAAGATCAAGGAACCAAGCGACAACACTGCCCCCACAGCTGCGCAAGGAATGATACGGTGCATCCCAATTTTAATTTGGTACGGGAGTACGTCGAATGTCGGAGCGAACTACAAGGAGCCGCCCATTTTGTGACGTAAAACGACATTCACGTACTCCGTTGCGCTGCGTTTGCATAAGGTCTGTAGACCCCTTTACACACCACCAGAACCCTGCCAGTACCATTAACCTCTTAAGGATTGGACCCTTTTTTTTATGTTCACCTAAAATGACATACACAAATCTAACTGCCTGTAGCTCAGGACCTGAAGCAAGGATATGCATATTCTTGATACCATTTGAAAGGAAACACTTTGAAGTTTGTGGAAATGTGAAATTAATATAGGAGAATATAACACATTAGATCTGGTAAAAGATAATACAAACAACCAAACATGCGTTTTCTATTTATTTTTTTGTTCCATCATCTTTGAAATGCAAGAGAAAGGTCACAATATAATATTGCAGTTTAGGCGCAATTTAGATTTCGGCCACTAGATGGCAGCATTGTGTGTGCAAAGTTCAGATTGACCCAGTGAAGCATTGCAATACTGGACTATTTTGTATCAAGTCTGTGCCGAATTGGTCAATTTATACATTTTCAAGTACATAACTATAGAGAACATACAGAAATGATATGGTAATACAAAACGTAAGTTTACACACTCCCAGGAATGTCATACATGATGGATCATTAGCTTATACACTAACTTTCACACATCTAGATGGCTGGGCGGGGTGGGTGTGGAGCTAGAGACAGCAAGGGTTCAAACTAGAACCTAGTTCCTACATGTGAATATTAAAAATGGATTTTATCAAACAAAACTATGCTACATTTTATCTCTGAGCCCCTCAGGATGACAAATCAGAGCAAGATTACTGAATGTAAGTACATTATTTACCTTCAGAGGTGAATGTATCAAACCAGTTGCCATGATATGTTTTTTGTTGTTGTGCACTCTCCTCAAACAATAGCAGGGTATTTTTTCACTGTAATAGCTACTGTACATTGGACAGTGCAGTTAGATTAACAAGAATTTAAGCTTTCTGCCCATATAAGACATGACTATGTCCTGGAAAGTTTGCTGTTACTTACAACAGTCATGATAATCACATTAGCGCACGTTAGCTCAACCGTCCCGTATACTGGACACCGATCCCGTAGAGGTTAAACTGTGTACTGGTGAAGGTAGGAAACAACACCGCCAACTACATTGATCCTCAACACAGGGGCCCCTCAAGGGTGCGTGCTCAGCCCCTTCCTGTTCACCCATGAACGGGTGGCCACGCATGCCTCCAACGACAACAGACAACAATGATGAGACAGCCTACAGGGTGAGGGCCCTGGCAGAGTGGTGACAGGAATATAACCTCTCCCTCAACGTCAACAAAACGAAGGAGCTGAACGTGGACTTCAGGAGACAGCAGAGGGAGCATGCCCCCATCCACATCGACAGTGGAGAAGGTGAAAAGTGTCAAGTTCCTCGGTGTACACATCACTGACAATCTGAAATGGTCCACCCACACAGACAGTGTGGTGAAGAAGGCGCAACAGCTCGTCTTCAACCTCAGGAGGCTGAAGAAATTCGGCTTGGCCCCTAAGACCCTCACAAACTTTTACAGATGCACCATTGAGAGCATCCTGTTAGGCTCCACAGGGCTCTCCAGAGGGCGGTGCTTTCTGCCCAATGCATCACCAGGGGAACACCGCATGCCCTACAGGACATCTATAGCACCTGATGTCACAGGAAGGCCAAAAAGATCATCAGGACAACAACCACCCGAGCCACGGCCTCCAGGCTGTGTAAGGGTTATTTGACCAAGAAGGAGAGTGATGGAGTGCTGCATCAGATGACCTGGCCTCCACAATCACCCGACCTCAACCCATTTCAGATGGTTAAGGATGAGTTGGACCGCAGAGTGAAGGAAAAGCAGCCAACAAGTGCTCAGCATATGTGGGAACTCCTTCAAGACTGTTGGAAAAGCATTCCTCATGAAGATGGTTGAGAGAATGCCAAGAGTGTGCAAAGCTGTCATGAAGGTAAAGGGTGGCTACTTTGAAGAATCTCAAATATAAAATATATATTTGTTTAACACATGATTCCATGTGTTATTTCATAGTTTTGATGTCTTCACTATTATTCTACAATGTAGAAAATAGTAAAAATTAAGAAAAACCCTGGAATGAGTAGGTGTGTCCAAACTTTTGACTGGTACTGTACATATATACTGTATTTATACTCCGGACTCCGACATTGCTCGTCCTAATATTACACTGCCTTCAGAAAGTATTTAGACCCCTTGACTTCTTCCACATTGTTACGTTACAGTCTTATTCTAAAAATGGATTAAATAAAACAATTTCCTCAGCAATCTACACACAATACCCCATAATGACAAAGCGAAAACAAGTTTTTAGAATTTTTTTCACATTTATACAAAATATTTGAACAAATTTGAAAACCTTATTTACATAAGTATTCAGACCCGTTGCTATGAGACTCGAAATTGAGCTCAGGTGCATCCTGTTTCCATTGATCATCTTTGAGATGTTTCTACAACTTGATTGGAGGCCACCTGTGGTAAATTCAATTGATTGGATATGATTTGGAAAGAACCACACCTGTCTATATAAGGTTCCACAGTTGACAGTGTATGTCAGAGCAAAAACCAAGACATGAGGTCGAAGGAATTGTCCGTAGAGCTCCGAGACAGAATTGTGTCGAGGCACAGATCTGGGGAAGGGTACCAAAACATTTCTGCAGCATTGAAGGTCCCCAAGAACACAGTGGCCTACATCATTCTTAAATGGAATAAGTTTGGAACCACCAAGACTCTTCCTAGAGCTGGCCGCCCGGCCAAACTGAGGTGGGTGGCCGGCTGGGGAGAAGGGCCTTGGTCAGGGAGGTGACCAACAACCCGATGGTCACTCTGACAGAGTTCTAGAGTTCCTCTGTGGAGATGGGAAAATCTTCCAAAAGGACAACCATCTCTGCAGCACTCCACCAATTAGGCCTTTATGGTAGAGTGGCCAAATGAAAGCCACTCCTCAGTAAAAGGCACATGACAGCCCGCTTGGACTCTCAGACCATGAGAAACAAGATTCTCTGGTCTAATGAAACCAAGATTGAACTCTTTGGCCTGAATGCCAAGCGTTACGTCTGGAGGAAACCTGGCACCATCCCTACGGTGAAGCATGGTGGTGGCAGCATCATGCTGTGGGGATGTTCTTCAGTGGCAGGGACTGGGAGACTAGCCAGGATCGAGGGAAAGATGAACGGAGCAAAGTACAGAGAGAACCTTGATGAAAACCTGCTCCAGAGCGCTCAGGACCTCAGACTGGGGCAAAGGTTCACCTTCCAACAGGACAGCGACCCTAAGCACACAGCCAAGACAACACAGGAGTGGCTTCGGGACAAGTCTCTGAATGTCCTTGAGTGGCCCAGCCAAAGCCCAGACCTGAACCTGATCGAACATCTCTGGAGAGATCTGAAAATAGCTGTGGAGTGACGCTCCCCATCCAACCTGACAGAGCTTGTGAGGATCTGCAGAGAAGAATGGGAGAACCTCCCCAAGTACAGGTGTGCCAAGCTTGTAGCATCATACCTAAGAAGACTCAAGGCTGTAATCGCTGACAAAGGTGCTTCAACAAAGTACTGAGTAAAGGGTTGGAATACTTATGTGAATGTGATATTTCAGTTTTTTATACATT